CCTTCTTTGCCCCGCCCTAAAAAAAAAAAAAAAAGGCGGCCAAAACAAAAAACCCCCCCCAAAAACACAATTTTCCCCCTCCTTGCTTCTTTCCATTTTTTCTTTTTTTTCCTGAACAACCCAAATTTTTTTTTTTTTCTGGGCAAAAAAAAAACTGGCGTTTCCCCAACTCTTCAAAATTTTTTTCCAAAACCTTCCTTTTTTCCCAAAAAAATCTTTTTTTTCCTTTCCCACCCCAACCGCCCCCAACATTTAATCCCAATACCCCAAAACCCCCACTCTCGGGCCCAGCCCCTTTCAAAAAAAACCCAGATTTTTGGCCCCTTTTTTTTTTTTCATTTTTTTCGGGGGGCGCGCCCTCGCCCCGGCCGGTTTTTTTCCTGGTTTTCGTAAATAAGAAAAGGGGCAGTTTTGGTTTTCGCGGGTCGGAGGGAAAAAAAAAAAAAAGGCCCCAAGGGGAAAGGGCCGGTCCGGGAACGAATTTTGCCCGGAGGTTTTTCCGCCCCGCCGCGGGCGGAAAAAGAGGGGCGACCGAAAAAGCCGGCCGTCGAAGGGTTTAAAGCCGAAAAGTAAAGAGGGCATTCTTCTGGAAATTTTTTGGGGGCCAATTTTTTTTGGGCCGTAAAAAAAAAAGCGTAGGGAATTGGCAAACAAAAAAACCCGATTTGGAAAACGGAAAAAAACTTCTGGTTAACAAAGCCCAAAAAAAAACCAAAAAAACCCAAAAAAAAACCAAACGTCAAATTTCTTCCAAGGGAAATCTCCCCCCCCCAAAACCAACCCAACCCTCCCCAAACGCCTTTTTTTTCTTCCTTCGCCCCCGCCCCCAGGGCCCACCGTGAAGGGCCCTTCAATTTTTTCCCGGGCCGGCCTTTTTTTTTTCCCATGGTTTCCTGCATTTTTAAAAGCTTTGTTTTTTCTTTCTAAAGGGCTTTTCGGCCGGGGGGCTTGTTTCTTTTTGATTTGGGGGAAAAAAAAAGCGGATGAGGGACAGGAGGAAGAAGCGGGTCGCGCGGCCGGAGGGGTTGGGAACGTATTTTTCGGGGCGGCCGAAGGAGGATGCAGCGAGCGGGTCGGGGAGGCCGTGAGGTTACGGATGAACCACGGCCCAGAGATTCGGAGACGTTTCATCGAGCGAGGAGGGGCTTCCACTGGGGTGATCGGACCAGAAATTGAAGCTACCTGTCGTCAGCTAAGTTTCGTGTCATGGCGAGATGCTCACATAGTCCGTCTACCTCTCTCAACAATACACCGCCCAAGATCTGCAACCGCAAACAACCTCAACGACAATTGCTCGGGCGTATTGAGACTCTTGAGTGTGATGCCGGGATGATGCGAGCCGAGAGCGGAGCGGACCAGTCGATCACCGAGGGCGAGATGGGCGTATGACCTCTTGGCGCCGCTCCGAACAAACTCCATAAACTGCAAGTCGATGACGCCCCAAAGCCTAATTCATGTCAGCTCAACACCCATGAAAGATGAAGAATACTCACAGATCCGAAAGATGAGCCTCATCTACAACCACCACATCCCTCAAAGTCCTCAACGCATCTTCCACCCACTTGCTAGTATCTACATCTGCATCCACCACTGCCGTCACACCTTCCGCATAGTCCTTCATCCTCTGGCTGATCTGCCCTGCCTCATACGGCGCTTCCTTTCCCTCCCCTCTCCTCCTATCTCCCCGGCGCGAGGAGTTGATGTCGACATTCCCCATAGGATCCGGCGTATTGTCGCCGAGAAGTTCGTACGGCGGTTCGACTATCCCCGTTGCTTTTCGACACAAGTCCGAGAGACGGCATCTGGGATAGTACTGTGCCGAGGAAGAAGACAGAAGAGCAATGTAGGATGCTGCGACGGCGTATTTGACGTTTCGCAGGGTGTTGGACGAGTCGTTGAGGGCAAGGAGACGGGCGCGCACGTATTCGCGAGTGTCGGAGGGGATACCCACGAGCCATGATTCGATTACTCGGGCGTCTTTTCAAGACATCAGTAGGTGAACAAGCCCTAGGCAAGAGTACTCACAGATCTCCGCCAGGGATACACCATTCCTCGAGAATCTGACCGCTCCGGGACCCATCAACGACCCAAAGAACGCCGGATCCCACAACTCATTCGGCGTCGCTTCCCCACTCTTCCCCCACGCTAGTGCCGGGTCAAAAGCCAGCGCCCCACACTCTGTCGTCGCCAAAAAACTACCATCTCCCGACCCCCCCGCCGCTGCGCCTCCAAAGATGGCTGCCCAGTCCATCGCGCTCCCCGCGGGTTGTGACGAAGAACCGCCGGCTGGGCAAGTGACAGGAAGGAGGAGGGGTCGTGGTGCGGAGCAGGGGAAGGCGCATGGTTGACATTGTACCATGCGAAATTGACATTGGCAGTTGCCGAAGCCTGGGCGGTCTTGCTCGGCGCGCCGGAGGAGGATGCGTGGGCGCTGGTATGGGATGTGAAGGCGGTATTGTTGAGCGAATTGCTAGGAGGTGTTGGCTGGGTAAAAGAGTTGTGTGGGGATATCGAGTGGTTGGAAGGGTTTGACTGCATGGACCCCGATAGCAGAGCGTTCGGTGGGAGAGCAGCAATGCTTCCCCCACTGAGGCTCGTCCCCGGCTCTCGTTCTTCTTCCTGCCAGGCTTGTGTCGGTGACGGCGAGGCGTTGCGAGTAGGAGATGGGGCGTTGTCGGGTCGCTTCTTCTTCTTCGACTCGACCAGAGTTCGCCCGGTACACTCAAACTGGCCTATAATACAGCGCTGACAATGCCCGTCGGACGTCCACTCTTCGTCGCATTTCTTGCCTCGTCTACATCATCGTCAGCTCCGCCCGCTGGCACAAAGTTCAAGAGCCGATACACACCTTTTACATGTTCCACCTGCACGCGGTCGTCAGCTGAGCATACACAAAAACTTGAAAGAAGGACGCACACCCTGTTCTGGACCGTTTGAAGGGCCCTGTCCGCCGCTTGACTCTCCGCTGGCCGCCATCCTCCGTCTCCTCACGGTCGTCATCGTGGTGCAGCCTGTTTGTGGGGGGTGTGTTGGCTTCGTTGACCATTGCTGAATATAAAGTAGATAGAGAACGATGATCAGGTGATTGTTGCTTTTGCGAAAAGAGTCGGGGGCGGCCATCTCCGCCATCGCCAATCTTGCGTTTTGGCGTAAAGGCTATCCTTATCAGCTCGCGTCTTTTTCCACAATACTCGAGTAATCAGATACATATACTACAACACCCGTCTAATGCATCCCCATGTAGAACAGCGGCGTCGGTTGGTACCCCAGTCCCCCACCCCGCTGCCCCCGCCCCACAATCCCAGCCTTCCGACTACTCTCATCCCCCGCCTCAAACTCCTTCATCATCTCCTTCAGCCTCCCCATCCCCGCACCCGCCACCCCCGACATCGTACTCAGCCTCGAGCCCGCCCCGCCGCCGACCATACTGAGACGCGACCCCGCCCCGCCCAGCATCCCCGTGATTCTCCCTCCCCCGCCGTTGCCGTTGCCGTTGGCAGCAGGCACCGAAATAAGATCCTCCCCTCCCAGCACCCCAGCCTCGTCCAGCTCGAGCCCTCTCGAGAAAGTACTCCAATCCGACCTCTGCATCAAATACGGCCTCAACAACCCTCGCTCAATCTTGCCCAGATGTCCTTCTGTGAGATACGTCTTGAGCACGTTGGGCTGGACGATGAACGAGTTGCCGAGCTGGCGCAGCATGTCGAAACGTTCGTTGAGGGCGGGGATGGAGAATGTCGCGATGATGTCTTGGTAGGAGGCGAGGTCCCTGTGCGGTATCAGCTATTTGCCCAGACAACAGAGGAAAGACTCACTTTGTGAGCATCAAACCACCCGTCGGGTTCACCGGGAACTTGCGATAATGATCCAACAACAACCTACCCCGCAAATCAGCCTACAACCTGCCACTGCTCGAGATTGAACTCACGCATGGAACCCAACCCCAACCTCCACCAAGAACCCCTCCGCATTCCCGCCCGTCAAGCACCCCCTCACGGCATCCCTCACTTCCCCCAAAAACTCTACCGCAAGCTCACACGGTTCCGTGATCGTCCTCGCAAACGAGATATCGTCATTTTTGGGTTTGTAGTCATTCTTCTTCTGTTTCGTCAAGATATGCGCGAGGTGGCCAAGTATGACTACTCTCCATCAGCACCTCCAAAAATTGAGCGTAAAAAAAAAAACTTACGATCAACACCCTTCTGCACAACCTCATTAACCTTCCCCTCCAACCTCACCACCCCATGCCGCCCCAGCCCCACCATCTCCCTTCTCAACCCCACATTCCCCCCCGCCAGCGGCACCACCGCCATCCCACTATACTTTTGCCAGAGCACATGTATCCCCGCGGTCGCTTTCAACGTCTGCAGCGGCGAGAGGTCGGGTGCGGTCTTGGGGTCTTGGGATGAGAGGAGGACGAGGGATGAGTCGAGGGATGTTTCGACGAATGAGCGGCCTATCGCCTCTGAAAGCACTTTGAGCAATGCTAGCGCATTCTTGCCCCTATTGCACGTCAGCCACAGCAAAATAAGAAGGAGGAGGACATACACGTCACCCCCGCTCAACTCTACACACCGCCCCACAGCTTCCGCATGCCACCTCAACATCCTCTCCGCCATCCCCACCGTCACCACCCCATCCGTGCTCCACACCCTCTCCTCCAGCCCCTTATTAACATTACCTAAATCCGTCCTCACCCCTGCTGCGCCTCCAGCAGCGATAGCAGCAGCCTGCGCGTTGACTATCGGTGTGGAAGTGCCGGAGGGGTTGTCTTTGGTGGATGTAAAGAGGTTGGCATAGCGCCCTATCGCCTGGGCGGCCGTCTGGGCGGAGGAGGAGGTGGCGGAGGAGGCGGCAGATGAGGAGGACGCGAGTTGGTGGACTACCTTGTTGAGGAGCGAGTTTGGTTTCGCTTCGAGTACCGTCTCCTATCAATCCTATCAGCACGCTTGTCTCTTGAAAAAAAAGGAGAAAAGACTAACGTGGTACCTGGTGAATCTGGAAAGCAGCCCAGCATACAACTCTACCAAATTCTTACTTTCACTCTCCAAATACCTACTCCCCTCCAACCACGGTACATACATCTCCTCCAACGCCCTATCCAAATACGCACTCAACGTCCCCGCGCCCGCTCCCTTCCCCGACCCCTCCCCACCACCACTAGAAGACCCAGCGTCGAGAGAAGAGCGCGGGCCGAGGGGAGAGGTGAGGACGCCGTCGTATGCTTTAAGGTCGTCGACGAGGGCGGAGCAGATAGTGTGGGTGAGGTGGAGGATACGCAGGAGGGCGAGGGTGGAAGTTGATGCAGCGCGGGATACAAGGTTTTCAAGATGCTGTTGAATCTACTCCCATGTCAGTGTCTCTACATCATAAAGAAAAGATGGGGCCTTACGACTTGCGCAAAGATGCGCTGCAGGAACCCTTCCATGACCGCACTACTGTTCGGATGGAAAACCGCCTTCATAATCTGGCTCTCTTGCGCTATCGTCTCCCTAATCGACGCGCAGAGCTTTTCCAACGCAGGCTCTGATTTCGGGGCGGGCGAGTCGGGGTTTGCAATTTCCGCCCAGAGGTCGACAGTGTCGGGGGAAGAGGATTCGTCGAGGTGGTGGTCTTTGATGAAGAAATCGTGCTGGTTGACGTATATCTGGATACAAGAAGCTCCACCATTAAACTCTTGAAGCGTCTTGGCACAATGCTACCTCTTCATCAGCACAAGCCCCATCATCAGCTCAAGTAACTCACAGCCATCGTCCTCGGATCACCCTTCCTATAACTCCTATCGAAAAGCCTCAAGAGCTCCTTCTCAAACCTCTCACAATAACACTCAATCTGGTCCCTCACCCTCTCCCCCCGCTCCTTCTCCCTCCTTCTCTTGCCCACCAACCGCTGATCCACCGCCACACTAGACTCATCCCCTTCCTTCCCCCCCTGCTCCGCCTCGAGCAAGGCCGTAGCAGCATTGTCCGCTACATCCTTCGCCACAATCATCAACCTTCTCAGCACCACCGCTAGCTTTTCCCTCCCTGCCCTGCTCGCCCTCGTCGCAAAGAGCTGCTCGAGCGGGCTCGTCTGGTCGTCGGTGGCGGAAGCGTGTGTCGCTGAGAGATAGTACGATAAAAGAAGGGACGTGGACTGAGCAGTGGACCGGGTTTGGTGGAGGGATTCGAGCTGTTCGCCTATGCGGATAGCAGTACGGCCCACGTCGGTGATTTTGCTTTCGAGGTTGGTGAATGATTTGCCGATAGTCTAATCCCCCTTGATCAGCCCAGATCATATCGCGCAGGAAGACGTACCTCGAAGCCCCCGTCAAGCTCTCTGAGACGCTTGCCGTACTCGCGCTCGGCACGCCGGACGTCGGTCTCCATCTTCTTGGTACGCTCTGCGACTTGGGCGCGCAGAGCCAACAACGAGTCGAGCGCGGGCGAGAACGTCTGCAGGAACGGCGCCGGGTTAAACGCTACTCCCATCAGCCCCCTATCTTCACACACACGTAGGATACTCACGACCCGGGGTAGTCTTTGAGCTGTCGATGAGCTTGTCGCTGAGGACCGAGATGAACTCTTCGGTGCCATAGTTGCCCTCGAATGTCGACAGCTGCAGGGCCCTCTCTATAGCAGGGTCACGTGGGCGGGCTGGCTGCTGGGTGACGCGCTTGGCAGGGCGGCGGGGGGGAGTCGCAGGGGCCGCCATCGTGCTTGATACAGAGAGGAGAGAGAGGCATGATGTTGTTGGTGGTGACGCGCAGGCGGAGGTGCCCGCCCTTCATGCTCGTCGGCCGCCGTCTTGCTCTTCTCCAGTCCAGTCAGCTCCCATCTCCCGTCCTTTCACTCCCACTACTCATCCTATCCGCGGTGATGTCCACCCCGAAAACACCCCGCGAAGCTGCGCTCGCCGCCGCCCAAGCCCGGCTCAACCCCCCTCCCCAAGCCAACGATGCCGCTGCACCGGCTGCTCCCGCCTCTGCCTCCGCCCCGCCCTCGGGAACCCGACCCCTCTTCGCCCCTGCCCCGCGCCACACAGAGAAGGAAGAACGCGACATCATCCTCAAATTCAACCGCCTTCTCGACCGAGGAATCATCCGGGACAACAGCTACCAGGACAGTGCCGAAGCTGTCGAGGTGCGTCTTCTTTCTCCCCGCGGCGGGTGTGCTCTTGCTGACACGGGGACGCAAGACTCTGATCAAGATATCTACCAATATCCTCAATAGCGATGACCCCAAGTTCCGCCAGATTAAGGCTTCCAACGGAATGCTCCAGAAAAAAGTGCTCGCTGTCAAAGGCGGGCACGACTATCTCATCGCTGTGCGCCTCTCCTCTATTCACTCCCTCCCTCTTTTCTTGCAGCACGTCTAACGCGGAATGGTAGCTCGGGTTCCGTACTCAAACAGCAGACTTTACCAAGACGTACATATTCCAAAAGTCTCTTCGAAGCGTGCACGAGCTGGAGGTCGGGACTCAAATCCTGCAAGATCACGTACGTTCCCGCCCAAGTCTCCTCTTCCCGCCCCATACACCACCACAATGCCCACATAAACTAAACCAAAACCAAGCTATCCACCCTCCAATTCCGCGTCTCCGCCTCCGCTCAATCCCGCCTCTCCCACGCCCAAGCAGAAGCCGCCCGCCGCGCCGCCGCCCTAGCAGACATCGAAGCCGACCGCGATTCCGTCCGCCTTCGTGCTTTTCGCGAGAAGGCTGGGAGGGAGGCAAGGGAAGCGAGGGAAGCAAGGGAGAAGGAGGAGGCTTTGAAGAAGGGCGCTGAAGAAGCGGGGGAAGGGGCGGGGGAGGGAGAGGTTGATGCGCAGAGTGCCGCTCGACGGGAAGGTGTTGTATCGATTGAACACGATGAGGAGGAGGACAGTGAGGAGGAGGATCATGTGGGGTATGCCGGAGGAAGTGGGGTGAACGAGTCGTATTGGGGCGATGGGAGGAGGCTTGGTGATTAGTGTTGTATTCTGTAGCTTAGTGCCTTGTGAGATGTATAAAGCTGTAATATAGACTGTCCACGAAGCATCATACAAAAGTCTTATATTGCCGAAAAAGCAATACATAAGCCTACAACAAGACAAGCCACTTCTACCTCCCCTTCCTCCCACCCCCACGCCTCCCCGCACTCCCAACCTTCCTCACCTTCTCCCACCTCCTCACCCTCCTCGCCAACGTAACCCCCAAAGCTTTCAGGTAACTGAACGAAAACACCAAAAAGAAGCCGACCGTACACGGTATAGCGACTTTCCAAAAGTATGATACGGGGCCTTCGATCTGGGTGAAGTTTGTGAAATTCATGCCGAAATAGGATGCCTGCGGGGGTTGGTCAGTGGGTGTAGGGACGGGCGGACGGAGGGGGGGCTTACAATGAATGTGAGAGCTGAGGGTGAGAGTCAGTGGTGGTCTTTGAGATGAACGGGAGTAACTCACGCAAAAAGACGACGGTGACGATACTCAACCTCTCCATCGAAGCATTCGTCTGGAAACTCAACACATTCTGACCCATTATCAGCCATCCCCCCTCTCTTCCTCCCAGACAAGGGACAAGGGAAGAAAAAAAAAACTCACAAAAACATAATCCGTCAAATGATCACAAGTCGATACAAACTGCTCCAAACTCCCCACCACAATCTCCAAATGATCAATCACATCCTCAATATAAACCTTTGTCAGCGGTGTGAAAAACCCCAGCTGGGCTGTTTGTGAATTTGCAGCGGCTGCGCCGGCGCCGGCGCCGAGGGCTGTGAGGTTGCCGTGGGAGCGAGGGGAGAGGATGGATAGGACCGAGGCCGAGTCGTCTACTTGGGGGGTGTTGTTGCCAGAGTGTCTTTGGTTCAGGGGATTCAAATGCGACCCCCCCTGCGCCCCTTGCGCCCCTTGCGGCCCCCCATTCCCACCCCCACCCCCACCCGGCACCCCCTGCCCTCCCTCCTTCCCCCGCCCCACAGAACTAGCAGCCACAGACCGCTGCAGATCCTGGTCCCTCACGACATAACATACGTGCAAGAGCGGGGTGAGCGCGCGGCGGAGGCGGATGAGTTGGGAGGAGAGGACGTGGAGGTGGCGGACGGTTTCCATCTATCACAGAGTATGAGCTTTGTCTGCGAGTGGGAAGGGGGATGAGGGAAGGGACGAACCTGGGGGTCGACGAGGACGGAGGCTTCCATCTTTAGGATCTCGGATTCGAATGTCTGCGATACTTGGATGGACAGATCCGCAACTACGTTCATATCAGCGTGGTGCTCATCACAAGCAAAGTCAAGGGCTCACCAGTATCCAGGATAGCCTGCGCTAGCATACTCACATCCCCAGATCGCCTCAACAAACTCTGCTCGTCTCGCAACCTCGCGTATATCGGCGCAAGCACTTCTTTTGCTGGTTTCGCGTCGAGGGATATCAGCGTACCTACGCAGTATATTAGCATATCACATTTGTTACGTCGAGGACGACTTGCCATCACGAAGCATAAAGATACTGAGAATGTTGCGCCTTATCGGGACCATATACTCTGCACTCAGCTCATCTACCGTCAACTTGTGCGCTTCCTTCTCCGACGCCTACAACCCCCATCAGCTCAACGTCCTTACAACAACTGACAAGGAAGCACAGACTTCTGCTCGTTGAGACCCAATACCCCGGCGGGGAGCAATCATACTCGGCTCGAATACCCCCTGGATGTCATCCGGCAACCCCACCCTCCTCCCCGCGCCTTTCCCTCCAAACAACCCCGCTTTCCCATTCTGCCCCCCATGCCCGTGCCCGTGCCCATCCCCATTCCCATTCCCTCGAGCCTCATCCCCCTCCCCCTGCCTCGTCCCCTCCGCAATCTCATCCGCCGCAAGCGCCAGCGCCGCATGGTCCGACGACCGCGTACGGTGGATGAGCAGCTGGAGGTAGAGGTGGTTGCGGTAAAAGTCGAGTTTCGAGCGGGGCGAGGATTCGGCTTCGAGTGCGTCTTCCACTGCTAGCGGGTGGAGCCTACATGCAAGAGGTCAGATGGCAGGCGGAGAGGGAGGGGGGAGGGACTTGCCCGAAGTGGAGGACGAGGGTTTTGATCACTTCCCAATTGATACCATCGATATGGACTGTACTTTAATCAGTATCGGCTTAATGGCCTAGGATCTGTACTCACTCCATCGAACACCTATAGGTTTGCCGTCTTCTCCAATACGCCGCTTGCTGTGCGTGCTGTCGAGCCATTCTTGTAGTTTCTCGCCTGGAAACTGAGACGCGAGGTTCATGCCTTCTTCGTTTGGGTCTGACGAGTAATCCACCACCTGTAAAGTAGTCAGAAGTTGAAGATCAATGAGAAAAATCACTCACTTTGATCTTGGTCTTCGCCTTCAGATGCCCATACGTCTTCTCATCCCTCTTACTCTTCACATCCACCCCCGGCTCATCTCCCGTCCCATCCGCCAAAACAGTATTCAACCACCTATACTCATCCACCCCATGCGCCTGCCCTGGTGCTCCCGACACTCTACGATGACGGACCCCACCGAGGGTCGCGGTGGGGGAGATGGACCGGCCAGAGGAGCGGCTGGGGACCGGTTGAGCTTCGGCGTCGTTGTTGGATGTAAATTGGCCGATATGGGAGGCTGGGGGGTCGATTGATTGGTCGCCTAGGGAGCGAATGCCGAATCCACCTAGATAGCATGTCAGCATATGGCCGGAAGTACCTGCCGATCACGACTCACTCGAGCTGCTGGACTGGCGCGAGGCCTGTGGGGCAGCAAGATTCGCCATCTTGCTGGAATTCCGAGTGATATTTCGCCGTAGATGAGAAAGAAGATGAATTGGATGCAGCAGTGCCATGCCGCAAGCGAGAGATGCTGCGAGAATGACCAGGTTGGATCGAAAAGAGATTAAAAACAAGGCTCAAAAGAAACAACAATAGAACCGGTCAGGAACTGGTTACGTCAGAGGCGCCTGGCGATAAGATCGGCGCGGAGTTTGGTGCATCTCCGAATTCCGATACTCTGTCGTTCAACGTCGACTGGAGTGTTCTTATTGAAAGCAGGCGTTAAGCAGCGAGCGACTTTGGCCACATATGAGCGATGAATATACTCCAGATACAATCTGCTGTGAAATGGATCGAGTCACGAGGCAAGAAAGAAAGATGGCTGGCGCCGCCCGTAGTGGTGGCTGACGCCAGGCCGAGCCAAGTGCCTCTTTAGATGCGATTGATCAAAGTTATAGAGCTTCTGCTTTCCTATTCCGTCTTGGTGAACACAGACCCCGTACTCCCGCTACAGAGCTACGGGCATGCATGACGGATTTGAGAGCTCTGGCGATGACACGTGACTACAGCGAGGAGACGATGCTATCGTCGGGCGGCGTAGGGAGTATTTTTCAACACTGCTGATTTCTGATTAAATCAACTGACAGGAGGATGAGACAGATGGTAAGTATGGACCTATGCACATATATCAACTTGAATAACTGTCCCATGAAGCGCTATATCATACGGGTATGGCATGGTGTCAGCCACCACGCCACTCTGACCCGGCGCCTTGACAACGCGGCGTCGCCCGCTGATGGACGTTCTCACTCTTCTCTTTCATATCATGAAATCACACCCACCACAACAGCATCGCATTACACCAGTCTCGCCGAATTGCTCCCCCCACGACGAGCAGAGCACCCGTGCTTCGTCTTCTGCGCCACCATGCAGCCCCCCGCCCCCTTCAGATTCCTAAACACCGGCAAAACCATCACCATACCATGGACCCACCACAACGACTTTTGCGAAAGCCTTAGTTACGCAGCTGCAAGAATCGATCATCATACCACAATAGGCGATGACTGCAAGAACATGATGATACCCCATTTCAAGCTTGTGTACGACCAGCACGTCGTGAGTTGTTCAAATACGTTGCCCTGATGGTATCTCACATCGCTGACCTCACATCAGCTCGAGAATATGCACGCCAATACTCTCCTTCGAGACTTGAACCCTGACCTTTTCATGGATCGCCAACAAGCCCTCCACTGGGACTCTGCCTTCCCCCAGGACAGTTTCCACTTTTACGTCGATTCCAAGACCACAAAGGTCTACTCGACCATCTGGCACGGGATGAAGTGTATTCAACGGCCTCTGGAGGACCTACAGCCCATTGAAGGGGGCGATCTCGCGATGAACCGGACGCACGAGGGTGGGTTGATCCGAGCTCTTGCCAGGTTGAGACCTGACCTGAATCTTACAGACAGAATGATCATCGGCAAAGTCATTACGCCTGTAAAGTCCGGGTTATGCCTCAGCTTGTGAGCTCATTCTCATCTTGCTAGCATGTGACTGACGATGTCGTAGCTACATCGAAGACCCCTCCGGCGCTACATTTCCCGTTCTCATCAACTACCCCACTCCAATTCCCCATTTCTCCCTCTCTCTCGCCCAAACTCTCGCCAACCTCTACCCTCTCGGCTCAATCCTGGCTATCAAGTCTCCCCGCATCGGCTTCAACGCCAACGGAGGGTACGCCATCAAGGTCAATATGCCTCAAGAGATCGAGGAGCTCCGTCCAAATGATACGCTGCTCCGAGAAGTCAAGTGGAAGGTTGGGCTGAAGGAGGAATCGCCGAAGGGATGGATGACGTACAGAAGGCAGGGTAGTGAAGCGATGGGGAAACAGAACCCTCTGGTCAGTACCCGTCTCACATAAGGGGATTTCTCTGACGCGACTCCAAAGGTCGCTCTCCGTTTCTATTCCCTCGGCTTGTCCGACCCCGACGTCAAGAACACTCCCTTCAAAACCTTCGCGCTGCTTCTCGAGCGCGCCGAGGTATACGATACTCTTCATCTTCACGGCTACGCCTATCGCGATGCTCATCGAGCTCGAGAGTCTATCGAAAACAACGACATCCCCCTCACTCCAGGCCAGAACGATCGCCTTTGTCTCCGTCTCGCCAAAGCTGCCCTTGGCCTTCGTCTCTACAAGACCGCGCTTCAAGCCTTCGAGCAGGCGTCACCCAGATCGTTCCTCTCGCTTGAGCTCAAGAAGGTCAGGGAAAAGGTGGAGATGAGGATGAACGAGAAACAGTCAGGCGCATACGACTGGCTTGCCATCTTTCGCGAATCGCTGGAGGCAGGATCCCTCGTCGAGCTGGATATCCCCGACTACACCTCCCCCGCTTGCAAAGTCGACCAGATCCCCGGAAGCGGCCGAGGCGTCCTCGCTACCCGCGATATCATTCCCGGCGAACTCATCATGGTCAGCAAAGCCATCGCCCCTTCTCGAACGCAGCTCGACGCTCCCAACGTGTATATCAACTGCTACGACGCCGAGTCAAAGAGCCATGTATACCATACGACCTACATGTGGGTTTATCGTTTGTTGCACAGGATATACGACGACCCATCTCTCGTCACCGTGCTTGAAGGCTTTTCCTCTTCTGGCAAGGTTCCTTCTCCAGAACAACTTCCCCAATTCGAAGACGAAGACGCCCGTCTGAAGCTCATTTTCGCTACCGTGCCCTCCGACTTGAGCCTCAACACGTTCCGGCAGATCTCGAAGACAAATGCCTTCGGCGGATGGTCTGTCCCTGCCAGGGGCGCCGGATTTGATAAGGGTGTGAACGATGAAGCGGCGCTGAAGATTAGCAAGGAGGTGGGGGTATGTTTGCACGGGATGCCTGCGTTGATCAATCACTCTTGTTGGCCGAACATGACAGGATGCTGGTATGGCGACGTGAGTCCTTCTACGATCCCTTGCCAATCCGGGGCTAACGAGAGCGTAGATGATGATCCTTCGAGCCAGCAAACACATATCCGCCGGCGACCAGCTCTTCATGTCGTACAATCGAGATGAGCCCTCTTACACCAGACGACAACCTACTCTGGTCAACTGGGATTTCGAGTGCACCTGTTACCTTTGTCAAGCCGACACCCGCCCCCAAGAAGATCCCGATACGAGGGCTGAATTGACGAAGAAGAATGTCTCGCTACTTTTCTCGAACCCTTCCGAGGCCGGCAGTCAATGGACAGTCGCATCCAGAGCGAAACATTTGCGCGATGCGGAAAGGTTGGAAGGCTTGGTGGTGGAGATGGGGAACACTTACGCACCAGGAAGACCTCAGCGGACCAAGGGGGAGCTGGCAAGGATCTACAGCAGGCTGGGGAGAAGCTATTTCCTCGCGGCAGAGCCGGTAAAGACCGAAGCCGTGAGTAGACACTTCTCTCGAGGAACGCTCGGTTGACGGTATCGCAGGCGATTCTCAACTTTCTCACGTGCGCTGGCGTCTCGCTTACGACACGGGAACAAGAACGTCGAATTGGAAGGAAGCTTTACGAGAGCCATTATTTGGAAGATGAAGTGATTCTGGGTATGATCATGTTGGCTGTCGTCAAGGGGGCGAAGGTATGTCATCTATCAGTGACTATCGGAAGATCCGCTAATGGGCTTTTAGGACATGCTACAGGCTAATAAGTGGGCACAGGCTGCTCTATGGATTCACAACGTGCGATACGGCGGGGGTGTGGCATTGTTCAATGAACGCTATAACGACCATCTACTCTCTCATTTTCCCGTCAAGTTTGACCTTGGGGAATGATCCCATGTTTATATAGTTGAGTAGTTTATGCGCCGACAAGTATCCAGAAGGACGTGACATGTACATGAACGTTCAGTCTTTGATCAGCGGGACACGACAACAAGCGATGCCTAAATGGGGGGTCAGAGTCCGATTGAGCTTTATAACAGGCCTCATCGCCCGCACAAGCCTAACATAGATATGGCGTACTTTCGGCCCGGCTCAGAGAACACATAGCCTACCCACAAGAGAAGGTAGGACCATGCCGAACGTACGAAGTTATCAGGTTATGCAAACGTTATCATTCTTAGATTGCAATTCTCGTGGTACTCGAATGTATAGACTCTCATATGTATTTTTCCGCCATCTCTTGCGAAAGCGGTGCTGCAGCAGCTTTCTCTTCTCCCATTATACAACAAACATAATGACGAGATGCTCATTAAAAAGTGGCTGCTCTAGCACGACCCCACCACTCAACATTCTTTGGAACTATCCTTCAGTACACATCAAAGCATAGCATAGTCAGCATTGATCGCTTGACGCAGCGTATACGCTTCCATGTATCAATCACCGCATGGACTTGAAGCATGTTCGTGCCCGGCGGCCTCGTCAAATCGCGGCGTTGACCGCTAATCATCGTGTAATCATCGTGTTTGTGCAGATCTTTTGGCTTGCAGATCTTGCCCTCTTTTCCCTCGGCATCTCAGAAGGGATGCATTGGGTAAAGACATCCGGAAAATAACACCATGTCGTAGGGGATCATTCAGAGTCGTCAACAAACGTGGTTTCGAGCATGGGGGAGACGAGTTGGGACGAAAAGGCTGCGGCGAGTGAGATACTCGAACTCATCGGAAGCGTCATTGTCTGACACCAGATTCCTAGATCACTGTCACCTTTCTCTCTATTCCTCCATACCACTACTCTTTAGTCGCCACACCTCTCTCTCCGCTTCCACCCTCTCGTGCACAGCACTTGTCCGCCGCCTACATCACCATGGACGAAGAAGTTGCCGCCCTCGTAGCCTTGGCCGAAACTGGCAATAGATGCGCCAAAATCCCCTCCCAACGTCACAAGGCGTTCGTCGACGGCGCCAAAGTTGCAGCTGCGAGGCTCGGGCACCACGCCCAGATAGACGAGCAGGCCAAGGCCCAAATGGTGCTTCATATGAAGAAGGCGCATGAACTGCACGTTGTAAGTGGTTTCTTGGACTTGGCCTGCTACTCTAGATGTTTCGGGTGCTGACATTGCATCAGCTACAAACACTTTGGTCTGGTCAGCTCCTACAAGACATAGACCCTTCTTCCCTTTTGGTGACTCGCCAGCAAGCCGAGTGGGAGGCTACGAACCCCGACGACGACATCCATCACTTCTACGCTGAAGCCTCCTCGAAGACGACCAAGGTGATCTCCACAGTATGGAACGGACTCAAGTGCTATCAGAAGCCTTTGGCGGAGCTGCAAACCATTGGACTCCAAGGTCTTGCAATGTTCAAGACGCACGAGGGTGAGTTCATGGGAGCTTTGGCCAGAGTCTTTGCTGACTCTGGTAGACCGTATGATCATCGGCAAAGTCATTGCGCCTGTCAAATCTGGATTAAGCCTCAAGTTGTAAGCTGTCTTGAGCTATGTCTGACACGCGCTCATGGTAATATAGCCACATAGAAGACCCATCCGGCACTGTCTTCTCCGTTCTCATCAATTACCCCCTTTCCCTCTCTAATACGCTCGTCAAACTTTACCCCCTGGGCGCGATTCTGGCAATCAAGTCTCCTCGAATGGGTCTAGATGACAACGGGATGTTTGCCATCAAGGTTGACATGGCGTACGAGATCGAAGAGTTGCATCCTAGGGATCTGATCTTGAAGGGGGTAAAGTGGCGGGAGGGATCAAAGGAGGAGACGTCAAAAGGGTGGAAAAGGTACAGAGATGCGGGGAATGCAGAGATGAGGATTGACAACCCCTTGGTAAAGTGGCCTTATCGGAAAAGAGACAAGCGCTGACAATATCTTCAAGGTCGCTCTCCGCCTCTACTCGCTGGCTTTGTCCGACCCAGAAGTCAAACAAGACCCTATCACAACTTTCGACCTCCTTCTCAATCGCACCGAAGCCTATCGTGCTGTTCATCTCTACGGTCACTCCTTTCGAGATGCTCGCCGAGCTCAAGGAGTTGTCAAAAACAACATCATCTCCCTCTCCCCAGATCAAAATGATCGCCTTCATCTCCGACTCGCCAAAGCAGCCCTCGGCCTCCGTCTTTACAAGACCGCCCTCAAATCTATTGATGCTACTTCTAAGTTATCACCTTTGGGGCTCGATATCAACAATATGAGGTACAGAGTGAGGGCTAGGATAGTCGAGAAAGAACACGGCGGATACGACTGGCTAGCGATCTTTTGCGCGTCGTTGAGAGAGCCGCTGGCGGAGCTGGATGTCCCCGACCGAATGTCGTCCGCTTGTAGAGTTGCTTTCTTTCCAAGACAGGGCCGAGGTGTCATCGCCACCCGCCACATCGCCCCCGGCGAAGTCATCATGGTCAGCAAAACTATCGCGCCCTCCAACCCCAAACTCGACGCTCCGAACGTGTACGTGAACTGCTTTGACGCCGAATCGCAGAGTCATGTGCCTCACTTGACTTATATGTGGGTGTATCGGATGCTGCACAAGATATACGATGATCCTTCGCTACTCAACGTCCTTGGAGGCTTCTCTTCTGACAGTGATCCTTCTCCGGCACATCTCCCCATGCCGGAAGAAGACGAAGACGATCGTCTCAAACTTCTCTTTGCGCCAATAGCCCCCAGCCTTAGCCTCGACGCTTTCAGGCAGATAGTCAAGACCAATTGCTATGCCGGTCGCTCCGTCCCTGCAAGGGGCGCGGGTGTCGAAGGGATTATGGATGAGCGCCTATCCGTTGCAAAGGACAGGGATCCGGTCATGTTCCTTCACGGGATGCCTTCGATGACGAATCACTCGTGTTGGCCGAATATGACCGAGTGCTGGTATGGCGATGTACGTCCCTTCACCTCTTTGCGTTAAGTGCACAGCTGATGAAATTGCAGATTATGGCTGTACGCGCCGGCAGATTCATTACCTCCGGCGAAGAACTGACAATATCATACGTCCAAAACAACCCCTCTTTTCCCTCTCGACTTTCTTCCCTAGCCAGCTGGAACTTTACTTGCTCCTGCGACCTCTGCAGGGTTGATCGTAGGGACTACGACGACCCCAATCGAAAGGCCCAGATCATGGAATTCGCCCTTCCGCTGCTCTTCTCAATTCCTATCTCGGATGTCAACGTTACCGATGAGGTGAAGGACCTGCACAGGCGCAAGGCGGAGGAGTTGGAGAAGGTGGCACAAGCGGTGGGAGAGACTTACGCAGAAGCAAGGCCGTCGGATACCATGGGCGAGCTCGCACAGATCTACAACCGCATTGGCAAGAGCCACTTTATCGCCGGACAGCACGCAGAAGCCGCAGAGGTGGGTATGCACTGATCAGGAAGGTCATACATGCTTACCATTTCTCAGGCGCTTGGATCCTTTCTTTTATACGCTGGTATCTCACCAACCACAGAGGCGCAACAGAAAAAGCTCGGACGGATGGTTCACGAGAGCCACAATCTGGAAGAGGAGGTGATCTTGGGGATGATGCTTTTGGCTGTGTTGCGAGACGATCAGGTAGGTATTCTCCCGAATACTTTCTGGCTGTAATCTGACGTATCACAGGATGCCGACGGAAATTGCAAGTGGGTACGCTCGGCTCTATGGCTACACAACGTACGATACGGCGGTGGAAAGGCGTTGTTTATGGAACGATACGGGCATTTGCTCGCGGCTTTAAGGGTGAAGTTTGACTTTGAGAAGTAATGGGGAGATTTTGTAGAAGAGATCAGTACCTTGTAGCCGATATGTATTCACCAGGATGTTCTTTGTCAGAGAAATCGCGACAGTCGAGTCGCGTCGATGATGATCTTGTCGTCGTCAAACCTCTTCAGTTCTTCCAGCATGTTTGCCGATCTCGACATCGCTCGTCCCAACAATAGATTCCATAATAAGCAGATCCAGAATGCACACCTGACATAGCACATTACTGTTGTGATAGGTATACGTTGTCCTTCAACTTCCACTGAACTCGTCACGGTGCTGCGAGGACCCGCTGGTGTTTGGATTCGGTCCCATTGTGTCATCTGAATTTGCCAATACACCTCAGCCTTCTATACCCCCGACTGGTTCGTCCTCTTGTCAAAAAGTCCCCCTTGCAAGTTCTTTCAGCCCAGCAGATGATGTCTCCACCCGCTCACCACGCGTCTCCCACCCTGTTCTCCCACCCTGCTCTTCCACCCTGCTCTCCCACCCTGCTCTTGACGCCCTTGAGTATCGGCTGCACCTTGTCGCAAAGATGCAACAATGGCCTTTTGTCGATGGAAATATGGGCGTCGAGGAGTATTGATTACGCTTAGTGAACGGGAAGATGAAGTATCGAAAAGTGTCAATGAGCGATTGAGATCGAGGGGATCGGGGAGACTGGAGAGGTGAGTGGCCTTGGACGCTGAAGAGAAGGTCAGTCTCGGTCGGACTTAGGGACATAAGGTAAAGGGGATATCGGAAGACGCCCGAGGCTCGAGAAAGACGCGAAACGCATGAAAGAGGCGAGGTGAATGTAGGAAGGGCAGGGAAAACTCACAATACGTCCCCAGACTGCTGCGCCTGCCACTCTCAAATCTAGCTCCATCCTCTGAGGACATAATGGGTGATTTGTGGGGGCGTGCTGGAGTAATCTCACTAGAAGACCGAATTGCGATCGTCGGTTCATAAGAAACGGCACTGCAAACGATCAGCTTCATTCTCAACATCTCAAACAACACTCACATTCCCTCAGTCCCATCCCTCCACAGCCCACATAGCCTCTTCGGCGCTAACCTTCTTGATCTCCAACATATCATCCAAAAAACTCATCAACCTCGCCTTGTTCTCCCCCAAAGACGGCGCTAGCACCTGCACCGTATTCTTCCTCACAAAGTCGATCGTCGGTTCTGCGAGGGGATGACAAAGGAGAAGTTGGATTCGGATAGGACACGATGGGGTGCGGGTGAAGAAGGAGCCGAGTTGGGAGATGATGCCGATCAGGGCTATGCAGAACGTACGCCTATACTCAAGCGACTTGTACGTCTTGTCGTCCATTTTGAACAGATACCGTATCCTGCTTTTCACAGCCCAAGATATAGCAATGTCGGCAACGTTGTTGATGTAGTCTTGCCATACGAACGGGTCGGAGGCGCCGACGGGAATGACAGGTACGCAGACGGTAAGGGTTTCGGCGTTGAGGTGGTAATGGTGAGGAAAGTTGAGTTTGGCAGGAGAGTGGAGTTGGGGAAGGGCTGTTCGGACATCGACTGCACCGAGCTGAACGACCAGGTTTCGGACAGACCCACATCGCTCGCTCAAGAGGATCTCCAAATCTTCCATCGCCCCGGCTCTTCGCCCCTCTGGACAGGCCGCAAACAGCCGTGGAGGGACGAGCACCGAAGTGACACCCGGAAAGGCAACCCTGTCATCTGGCATATACACCACTCCATGCAACCCCTCCCAGTCTGGCAGAGTGAGCACTTTGGTGCACTGTCTCATCACCACAGCAACATCCACAAGATCCCTCGGCTTTGCGCGTTTCAAAGCCGTCGTCCATATGTCGACTTTTCCTTTTGTGATGACGACGCGGTCGTAGAGAAGGGGGATGTAGTGGTTGTAGTGGTATCGGGAAAGCCGCAGACAGGAGAGCGGGGATGCGAGGAAGAGGTAGTCGATGAGGGTGTGGTAGATGGGCTGCAGAAGCTGGAAGGGGTGGTAGAGGATGGTGGGCGAGGGGCGCGAGATGAGGCGGGAGGTGAATGCCGATGCCATGGTGGCGAGCAGGGGAGGCCGCGGTGGGGTGTGGTATAGCAAAGACGTATTGGAGAGAGAACAACAGACGCGAAAATCAAAACACGCGGGCAGAAAGATGGACGTTTTAGGCGCGCCAAGTAGGCCTGCCGAAAGCTCTCTGCCGAAAAGACATACGTCTGAGCTACTTTCAAGAAACTAAACATTCTTGAATAGCTCACTAACCGCGGCTGGCACCCTCTCTTGTATTCTCCCTGGTATAGCGACACTGTAATGCATCTGAATACGACTTTTTGTTGCCCACCTATTCGTCTCGGACATCCGAGCGGCCTTCGCCGACGAACCGCCGTCGTTCAACTTTTGGAAGACTCCAGTCTTTTCTTGTACTTATGGTGTTCAGTGGTAGATCCCTCATCGGTTCATCGACAGCCCGCGAATTCCCGCCGATTTTGCTCTATATATCTTCTATTGCTGCTAGACCAGAAACGATCTCGGGCGATGAGAGAAGATCGCAAGGGTCAGGAGTGTGAGGCCTGTAGCTCGGTACGCCTTGCTCGTGTCTCTTGGACTATAAGGACCCCGATACACTCCTGGGAGGACCTTCCGAATCGATCGGTACGAAAACAAACATGAACAAAAAGAGCCAGTACGACAATTCATCACCAGCACGGCAGCGTCAGCCATCGTCTCGGCAAACTCCCCGAGCGGCTCACAAAGCACAGCACGACAGTCCTCGATAGCTCTTGAGGTTTATGGACCCCAGTAGTCTTCGGCAGCCTTAAGGACTCTAAAGATGTAATGTATGCGAATTGACAATCAATACATGCCCTCTTGAACACTGAGATACTCCTGTAATAACAGCCGAAGCACAAACCCGATCCCCCAACGCGTCGCTGCGTTTAAACCCCTTAAGCCAACTCATGATGCTCGATGTCCTTCTTCTCATCCTTCCCATCACCCTGCTGTTGATCGATACCTACAGCGCCGTCCATCATCAGTCTTCATATCTTTCGCGGAAAGTCGAGAAGACATACCTCGATCCACAAGCTCCCTCTCCCTCTCCTTCACATCAATCCTCCCCACTCCTTTCGTCAACGGCACGATCATGTTCATCTCCCTAAAGTACATATCCATCTCTTCCAAAGTCCTCCCTCGGGTTTCGGGGAAGAAGAGGTAGAATGTGATGGCGTTCGTGAAGGAACATACGCAAAAGACGAGGTAGTACTTCCATCCTATCGCTCGTCAGCTTGTGATTCGGACAAGTCGACAAACCAAGAGGGAGAAGAGAGAAGGGATGCGGAGTACATACCGATATCAGCGAAAGCCTTTGGGGATACCTGTCCAATCATGAAATTCGAGATCCAAGCTGCCATATTCACCATCGCCGTCGCCTTGGCTCGGATAGCAGTATTCATGATCTCCACCGGGCTGAGGATGTACATCAGCTCCACGACGAGGCAATCAAAGGTAAAACAAGACTCACTAGATCCAAGAGAGTGGCCCGATACAAGCGGAGAAGAAGAAATTGTAGATGTAGAGTACGATGACGAAACCAATCCCTTGCCCTCGACTTCCTTTCCCATCTGAAAACTGCTTTGCCAGCGCTCTTCATGATGCACACGTCAGCGTGTTCTACCTTGCACTTCTCGAAAAATCGAAATAGCAATGGAAGACTCACGTAGCAACAGCAAAACAAGTCCCGCTCAATATATTCCCAAAGATCAACGGGAATCGCCTTCCCACTTTGTCGACGAAGAGGATACAGCAAAACTGTGCGATGAGCGCGTTGACAGAGTTAATCGAGTTGATGAGGAGGGAAGTGTGGGTGGAGAAACCGACGGATGCGTATACCGATCTACTTTCGTCGTCAGCTTGATGTCTGATGTGAGGGCACGGGAAGAGAAAGGAGAGCGTACGGGGCGTAGTATTGGATGGCGGACACACCAGTCATTTGCACAGAGAATTGTAGGATGATCCCATATAGAACCTTTCTCATGTTTGTCCGGTCTTGGAAGTTGAATATCTACCCCGCATCAGCCCTTCCTCCATTACAATCTACATTCTCGAAGGAAAAGTCTCACGAGTCTCCATGACTGCTGCATGACAGCCTCCGCCTCAACCTTGTCCTTGATAGCCGTGAACTCCCCCAGAACGAAGGCGTCGGATTCGTCCCCTTGAGCATGGAGACGAGCGAGACTGCGGAGGGCTTTCGAGTCGTGTCCTTTGATGATCAACCACCTATTCGGGACGTCAGCCTGACGCTTCCGTGTCTAGAGGAGACGATAAGAGGGGGGGAGGGAGCCGTACCGTGGAGATTCGGGGAGGAGGAACGTCAAGAAGATGAGAGGTACGGCAGGGAGCATCTGGAACCCGAGCTACCCCATCATACGTCAGCTCCTCCTCACTCGATGATTCCATTGAGATGCGCTTACGGGGAGTCTCCAAGCCATAGGCTCTTCCCCGTGTGTCTGTGCTACACCGTAGGCGATCCAGCCCGCGAGGAAGGAGCCGATACCGAGGAAGAATTGAAACGTTGCCGTTAGCATACCTCGAGCTGAGGGATGGGCTGAGGTCCAGGTCAGCCAAAATGCAGAGGGATTCTGTTATGATGGGGCGTACCGATTTCGGATTGATACACTACTGGGCATTAGAGACTTGTCAATAAGGGTAGACGAAAGCTTACGAGGTGTCAGAAGACCCAGCATACCGATACCGATACCAGCAAAGAATCGCCCGGCAAACATGGTCTCCTTGTTCTGCGCCGCCGTCTGCAAAACGCCCCCGACGATAAACACCACGCCCGCCACCGTGACTGATTTCAATCAGTACTTCTCCCTCCCATCGCACATATGATGTACTCACTAGCCATCCGTCTACTGAATGCGTCCGCAATTAAAGATGCCGGGATACTGCCGACAAACGCACCGAGCAGCATCGAAGAAGTGATGAAGCCGATATAGTTTTCGTCTGTGGTGTCAATCGTTTTGAGAAAGTCTGGGGCGACGAGGACGTAAGATATGACTCCGAGATCGTATCCGTAGAGCATTGCTCCCATGCTATCTTATGATCAGAACTTTGACATCAAACTAAGAGAGGAGTGGCACTCACGCGGCAAAGCAACCACATAGGAAAGTGTATACTTTGGGCGGTAACATCGCTGGAGATGTAGATTATAGTGCAAGTATAGTAGTACGACGAGAACAAAGAGAGTAGGACATCGAGACTTGTCTGCTGCGAACACAAGATATAAGAGCGTAATATCGCTACATGCGGACACCAAAACCCGGCTGTTTGCCGTGCCCAGCGGCCCGCGTACCCGTCATTCGATCAAGGTCCAGAAACAATAATCAGTAAGGCATTCTATTGGATGGACAAGTCCATAAAATCCGGAAGGGCTTCATCGAGCATGACATGGTGATCACGGGACGGCTTCGTCGGACTGGTGTTTGTACCGGGCTTAACCTCCTCGCTGCTTCCTCTCTCAGTCATGAGTCCTTGAGATGTCCCTGAAATGACGAGGGATACACAGGGCACACTTCCCACGACGAAGCGGCAAAGATTATGAGAGATGGTTTCAGGATCACCGGGCCGCCCGCTCCCGGAACGCCGAAGCGTCCTCTCGGGCCAAAGATGTTACGGCGACATCCACGCTCTATCAGCGAGGTATGTTTAACGCTTTTCGTCACATGCCACACGAAATCAGGATTCTTTCCCATAACAAGCTGTGACTCTTTGAGTCTCGCTATCCGCCTTGCCCTTCATACCACCATGGGCTTCTACAGTCAACACGTCACAGTCAACCAGTCCCTCATCCAGCAGCAAGGCAAAGCCGACTTTCCGTCCTCCCCATCCCATCCCAAAACCCTCAAAAGCACTCCGATACTCCTTGACCCCTCACGCCTCGTCTATCCGTCTGAGCCGCCCGTGACCGACAAGCTCTACAGCGGCTTCCTTGAGCACGTCGGGAGGTGCATCTACGGAGGTATTGTTGACGATCCCAAATATCCCAGCCCGGAAAATCTTCTACAGAACCAAGATGCTGAAGGGCATGCGGAAGGCAGACTGGGGTGGAGGAAGGATGTATTGGCTTGCTTGGCCAAAGACGGAGAGCTCGAAATCCCAATGCTAAGATGGCCTGGTGGTGAGTCATCCAGCAATTCATCTTCGTACGCAGTACAGCTTGCTGATCGTACGTCGAAGGCAACTTCGTCTCAAACTACCATTGGCAAGATGGTATCGGCCCTATCTCTGACCGCCCAAAACGTATTGAGCTCGCCTGGCTCAGCGACGAATCCAACGTCTTTGGAACGGACGAGTTTATCGACTATTGTCGAGCATCCGGGGCCGAACCTTACATCTGCCTCAACAGTACGTCTATATTTTCTTTCTTGGCAGATAGCTGAAGAATATGTAGTGGGTTCTGGCACGCTGGAAGAAGCTCTGTCTTGGGTAGAGTACTGTAACGGTACGGGCAACACCCAGTACGCTTGGCTTTCCCATCCCGTCCTTCTCGGCTCAAGCTGACAACACCTCAAGCTGGGCAAACCTTCGACGCAAGAACACCGGTCGAAACGGGCCTCACAATGTCAAATATTGGGGTCTCGGTAACGAAAGTACGGTTCCCCTACCTCTCATATCGCCTCATCTCTGATCTCTGACGATACCGTAGTGTGGGGTCCATGGCAAGTCGGCAACCTTCTCCCATCCGAGTACGCCCGCAAAGCCCGTCAATGGGCTCACGCGCTCAGGCTCGTCGATCCGAGCATCATCTTGGTCTCTTGTGGCGAGACCGTAAGTCTTCTTTTGCTTCCCATCGCAGACCATGGAACGCCGAAGCTGATGTGCTGGCGCGAAGGGAGCGTCCGATTGGGATCGAGAAGTCATTCAAGCACTTCTTCCTTTTGCCGACTTGCATTCCATACATTTCTAGTGAGTCATTCCCTTCTGTAATGAGTCTCATGGGGCTTACATGAGATCCAGCTCAATGCTCGGCCATGATAAGTACTCTAGCGTCCCCGGCTATGAATATGAGAAGAACGTCTTTGGTCCTGCCGTGTGTCGCCCTTTCTCTTCTATCCATTCAGGGACCCTGTCTGTTCTTATCTCCTTCCTCTTTTTGATACCGCTTGTGCGAACGCAGATAACATGCTGACTTCTTCTACAGGCGGCCGAGAAGCACATCGAGATCTGCAAATCCCTCATCGACCTCGCAAACGTCTCGCGCAGCTGGGAACGTATGCCCGCTAAGGACATGAAGATATGTTTCGACGAAGTGAGTAAATCCTTCTTCCCCCATCTCCCGCTACCTTCTCCCTATCTTTCAAGCCTCCGGAATAGACGGCTGATGAAAGCAACAGTGGAACGTCTGGGATGAGCTGAAAGCTCCCGGCTCTGCGGGTCTTGAACAGTGGTACGACTACACCGACATGCTGGCTTTCTGCGCTTGGCTCAACGTGCTTGTGAGGAAGCATAAGGATATTGGGATCGCTTGTCTCGCTCAGAGTGTCAATGTCGTACGTCCCCTCTCGTGCAGTTTGATCTAGCCCCCTAAGCTAGAGGCGATGTGTTGTTGATGCAATATCCAGATCTCGCCGTTGATGACAAACAAAGACGGAATCGTCCGTCAAACACTCTACTACCCTCTTCAGTTATTCAGCAAGTATATGAAGGGGGGCCATCTTTTGCAGCTTCCCGTTTTTCCCGATGTCTAGTGAGCCTTATCGCTTTTCCCTCCTGTTCCTCCAATACCCAATCACAAAGCTGACGTTGGTCTTTTAGCATCGGTCCAACGTATCCGGTGTACATTCAACAAACCAACATCAAACCCTCTTACATCGATTCTGTCGCTATCATCGTCTCGTCCGAGGACGACAGCGAAAAGAGCGCGAGTATTAGGCTGAGTGTTCTAAATCGGCACCCGGAGGCCGATTGGAGCTCGAAAGTGGCATTTACGGGGTTTGGTGAGTCTTTGTCGATGAGAGAGGTGGTCAGATGAAGAGCGTTGGCTGATATGCAGTAGAGATGGAGAAAGTGGAGATTCACGAGATCTACTCCGACGACCTGGCCGCTATCGTAAGTTTTCACCGTCCTACTTGCGTCACGCATTCTCTGCTTTTGCGCATCAAGCTGACATTGACTCACAGAATTCGTTCGACGATCCCAATAGTATCCTTCCTAACATCGTCGAGACGAGTGGGAAAGACTGGGATGGTACCGTAGTGATGAGGAAGCACTCATGGTCGTTCTTTATCTTCAACGGACGTTTGGCGTGATCTATACTCGTACAGTCAACGGCTCGTGCGCGGAAGTCGTCAGAATCGAATGTAACATGTCTTAGGTTGCAGTGGGCAGAGATATGGAACGATTGTGTATCATGAATGGGGCTGTACGTTCACAGCTGGACGAATGAGCAATCAAGAATTCAATGCTTGACGTTGAGTGAACTCCGTTTCCAGAGCCTGAAAAGCAATACAGATAAACAATTATTCTAATAATACATCAAATCTTCATTAGTATAACGGTTAGTATAACCGCTTCTCACGCGGTAGACCAGGGTTCAACTCCCTGATGGAGAATATCTTTTTGCCTCTCTTTCTTTCATTTTTCTATATCAGCTCTTCGAACCTTGCCCACTCAGCCTGACACATATGGCAGTGCAATTCTTTCATTTTTCTATATCAGCTCTTCGAACCTTGCCCACTCAGCCTGACACATATGGCAGTGCAAAGTATGTCTGCTGGAGTGAGTGTCGGAGCACGATACCTGGAGTGGACGTATTGAGTCGCAAATGCATGCATGGCCAAGGTGGTTACCCACGCCGCGGTTCTGCAAGTACCCGTCCAGCAGAGGACCGTTCCTCCCATACCCGCGAAGACTCCCCCGATACGCCATGATCCTCGAGAACACTGATAGGCTCTCCCTTAGGCACATCCTCGTCAAACACATCTATCTCGTTGTCCCTGCTCTCTATGACTTTGTTCTCCACGACTTCATTGCTTGCAACATCCAACCCATTATCCCCAACTTGGAGCTCGATTCCGCATCTGTCATCGATACGCCTGTATTCAAGGATCAGGTTTCATGTGGGTTTTTAGAGGGAGGAACCGGACTTACCTTTGACGACGTTCGAGATATACAATGAGCAGGACGATGGGGATGACACCCGCCCACATGGCGGAGGCGTACGCTACACAACCTATCAGCCTATGACTCTCATCCTTCACAGCAGAATTACTCACTCCATCCAATCCTATAGTGCGGAGCCTCTAACAGAGATACGATTAGATTTGACTTCCTTACACAATCCTTTTATGACTCACCAGAAGCAGGCCAGATCTTGAGCGGCGCCCCAGCTCTATCAGCTGCGTGAGCTTTGGTCCACGGAAACCCATTGAAACACTTGATATGTACGCACGTGATAGCATAATACGTCGTCAAGAAAGCAGCAATGATAGCGGACCGCTCTTCCGCACTATGTTTCGCAAGCGTACCAACCCATGCTGCAAATCTACGATACGCGCATCAGTACTCTCTTTCAGGACGACGGTTCGGCAGAATCTCACAGGTTGGCGCCGGGAACGGAAATGCTGAGAATTAAGAAGCTCGCCATCTTTAACGCATCCGGGACGTTCCACTGGTTCTTGATCAGCTCAATTCGACATCACTTGAGGCAAGGGGAAGGAAAGACGTACACCAGCGAGCACGCTCGACCAGACGAGACCGTTCACAGCGCAGATGAGGACTACAGCCGCTTAGCACTGTACTGCCCTTGATCAAAGTACTCACTGAATGGCCACTGGACCCGAAAGCGGTCGGAGATACCGAGTATGACGAGGAGAGAGATGATGTTGAGCTATACCCGGTCGTGTCAGTCAAAGACTAGCTCAAAAGCCTGGGAAATGAACGCGACTTACACAGCTGACCGCAATGGGGATGATGCTAGGAGGCGGGAATTGTTGTCAGCATCTCCTTCTTCTCAGTAGCGCCAGTCGAAGACAGATGCTCACTTGACTTGCGAGACGCTAAACGAAGACAAATCAGCAAGACGATCGAATGTAGAGTCGGCGGTGTTAGACGTACGTATATCTGGCAGACCCATCATCGTTTTTTAGACTCTTGAGCCACAAGCTGAAGTATCCCACCCCGCTTCCCGCTTGATTATAGATGGTGTACCCCGCCCAGATAGCCTACTCGGCATCAGCATCTGTCTTTCTCGTAGTAAAGAGCCAGCCTCAACTCACCCAATTCTGAGGCCTCGATACCAGCGACTTGACTGTTCCCCAGTTCCATCCCACTGGCATCGCCCTCCCCTGGTTCCCTATCCTCCTCATAGCGACTTTGACATGTCGATGCTGGAGCCATTTCCCCATAGGGTTCGGTTTGTTGGGGTAGTCGGGACAGCCAAAGTAGCCCCAGGTGGCTACGGTGACGGTGATGATGGCGTTGATGATGAAGAGCTATCGTCCAGAGTGTCAGCGGTCGGCCGAGGAATGATGGATGGGAGGCTGAAGATGAATACAAAACGTACCCATTGCCAGCCTGCAAGACCTCCGTTGCCATTCCTACAAATCTATCAGCGGGAGCGATGGTAGTGCTGTGAAATACTCACAAGTTTGTATAGAGCGCCGCTTGCAGAGCTCCAGCAAAGATTGCTCCCACATACGATGCGCTTTCATATATAGCAAGCCGAAGACCGATTTCGGCTGGGGTGTACCAGCTGAGAAGGAGGACCAGGACTGATGAGACGTCGGCAACTTGTTAAATTCGCAAAGAAATATTGACATACTACCTGGCCACTAGAGAAGCCTTCAATCAGCCCGATAAATATCTCTCTTTAGACTTACTTACCGCTGTACCCTCGCAGAAGCCAATCAAGAACCGGATTCCATCTACGGACCCAGACTATCAGTTTGCGCCCGAGCAGTAATCGTAGACGCCGGTGCTCACAGATGGTCTTTGCACTCTTAGCTGCGGCGAGGGTTCCAGTAAAGATGCCCCACAAAACTGTATAGGTATCAGCATCGCAGAGTATCATCACCCAGTACTCACGTTCCAAAGTGGGAAGCCAGATACTCGGACGCACGACGCTGTTGATGACATATGTCGAGATGGGGATGACGATGAGATAGCCAATGTTGAAGTATGTCGTGAAGAAATTCAACTCGTTGCCGTACAGAGATAGCTGTATTACATATAAGCAGTTTAGCTGGAGACTTGCATAGTAGGGCTCACATCTTCTTTCATGCCGCTGACTGGGGATACGAGGTGTCAGCTCCGACTCGGTACGGCTGCCATGGGAACACCGACTGACCATAAGCATTTGAGATATTCCGCTGATCAAGATACTTGACTATGGCCGAGAGTATAATATCTGGGTGCCAATTGGTCAGCGCAAGTACCGAATGAAATCAAGCGCGACGACACTCACAGGACATGAAAAATATATCCAGCCTCCTGACCACTCCCTTCTCCTCTCTCCTCTCTCTATCCCACGTCGGATCGCTGAGGAAAAGCTCGTGCTTTAGCTTCCAGAAGATGCTGGCCATGATCAGGGAGTGATCTTGGAGTGATCTTGAAGGCGCGCGTAGGACACCCTGCGGTCTGGCAGGCGGAAACTGGAGGTAGTGTGGAGGGATACTGCAGAAAGAAACTTTCTTACATCATCTAGTGCATTCCCATCAATTCCATGTGCACCCACAAGGTCACAAGCTTATCGGGAGGGGAGCACCCCTGGCACTACCTGCGTGGCATTCCGCCAAGAAAGCCGCGCCTCGGATAGATAAAGAGCGGCATCGAATGAGATCTAATCAGGTCGGCGGACATTGCCGCCCGGCTGAAGTCGAACAACACTTTGTCGACACTTTGACAACAATATGTGCACTTGATTTGATCCGTCTCTGACGCGCGATGCTGCCGTGAACAGCCGATCGTACTGTACAGTTGTTGATATGGCCTCTACATGAACCTGATCCCATAATGATACGATAAATCCACGTCTTCACTTGGCCGTCGCGCCCTTTTCGTCCTAAGCTATCCTGAATCCATAACACGCACGTCATCCGATCCACCAAGGAAACCAGAAAGCAAACATTCCACAACCTGCACATCCTAGACCCGCGATAACTGCTCCGAAATGGCCTGATCAGCTAGAACAGCAATAACCTCCCTCTTCGGCAGATCCTCATTCGAAGCATACTTGCTCTCGATATCCGAAGCGCCGTCGTTCCCGGGCTCAATTGTGACTGCCGACTTTTGATCGATGCGCCTATACGTACAAGTCAGCAAGATTGCAGGGTCAAATGGGAGAAACCGGTAGAGCAAAATGTGGGACTTACTTTTGACGGCGGTCAAGGTATCTGATGACGAAGATGACGGGAATAGAAGCTGCCCACATGGCGGCGGAGTACTCTACAAGACCTGATCAGGTCCCACTCCTATCTTTCGATACAGTAGAAACTTACTCCATCCAATCTTGTAATGTGGCGCCTCTACACAACGTTGAATCAGCTTTCTCACCCTCAAGCTACCGTACCTGATCGCCTCAAAACTTACGAGAAGCAGGCCAGACTCTGAGCGGCATACCAGCGCTATCGACCACATCAGATTCCATGCTCTGACCCCTCAGTACCCTCGGATCGGACTCACGTGATAGCATAATAAGTCGTTACAAAGGCAGCGACTATAGCTGACCGCTCTTCAGCACTATGTTTCGCTAGCGTTCCGACCCAAGCCACGAATCTATGAGAGTATCATTAGTCCTTCCAACCATGACAGCTGAGTGATGTGCTGTGACGGCGGGCTTACAGATTTGCGCCGGGAGCGGAGATACTCATAATCAAGAAACAAGCCATCTTCAAGCCGTCTGGGACATACCACTACCCACAAGTCAGAGCAAAGACAGAGGAGGCAATCTGAGAGATGCAAGGACGTACACCGGCGAGAATGCTCGACCAAATCAGACCGTTGAAAGCGCCGACGAGAACTACATTCACATCAGCACAACTCCATATTCCCTTATGACGAGAATTTGAGGAAATACGTACTGAATGGCCACTGCACACGGAATCGGTCGGAAAGACTGAGAATGACGAGAAGTGAGAGAATGTTGAGCTATTCATGGCAACGTCAGCCGAGTGCTCTCGTTTTCTGGGAGGAGAGTGTCCTGACTTACGCAGCTGACAGCAATTGGTATCGTGCTACAGGACACATGAGCCTCTCCCAGTGACCACGGATACGGTTTTACCACAGCACTTACTTGACTTGGGAGACGCTAGATAGGCGTCAGTGAGCAAAGCCCCGGTGATGGAAAGAGGTCAAGACGTACGTGTATCTAGCAGTGCCATCCCCATTCTTCAAACTCTTCAGCCACAAGTTGAAATACCCCGTTCCGCTCCCCGCTTGACTGTAGATACTATACCCCACCCAGATTGCCCAATTTTGAGGCCTCGAAACCAAACTCCTCACCGTCGCCCAGCTCCACCCAACCGGTAACGCCCTCCCCTGATTTCCCATCTTCCTCAAAGCAACTTCCACGTGCCTCGGCTTGAGCCATTTGCCAAGCGGGTTTGGTCGGTTGGGATAGTCGGGGCAGCCGATGTAGCCCCAAGTGGCGATGGTGACGGTGATGACGGCGTTGATGACGAAAAGCTGTTGTTTTTGTCAGTCGATGACAGGACGGAGGCTAAACGAGAACGTACCCATTGCCAGCCTGCAAGACCTCCATTGCCATTCCTGAAGGGTTGTCAGTAAGAGCGCTGATATCGCGTCGATACTGATGAACACTCACAAATTCGTATAAAGCGCAGCCTGCAAAGCTCCAGCAAAGATACCTCCCAGATACGTCGCACTCTGATAGATAGCGAGTCGCAGACCAATCTCGGCTGGGGTATACCAGCTCAAAAGAAGGATCATAGCTGATGTGGCGTTGGTTCCCTGTGAGTATTGAGGAGAAAACGTGACGTACTGCCTGGCCACTGCAAGAGACGTCAGCTTTTGGTCAAACAGATTCCTCGCGCTAAAAGCACTTACCGCTGTTCCCTCGCAAAAGCCAATCAAGAAGCGAATTCCATCTACAGATCGTACTTCGTCAGATCGTCATTCTCCCAGAAGTAGATACAGATACTCACAGATCGTTTTCGCGTTCTTGGCCGCGGCAATAGTCCCGGTAAGGATACCCCACACGACTAAAATACGATCAGCAACACCCCTTACCCCACGATGGACCTCGAACTTACGTTCCAAGGTGGGGAGCCAGATACTAGGGCGTACGACGCTGTTGATAACGTATGCCGAAATGGGAATGACGATAAGATAGCCGATGTTGAAGTATGTCGTGAAGAGGTTCAATTCGTTGCCGTAGAGAGAAAGCTATGGCACGTATCAGCAATAATTCGCTCGACTATGGCATGGAGAATCATACGTCTTCTTTCATGCCACTGACTGTAAATCCATGGCATGTCAGCCTTCTCATTTGTTTGTACCAAAAATGCGACTGGACTGACCGTAGGCGTTCGAGATGTTCTGCTGATCAAGGTACTTTACGATAGCCGAAAGCGAGAGATCTAGCAGACATCAGTGGTGCATGCTGACCCAGGAGACAACGTCACTCACAAGACATGAAGAATATATCCAATCTCCTCACTACACCCTTCTCCTCCCGTCTTTCCTTGTCCCAAGCCGGGTCAGTGAGAAAAAGCTCGTGTTTGAGCTTCCAGAAGATGCTAGCCATAATCCGAGAGTGATATCAAGGGAGGGTGTAGAGTACCGATGGAAAGGAGAGAGGAAGGTGGAGTATTATGTATTAAACGAAAAGATCGTCTATGGGAGCTACATCTTACCGAATTTCGGTTCCCGGGCAACTCTCGCAGCTCACAATATCGGACATGAGCGGGTCTTGCTTTCGGGCAAACGCCATTCGTTCAACACGTCCAGAGTAAGCTGCGCATACAGATATATTACTCACAGCCAGAAAGCACGCATGAGAAAGAAGGCCACGGTGTAGCCTCCGAGCCGATAAGTGGCCGAAAAACGATCGCGACTGATAACGCAACTGCTTATCACCTGAACCGTTCCTGAACCAAATCCTCCATCACTTCCCGGGCTGAGTCGTTTCCATTTCGATTTTCAATCGGCAGAACTCCCGCCCCCTTGTATGGGAAGTGGCCTTTTCCAACTCAGAGACGTTACTGGTTATAGATGCTTCCCGATACATGAAGTGGAACTTGAGGGAGATTCGAAGCCCACATCGCGATATCACGTATCTTCTGACAAACGTCGCTTTCAGGACAGCCCCCAGCCAGTGAGGGTTCAGAGGGACTCGGCCACGGCGTTGATTGCACCAATTGGCTGATTGCACCATATCACAAGCCGGACAGGCCCAGTTGTAACTTTCATGTCATCATTCAACATCATCCCGACCCATGTGCCGCCACAAGTAACTCTTCAAAGCCCGAAGGCCATCTCCGAAAGCCTCTCCCTTCGCCCCGTGATTTCCCATCTCAGCAACCTCTGCATCTCGCTTTTATACTTTAGATATTCGACCCCGGCAGCGTTGTCAAGACCACACTTCGTCGCCATGAGCTACACCACCACCACCGTTGAGCACCTCCCCTCTCAGGCTGATATTAGCAGCAAACTCTCTCTTCTTCGTCTTCGGGGTAGTACGGACGAACAAGAGGGCAAGCCGGAGGAAAAGAAATCCAAGGTGCGTTTACAGCTTTGTCAGCTTGGTACAACATCGCACTGACTCCCGCGAAAGGCCAAATACCCACACTATCTTCCAGTCTGGGACAAGACCAAGTTTCCAGACTGGACTGAAGTGCCATACACAGACCCCGGATCTCGAGCTACCGCTGATAAGCGAAACTTGTTCACGCCCGGCTCAACTCACAAGGCGATAACTCCATCTTTGGGCGAAGAGGTTAATGTACGTTCCCAATGACAGCCCGGTAATCCATCTCCTGACATCCTCCTTCAGGGCGTTCAACTCTCCCAACTCACCAAGGAAGGGCTCGATGACCTTGCTTTGCTAGCCGCCGAGAGAGGTCTCGTAGTCTTTAGAAACCAAGATTTCAAGGTCCGTAACGCGCCTTTATCAATATGACCCTCTCGCTGACATCCGCGAATTGAAGGACATCGGGCCCGACAAGCAGCTCGACATTGTGCGACACTTTGGACGACTGCACATCCATCCCGTACGCCTCTCCCTATACTCACTACTATAACAGAAGTGCTGACCGTCGGCATTGTCGGTGTAGACTATGGTATGTTCCTGTCTGCATGACACCTGATAACCGGGCAACCCAAGCTGACGGACTCCTAGGGTCACCCCGAAGGTTACCCAGAAGTACGTCCGTATCCTCCTCACACCCTTCAGTCGACAACTTCAACCACTGACCTTTCTATCAGATGCACGTGGTCTACCGCGACCCCAACGATAGCACAATCTCGTACCTACCCCTCTTCCCTTTCCATTGATTCCAAAGCTGACAATCTTGTAGCCGCTACACCAAGCCCAACCAAGTCGGCCGCATCTCCTCCGTTCAATGGCACGCCGACCACGTCGCCGAGATCCAGCCGCCTGGTATCACCTTCTTCTTCGCTCTCGAGACGCCCCCTGTGAGTCTTGATACTCTCACCTCTCCCTTCGTCACGAAGACACTAACGCGAATTACAGGCCGGAGGCGATACAATCTTTGCATCCGCCACCGAAGCTTACGACAGGGTACATCCTCCTCTTTCTTGCCCCTCGCTTTGGTCACCAACTCAAGCTGACAAACACGTGATATATGCAGCTATCTGACGAGTTCAAAAAACGCCTCGAAGGTCTCTTGGTCGTGCATAGCAACAAAGACATGATCGACCATTCTGCAGCTATGGGCGGTCCGGCAAGGTTTACTCCCCTTGAGACACTTCATCCTCTCAGTACGTCTCTCCCATCCTCACATCCTCCCATCCTTTCTGTCTTCTTCCAAGATGAGGTCAGGGTTGCTGACAAAGACACAGTCCGTACCCATCCCGTCACTGGCAAAAAGATCCTCGCCATCCACGCTGGCCACGCCCAGCGTATCTACGGCTACAAACAAGAAGAGTCCGACTACTTGTTCAATTTCCTCGTCGATGTCTTGGCGAAAAGCCAGGATCTTCAAAGTGAGCTTGACGTTCAGATTCATGCTAGAGGGGATGGTGCTGATGTGTGCTGTAGCGAGGGTGCATTATGAAGAAGGGACGGTAGCTGTCTGGGACAAGTAAGTTATATTTTCACCATTCTTCGCGCGTCGTCGTAGCCCTGATCACTTTCCAGCCGTACAGTCCTTCACTCCGCCACCTACGACTTTAAAGGTAAGCATCCACTCCACTCGAGTATACAAGCTGACCGATTTGAAGGTGATGAGCGCCGTCATGTCGTCCGAATTGCAGCTATGGCCGAGAAACCTTTTTAGCGCAGTACCCGCATGTGTACTGTGATTCCCAGGAGAATGTAGTTTGATCAGAAGACATAATGGCGGATGAGGATCGAATGCAACGTGATGCCGATGTATACGCATGCTTTGCATCCCTCGCTTGTCTCTATCTCAAAGTCAGCGCCCCAAAACCCATCAAACCAGACAAACTCACAAGTATACACTCCCCTCCCTCTACGCATTCGCTATATCCTCCTCCCCCATCCCCTTAATCTCCACATTCCCTCCCTCCCAGTACCTCATAATCCTCCTCCACTCCTCCTCCCCTCTCTCCCCGATTTCCTTCCCATCCCCTTCCAACTCATGCGCCCTACAAGCTTCCAGCGTCGCCCCCATAATCCCATACAACCTCGTCGTCAACGTCTTTGCTATAGGTTCGGTGAAACCCGCTTTGTAGGGTATGACGATCTCCAGCTTGACTGCGGGGTACGGCTTCTCCCCGTATATCTCCCCCGCTACCAGGATCAACCTCGAAAACACCTTTCCCATCTGCTTCGCCCCCGTCAAAGCTTGGTTGAACTCGAATACAAACCGGACCTTATTCCTCGGTACCCAACAAAGCGCGAGTTCGTACAACTTGACCAAATCGCCGAATGACGTCCATTCTGATTCGGTGTAGAGCGCGGAAGGGAGGAGGAAAGTGAGGGTATCGACCGGAAGGAGGATGGGTACGACGGCTTTTTGGCGGAGCGTTATTATCGACGGGAGTCCTCTCTCCGGTTCGTCCGCCGTAACAAGGAACTCTCCTGGCGAGAACGAAAAGACAGCATGCGGGACACTCGGTACCAGCCGCGTAAACACTCTCAACAAATCTCGTAACCTCGCGCCTGCTTGATCCGCATCAAGCGCTTCTTCGACGTTGGTGCTGAAGGCGGTAGAATAGATATGGAGACGCTGGAGGTTGGGGCAGAGGTTGTGGGGTTGGGTGGTCTTGCCGAGGGTTTCGAGGGTACGTGTATCGGACAGAGTGAGGGTTTTGGTGTATTTCTCCAAAGCTTCGAGCGAGGGGGAGATGGATGAATCGGAAGAATCACTTTCCGAACCTATTGAAACCTTATCAGTACATAGATGATGTTAGACTGAGCGTGGTGCTCACTACTCTGAATGCTCTGATTTCCGCCGCCAGAGGCCAGCAACTCCATAATCTTCTCCGCCATACCCGGCGACACCTCCACACTAGTGTATGTATTTTCCATAATGGCCTGTGTCGCCTGGAAGAGCAATTAATGAAGAGGGCGGATGAGAAGCCGGATATAGAAGGGCAAAGTGCGAAGAGCGATAAAACGAGTGGGGTCGGCAAAGCGTAGATCGTAAGCTCTCAATGCAGCCTCCAGTCTTCTCATTGACTCACAACGTATATATAGTATTCTCAGTATTGGAAGTCGCGTATGAGTGGACCAAAGATGGACGAGCAGTATCTCTTGAGACGGTTCGTCTTGGGTGAACTGGATGCAGCTTGGCTGAGAGCAGATGAAAAGAAGGAATTCGTTAAAAAGCGGAGCACGCCGATGGAGCGGCCATCCGAAGCCAAGCCTCGAAAGATGAGGGGACCTCATCTAAAGTCGCTCAGCTCCAAGGCTCAACAGAGCCCCTCAAGTGTGGAGGCGCCCTTCAAACTCCTCCACCGTGAAGAAGAGAAGAATGGGAGCATGGCAAGCGATGAAGACTAGCTCAGTGCGCCGAGGTAGATGTGAGGGCGTGAGAGCTGTCCATACCTTCCGGCGATGATGGTCCTTGGACGGGATCACTCTACGCGCTGGACGGTTGATGGGGAAAGGTTTGAAAGCCAGGGCAAGAAATGAGCTGTTGAACCTCGAGAGGATGTTGTGGCCGAGCAAAGAGGAGTGGTGGTAAAGCCACGGCGGCAGTCCGAATCAAATCCTCTCAAACAATCTCATTGGGTACATCATTGGACCGTCGTTGTTGTCTGGAAAGAAGCTGATACCTCACCAGAGTAAACACGGCGTGGAGTAATTCTACATATGACAAGTGACAACTGACCCAGAGTGGTCTGCGTCAATAGCCATAAAGGCGGAGCGACAGATGGCCGAGGTAATAGCGCGCAGCGGCAGACCACTTCCAGCACATATGCGATTCACTAGGCTGCTCGCAAACACGCACCACCCATACCTACCTTTCTACCAACTACCAAACACCTCAATGAACCACATGCATCTTCGGTCTTCGGGGCCACCGGAATCGCCGTTTCCAGAGACAGATCTGCCCCAATCAATCGAGCTCAATTGGTACAACTACAATCAGACAATGAAGACAAACAGGGACGAAAAGAGGCTTATCAAGTTGACGTTTTGCTGGATCTCAGGGGCACCGGGCAGAGCAATCAAGAACGGAAGACGGAGGCGAGATTTTCCGCCAATCAAGTTTAGCTTTTTATCTTGATGCATTGGGTTGTCTGGACGTGTCTGGATGGGTTGGAGAAAAAGGGATGGGCGATGGAAACGTATGGGTGTGGTAGAAAGAGAGGAGAGATCAAGGATGGAGTTTGGTGGGCTGAAGGGTCGGATGCCATGACCGCCGACGTGGCGTGACGTAAACCCTTGGCTTGTGTTTGGTTCCGAGCAGCATGTCTGGACTGAGTACGATCCCGCCATGACGCGCCGCTGGTTTGGCCATCTCTACAGCTCCACGGCTCCAAAATCCAGACGCCGTGCTTCGCCCAGACTATTCAGCAGTTCAGCGGTGGTGCGACCGAGGACACTGCAATGGGCCCACTGCGGCTGGTGGCTGACGAGCCCGAAGGCCTTCACGGGCCCCCTATCCAACTGCTGACACACCGGCACACTCCGCCCGATTACAACGCGCCATTACAAAGGAAGCAGCGGATTAGAAGCGGGAGCAGAATGGTAATGAGGAGGGACGCCGTGAAGTTTGTCAGCACGCTGAGTCACGCGGCGGCCAGGCTGCACGCAAACATGGCGAACAAAGTCCCCGACGGCGATCCCAGATATATATATATTGCAGCGCTCTTCTTCTTCTTCTTACCCTCAACTGCCCATCTCGTCTCCACCATGGCCTTCTCAGGCGCCACCGTCGCAGGCAACTACGACCGCACAGAACACGCCTCCGGCCCCACCCTCGCCCGCACCACCTCCCGCTCCTACTACGACTCACACCCCAGCGACGACCTCCCACCCCAGACTCACCAGCAAAGGGAACAAGAGCTCCACCACCTCGCTCGTACCCTCTCCCGCAGCTCGGCCCGCCACCCCACCGCCTATGCTCCCCACCGCACCTTGACCCGTGACACCGTCTACGAGAACCCAGAAAACGTCTTTGACTATGAGAAGGGCTCGGACCTCGACCCCTTCTCGGACAAGTTCAACGCCAAGAAATGGACTCGCATGGTCTTCCAGGCCTCCCAGGATTCTGGGCCCACACGGCAGGCTGGTCTGTCGTTCAAGAACATGAGCGTGCATGGTTACGGCTCCGATGCCGGCAAGTGTCCTCTTTTCCTCCCGCAGCGCCCGCTGACGTTCGCGCAGACTACCAGACCACCGTGTCCAACATTTTCCAAAAGACCTTTGGCGCCATCAGAGATCAGATCAGCGGCAACCACAGGAAGGTGCAGATCCTCAATGGCATGGACGGTGTGCTCGAGGCCGGAGAGATGTTGGTCGTGCTTGGTCCCCCAGGAAGGTGAGTGTGACGCCGGCTGTTTCGCGTCATCGCGTCATGATTTTGTGTGGCGATCGTGCGCTGACGCCCTTGCAGTGGTTGTTCGACCATGCTCAAGACTGTTGCTGGTGAGATGAACGGTATCTTTCTCGATGAAGAGTCGCAACTCAACTACCGAGGTACGTCCTGCTCACTCTTTTGTGCGCCTGTTAAACACGCTTCATAGGTATCACGCCCAAGCAAATGTATGGCCAGTTCCGTGGGGAAGCCATCTACACTGCCGAAGTCGATGTCCATTTCCCCAACCTCACTGTCGGTCAAACTTTGGCGTAAGCACCACCTCCTCCTCGCACGACTTCCGCTGACGCCATGCTAGCTTTGCTGCCAAGGCGCGTGCCCCTCGAACACCCCCCGGTGGTCTCTCCCAGGCTGCCTACGCCGCTCACATGCGTGACGTGATCATGTCCGTTTTCGGTATCTCCCACACCATCAACACCATCGTCGGTAACGACTTTGTCCGTGGTGTCTCTGGGGGTGAGCGAAAGCGAGTCACCATTGCCGAGGCCGCTCTTGCCGGTGCCCCGCTCCAATGCTGGGACAACTCTACCCGTGGTCTCGACTCTGCCAACGCCATCGAGTTTTGCAAAAACCTCCGTCTCAACGCCGACTACATGGGCATCACCTCTGTCGTCGCCATCTACCAAGCTCCCCAGTCTGCCTACGACGTCTTTGACAAGGTGTCTGTGTTGTACGAAGGCGAGCAGATCTTTTTCGGCAAGACCACCGAGGCCAAGCAGTTCTTCCTCGATATGGGTTTCCACTGCCCCGAGCAGCAGACTACTCCCGATTTCCTCACATCCCTCACCTCTGCCACTGAGCGTACCGCCCAGCCCGGCTTTGAGGGTCGAGTCCCCACCAACCCTCAAGAGTTTGCGGCGGCGTGGAAGAAGAGTGACAAGTACAGGGAGCTGCAAGAGCAGATCCAAAGCTTTGAGGCCAAGTACCCCGTCCATGGCGAGCAGTACAACAGTTTCTTGGAGTCTAGGCGAGCTCAGCAGTCCAAGCACATGTACGTTTCCTCCCTCTCGTCCGTTTCTCCTACTGACGATTATGCAGCCGGCCGAAGTCTCCCTACACCCTCTCTTACGCCGGGCAAGTCAAGCTCTGTCTCCACCGTGGTTTCGAGCGTCTCTTGGCCGACCCCAGTTTGACTTTTACACAACTCTTCGGTAACACTGCTATGGCTCTTATCATTGGATCGGTCTTTTACAATATGGAAGACAACACGTCGTCATTCTACTCTCGTGGAGCTTTGCTATTCTTTGCCATCTTGATGAGTGCTTTCAGTTCGGCTTTAGAAGTGAGTATTCCGCTTCGTCTTGCGAGTTTTTCGCTGATTATTTCTAGATTCTTATTCTCTACGCTCAACGTGGTATTGTCGAGAAGCACTCGCGATACGCCTTCTACCACCCTTCGGCAGAAGGAGTAGCGTCAGCGTTGACGGATATGCCGTACAAGATTCTCAACGCTATCCTCTTCAACTTGACCATCTACTTTATGACCAACCTGCGTCGTGAACCAGGACCATTCTTCTATTTCATGTTGATCACTTTCACTCTTACCATGGTCGTGAGTACTTGTCCTGTCTGTGCAGTACAAAGCTGACGTGAGATATAGATGAGTATGCTCTTCCGATCTATCGCTTCGCTCTCTCGATCGCTCACTCAAGCGCTTGCCCCCGCGGCTCTCTTGATTCTCGCCCTCGTCATCTACACTGGTTTCGCCATCAACGTCTCCAACATGAGAGGCTGGGCCCGATGGATCAACTATCTCGATCCCATCGCGTACGGATTCGAATCTTTGATGATCAACGAGTTCCACGGCAGAGAATACGACTGTTCCGTCTTTGTGCCTTCTGGCGGCCCCTATGACTCTGTCGATGCCTCTCAACGAGTGTGTAGCACTGTCGGCGCTGTGGCGGGGAGCAGTGTGGTCAACGGTGATACGTATATCAACGAGTCTTACTCTTACTACCACGCCCACAAGTGGAGGAACTTTGGTATCCTTATCGCCTTCTTCCTCTTCAACACTTTTGTCTACCTCTCTGCTACCGGTACGTCCCCATCCCCACCCAAGATGGCTTGTCGCTGACCATATTTGCAGAGCTCATCACTGCCAAAAAGTCCAAGGGTGAAATCCTCATCTTCCCCCGAGGCCGCGTGCCCAAGGCCATCCTCGCCCGCTCAACCGAATCTATCAACGACCCCGAAGCCGGTGGCTACGCCGGCGGTTCCCGCGCTGCCAAACAACTCACCGGTGCTGACCGTGCCGACGCTGGCATCATCCAACGCCAAACCGCCGTCTTCTCCTGGAAGGATGTCGTCTACGATATCAAGATCAAGGGCGAGCCCAGGCGTATCCTGGACCACGTCGACGGCTGGGTCAAGCCTGGTACGCTCACGGCTTTGATGGGTGTTTCCGGTGCTGGTAAAACGACGCTTCTGGATGTGTTGGCTACCCGTGTTACTATGGGTGTCGTTACTGGTGAGATGCTGGTCGATGGCGAGCAGCGAGATGTCTCTTTCCAGCGAAAGACGGGTTATGTTCAGCAACAGGATCTCCACCTCGAAACTTCTACTGTCCGAGAGGCCCTCCGATTCAGTGCCGTCCTCCGTCAGCCCAAGGCTGTTAGTACTCAGGAAAAGTACGAGTATGTCGAGGAGGTCTTGAAGCTTTTGGAAATGGACGCGTACGCCGATGCTGTTGTCGGTGTCCCTGGTACTGGCAAGTCTACTCTTTTTCTGCAAGTGATCAATGCTGATAAGATGTAGGTTTGAACGTCGAGCAGAGGAAGCGTCTCACTATCGGTGTCGAACTTGTCGCCAAGCCCGCTCTTCTTCTCTTCCTCGACGAGCCCACTTCCGGTCTCGACTCTCAGACTTCCTGGAACATTCTTCTCCTCCTCCGAAAGCTCACCGAGCACGGCCAAGCTATTCTCTGTACAATCCACCAGCCTTCCGCCATGCTTTTCGAGCAATTCGACAGGTTGCTCTTCCTTGCCCGAGGCGGAAAGACGGTCTACTTTGGTGAAGTCGGTGCTGGGTCCAAGACTTTGATCAACTATTTCGAAAAGACTGGTGCGCCCAAGTGTCCCCCTAACGAAAACCCTGCCGAGTGGATGGTGAGTCTCCGTCTTTTACTTTTCGCGCTGTGCTTACTGGTTGCTAGCTTTCTGCTATTGGTGCTGCCCCTGGAACCCACACCGACGTCGACTGGCACCAAGCCTGGCTCGACTCTCCCGAACGTGTCGTCGTCCGCCAAGAGCTCGCCCGTATCAAGGACACCAAGGGTGGCAAGGGCGACGCTGCCAACAAGGAAAACACTGTCGAAAAGTCTGCCGCCGAAAGGAAGGCCGAGTATGCCGAGTTTGCCGCGCCCATGTGGAAGCAGTTTGTCGTCGTCACTCTTCGTGTCTGGCAGCAGCACTGGAGGACGCCGAGCTACATCTGGTCCAAGATTGCGCTTGTCGTCGCCTCTGGTCTTTTCATCGGTTTCTCCTTCTTCAAGTCTGGTACTTCTCAGTCCGGTCTTCAGAATCAGCTCTTCTCTGTCTTTATGGTATGTCTCCTTTTGCTCGTATGGGGCTTGGCTAACAGTGCTGTAGATGTTTACCATCTTTGGTCAAATGGTCCAGCAAATCACTCCCAACTTTGTCACGCAGCGAAGTTTGTACGAGGTGCGAGAGAGGCCTTCCAAGACCTACTCCTGGAAGGTGTTCATGATGTCCAACGTCATTTCCGAAATTCCTTGGGCCCGTGAGTATCAGCAACTCTTATCGAAACACCAACTGACGCTTTTCCAGTCCTCATGGGTCTTCTCATGTTTGTCACCTGGTACTACCCTATCGGCTACTATGTCAACGCCGAGCCCACCAACGCTGTCCACCTCCGAGGCGCCTTGATGTTCCTCTACATTGAGAGCTTCATGCTCTTCACCTCGACATTTGCCGTCATGATTGTTGCTGGTATCGACACTGCCGAGACTGCTGGTAACATTGCCAACTTGCTCTTCTCTTTGTGTCTCATCTTTTGCGGGTGAGTCGCTCCTTCCTGTATGTGTTAACAATGCTGACATCTTGCACAGTGTTCTCGCCACGAGTGACCAGTTCCCCCGATTCTGGATCTTCCTTTACCGAGTCTCGCCATTCACCTACATTACCGAGGGTATGCTTGCCGTCGCCGTCGCCAACACCAATGTCGTATGCGCTACCCAAGAGCTGCTCTCGTTCAACCCCCCGTCTGGACAGACTTGTGGCGACTACATGAGCACCTACATGTCTGCCGCCGGTGGTTACCTTGTGGACGCGAGCGCCACCGACGCTTGTCAGTACTGTGCTCTCGACAGCACCAACACTTTCTTGGCTCAGTTCAAGATCTACTACAGCCACGCTTGGAGGAACTGGGGTATTCTCTGGGCCTACATCATTTTCAACATCTTTGCCGCTGTCCTCATCTACTATGTCGCCCGAGTCGTGAGTATCCATTCGATGTGCAGAGCAATGGCTGATTTCGTATCTAGCCCAAGAATGCTGGCAAGGAGCAAGCTACTCCCGACGACGAGCCCACCCGCACCACCACCAACAAGACTGTCCCCGCCGCCCCTCCATCCGAAGGTACCACTGTCGCTTCCGACACTGCTACCGAAAAGCACGCTGTCAGATCATCGGCTGAGGGTGCTGAGGGTTTGAGGGTTTAGGCGATGTCTTGTGGAAATAGAAAGGGGTTGTAAGGAATTCACATCACACATAGAATAAGTGTTCGCGTCGACGAACCATACCATCTACTATATTATTGTTTAATCATATTTTCCCTCGCTCATTAGATATCCATGGATACTTGTTTTGGACTTGTACAGGGTAGTGACAATCGAGCCAGGGACCATTGAGCGGTGGATGCCGCCATTCCGACTTTGCGCTTCTCTCCTGTCTTCTTCTTTTCATCTTGTCAATGTCTTGACATCTGTCCAAACAACCTCCGCCGACGCCGCCCCAACCAGAGTTGTAATGCCCCTACCCCTCTTTCCACCGCCTCGCCCCCATCCACAACCTCAACCGCAACCACCTCTTCGTCCTCGCGCCTGCCACTACTCTCCGCCTCTCAAGATACCACCATGAACGCTTCTTGCCACGGCTGTATATCAGCCTCGACCACCGCAAGTGTTGCCCCCGGGCGACAATCAAGCCCCTTCAACAAGAATCGCACGGCGCAGCACTCCCTCTCTCATCCCACGATCACCACCAAAACTTCTCGACGCCGAATCCATCGCGATCATCTTCACCCTTCATCGACGAAACCCCATTCTGACGGTATCGAGCCTATGCATTTCTCCCCCATGCACATTTCCGGACAGAACCCTGCCAGGTGGGGATGAATTGATCCTGCTGCATCAGATTTAGATCTATACGAAAGGCTGTTATCAAACCTCACCATCGAGGATCTTCGGATGTCTTTGCCCGATAGACCACTGCTGCTTTACTTTCCTTGTCTCCGTGGCATTCTTCGACACAAAGCGAACTGGCTGCTCATCACTTGCTCCTCACCGACACACTTGGCAAGCTATTCCGGGCCCTAGAAAGTCCAAGTTCGAGGTCCAGGCCATCTATGACTGTCTGTGAGTGTCATCACGAAATCATAGAGCGTCGTCGCTGATGCCTGGCGTCGTGAATGTTTCCGAGGCCTTGGTCTTTGATCGGCTCCCACCCCGTCCCCAGCAATCCTACAAAACTCCCTCTCTCCCTTCTTTCATCGCTCGCAACAACGCCGAACCCATTTATGTCTCTCCCATGCCGCCCAGAGAATCGAGAGACGATGAAGCGATAAAAATCTGTGGCGAAGGGTTGTCTCTCTTTTGAGCTCGTAACATGGCGTCCTTCACCCCTCGTCGCATCCCTTCGTTCCTCATCCCCCACTCTATCGGCGTTAAAGGTGATTCAGAGGCACAGATCAAGGGCCAGAGGCGAAGAGCGGGGTCGGAAGACCGAAGGGGTCAGAGGACGCGACCAAGAGGACAAAGCTATACGCCCTACTCTGTGCCCCAGAGTCCAAGGGAGACAATGCAAGTTCATCTATGATACATAACACATCCAATCTATCACACACAATCGTATTATCAATAAGATAAAAGGATCTCTATGCAAGAACGACAACTTTTCCAACCAGGGTCCAGCCCAGTCTTTCCCACTCTCAACAACTCCCCAACGCTTACGCGCACTCTAGAACCCTAGAACCCAGGTCCACTAGGCTTGAACCCAAAGTCGTACAAGGTCTTTTCAAACGTCTTGAGATGCTCATCATCCGCCCACTGCACAACCTCTATCGGGCTCTGCCTCCAATCAGGGTAGACCACACCTTCCCACAACGGCTCCTCTTCCTCTTCTCCCTCCGCGCCCTCCGCGTGCTCACCGTCCTTCTTCTCCGAGTCGGACGAGTCGGACGAGTCGGATGTAGAGCGAGAGTGGGGGTGCGATTCGTCCTTGGTAGCGCGCGCGACGGGGGCCTCGGGGGTAGTCGACTCCGACTCCTCAGCAGCAGCAGCTGCGATCGCCTCCCTCGCCTCCCTCGCTTTATTATCTTCGTCCTGTCGTTCCTGCGGCCGGGGGTCGATATACTCCAGATCAATACTACTCGTTCATCAGCTCCCACCCCTCATTTTGACCACAAGAAGCGGAGGAAGAAGAAGGGAAGAAGGGAAAAAGAAGAAGAAGAAGAAGAAGAAAAAGAAGAAGAAGAAGAAGGACTCACCAAAGCGCACTAATCCACCCCCCATGATACTTGACCTTGACTCCCCTCTCCCTCGCCGCCCGCCGCATAACCATCTCCTTCGCCGGCGCCCTCGCCCGCCCATCCTCCCCCGCATCCGCCAACATATCACAATCCTCCTCCCCCAACCCCCTCTCCCCCCCATCCTCCGGCTTCACCTCCGGCTCCCCCAGCCTCGCCGTCGCAGGCGTCGCAGGCCACGTATTAAAGAGAGGCAGCTGCTTGGTCCGGCCCCATGAGAAGCCGCGCCCGACGCCAGAGGGGATCTGTTTGAGGAGGTTGTAGTGCACGAATAAGGGCTCGCCCCAGGAATCGTGCTGCAGCATCGTGTGCGCGCAGAATTCGCCCGAGGCGGTTCCGCGGGGGAGGGCGGCGGCGCCGACCCAGCGGCCGGGGATGGCCCAGCGTTTGCGCAGGGCGAGGAGCGCCCAGCGGAAGATGTCCTTGTCGCCGTCGGAGAATGTGAACCACTACCCTTCATCAGCTCCGTCCCAACAAAAGCAAAGAGAAGGGGGGCTTACGAAATCATGTCGTTCGAGCATATACTGCACGAGCAAAAACACGTCCAAATGCCGTTTCTTATCAATAAACATCTGCCCCGTCTCCATCTCCCACTCATTCCTACACTTGACCCCCATAATCGCCCAAATCGGATTATTCGCCCCCGTCTTCCAATAATCCGGCGTCATCCACACCCCCAGCCTCTTGTAATTCGGCGCATCAAACATGTATTCCGGGTCTCTTGTGGGGATCGAGTCCGAGTCGAGGTAGAGCACGTGGCGGAAGGGGCAGGAGGTGATGGCGAGGGCTTTGAGGTGGTAGGATTTGGTCTTGTGGGCGTCTTTTTGTTGGCCGGGGACGGAGACAAGTTGGGCGTTGAGGTTGGCGAGGGTTTCGCGGATGGGGTCGTCCTCTGCCGGCGCTTCCTCCGGGAAATGATACTACCCCTTCATCAGCCTCCCCCCTCTAACACACGGACAAGAAAGAGTGACATACAATAAGCACCGGCAACTTACTCCCATAACTCCTAAACATCTCCAAACTCCACTTGACCCTCATCAACGTATCCGCATTCCCCGCCACCATCACCACCCCCCGCCCCTCGCCATACTCGTCCATCCTGCCCGCGTCGAGGAGGGTCTCGAGGTGGGTGATGAGTTCCATGCGGTGAGCGTGGATGGAGGAGCGGTTGAGGGAGGACCAGGCGTTGGCAGAGTGCTGGATCATGTGGGTGTTGTGTTGTTCGGATATCGTCGAGCATTCCTACGCCGAGTCAGCCTCTTCTTCTCCTCCTCCTTCCTCGTCTTCTTGGACTCACTTCAAGGTTCCACTGCATAAACCCCCCCATCTCCACCTCCCCCTCCACCTCCCCCCTTCCCCCCGGCGCATTCCGCCACACCTCCAGCCTCTCGCGGGTCGTCGCCTCGAGGGGCATCGCGTCGGAGGCGAGGTCGATCGGGCGGTGGCCTTTGTGGTGGAGCGTTTCTGTTTGTGTTTCTTGGGAAGGGGAAGAGTGGGAGGGGTGGTGCGCGGGGATGGGCAGGGCGTCGTTTTCGTTTTCAAAGGACGGTACGACCACGTCTGGTTGGCTTTGGCCGTAAGAGACTGGTTTTTGGGTAGCGTACTTTTCTGGTAGTCCCAGCTATTTTTGCCCATTAGCCCCCATCAAGAAAGAAGAAGAAGAAGAAGAAGAAGAAGAAGAAGAAGAATCAGGACGTACATTCCCACCATGCCGATGCAGAATCAACGCCCCCAACCCCAAAAACACCATCAACATCACCACCCTCCTCCACACTCCCCCAGGCAACAAACCCTGCCGGCACGCCATCCTTGCTCTGTTGAGCCTGCTACCCCCCGAGCTAGAGCCAGAGTGAGAAGGGAGGGAAGAAGTCGAGACGGGAAAGTAGCCGCCAGCTTCCAACATCTTTGGCGAGGTCGCTCGTAGTAACGCGTCTTGCGAGTGCGGGGTGTCTGCAGATGCGGGCGCGGAGGGGATGGGCGAGAGCTGGGACGGATTGGGTCCCACAGACGAGGACGGGGGGTAAGGGGACGCGAAGAATGGGGAAGCCTTTTCGGTGAGGGGGATATGGAGTTTGTTTGTTGGTGGTTTCATTACCTCTCTTGTGTTATACTGTGGTGTATAGCGCGGGGGGAAAGAAAGGGGGGGCGGGCGTTATATACAGCTTGAAGCTAAGCTGTGATGGACTGCGGTAGGCTGAATGCTAGTGGGCGTAGTCGCCTTGCCAACGCGGGTCTCCTTTTTGTATCTGGATGCAGGGGGTATCTGTGGGGATGACTGTGGGGGCTGTGGTGACACTGGTGAGCAACCGATGCGCAGAAGGGGGCAACAAAAGAAATGGGCGGATGCGCAGGGGACTGCGGGAAACAACAGCCCAGCCCAAAAAAAGCAGCAGTCGGCACGTAAACAGTGACGCGCAGTCTGCGAGGCACCGGGCGATCCAGTCCAGTGGGATTGGGCTGGGATTGGGGCGATACTGTACATCGCAGGGGGGTGTAGAGAGGGAGGGGGGGAGGAGGGGAGGGAGAGAAGAGGTGGGAAGAGGAAGAGGAAGGCGAGAGGACTCACGGTGGGTACGGAGGATAGGGCTTCTGCGGCCTTCTGCTGCTGTGCCTGGGTGCGGCTCCTTTCTTGCTTCTGCTTCCGGGGCGGGAGGTTGGGTGAACGGGGCAGGAGGGAAGAGAGAGGGAAGAAGAGGAGGGATGGGATGAGAGAGAGGAATGCATTCCGACTTTGGAGGAGAACGCACTGAGGATTAAGCAAAGATTGCGCAGTTGATCAGGAATGTAAAAAGTATTAGCAGAGTCACGCTATGACGCGCTGCTGAGTGGTGACTGCCTGGTACTTGCGGTACTTGCTGGGGAGGAAGATGGATGGATGCAGCTTGGAGATGGAGAAGATGGATGCACTGTTGACCCGTAGCCCATCCACCGTCACCCTCACCGTCACCCAGCAGCAGCAGCACAGCGTCGCCATGGCACCGCATACATCACACAGTACAAGGACAAAGGAAGGCCCAGGCCCGCCCATTACACTTCGATTACACTTTCATTACACTCCCTCCGCGGGAGGATTAGCGGCACCAAAATCCCACACCGGCCGAGCACCGCCCCTTGGCAGCCCGCGGCCCTCTTTTCCTTTCCATTGTCTTTCCACCAGATCCAGATCTTCCTCTTTCTCATCTCCATCTCCACCCCCCCTGTATATTAAAATGGCCTCCAGCACAAAACGCCCCGCCCCTACTCCCACCCCCGAGCACCCGGCAAAACACCCACGCCGCGAAAGGGACGCGAGGGACGACTCTCCGCCGCTCGCCTCCATCGCCGACTTGGACCAGAGCATCGACGGGAGCGGGAGCGCGTATGGTGATGCTGGGACAGGTGGTGGTGGTGGTGTTGGGGAGGATGACGAAGCAAGAGCTAAAGCCGCTCGCAAAGAGGCTCGTGTAAGTCCCCCCCTCCTCTGTGCACGTTCAACGCTGATACACGTGAAGACGATGCGTAATAGAGAGTCCGCCCAAAGGTCCCGGAACCAGCGCAAACAGCACCTCGTGTGGCTCGAGCAACGCGTGGTGGAGCTGGAGAATGAGAACAAGGCGCTCAAAGCGGCGTCCCCTCCCGCGTCGCCCGCGGGTGCCCGAGCGGTATCTCCCGCATCCTCCTCCTCTTCACATGTCAAGCGCGAAGCAAGCCCCGCCCAAAGCGTCATCTCCCTCGCAACAGACCTCGGCCTGCCCACAGAGCTCGTCGCAAGCGGCTCCTCGGGCGTCAACCTCTCCTCCGTCGCGCCCCCGCCTGCAGACCTCGACCTCCCCCCCTCCACCCATACCCTCCCTCACACTCTGTCATCTGCCGTGGGTGTCCCGCCGTCCCCCCCGCCTTCTCGCGCAGAAGAAGGGACGGAAAGGACAGACGACATCAAGCTCCTCCTCGCCCAGAACCGGGATCTCCGCGAACGCGTCGGGCTCCTGGAAGGGTTGGTCAAACAAGTCGTCTCGCTCTCTTCCTTCTCTTCCTTTTCTGGATCTGGCTCTGGCTCTGGCTCTGGATTGTCCGACTTGACGCCCTTGCCCCAGCCCGACGTACCATCCTCATTCCCGGGGCTGCAACACGATTGGTCCACCCTCCTACCCAACATGGAGGGCACGGAAGGGATGAGGGTATCGCCGCCGTTGTATACCTCGGTCTTACCCGAGCCGGTATTCACACCTGTATCGCCGTCTTTCCCGGGCCTCTCTTTACCTCCCTCCGACCCCTCCGCCTCCTCCACCTCCTCCTCCACCTCCCCTTCCTCTCAACTCCAACCAGAACCCCTCCCCTCAGCCTCAGACTCACAACCAAAACTCGACCCATCGACAACAGAATCGATCTCGATCTCGTCCCCTTCCTCCAAACCATCCCCCAGCGCTTGCCACTCGGCAGTAGTGGTGACTCCGCCTCCTTCCCCTCTTTCTCTTTCTCTAAAAGCAAGAAAAGAGGGGGGGTGGGGTGGGGCCCTGCAGCGGGCGTGGGGTGTGGTGGTTTGTGGAAAGACGCGGTTGGGTCTGGCGGATCTGTCGTCGGGGAGAGCAGCTTTGAGGGTCAGGATCTGAGTGTCGGCTCGGATATAGGGTTGGACGCAGAGATGGACATGGACATGGAGGGCGTGGCGCAATGGGATTTGGAGATGGAGATGTTGTTGCAAGACCTCGAGGGGCGAAATACGGGCCTGGAAGGCTTGGAGGGCGGGGGTGATGCACCGCTTGGTGTTGATGTTGGGCTCGGGGCTGGGGCTGGGGGAGTACTGGTTTGAGTACGTGGAGGAGGGAGTTGTTTTCTTGGCGTTGCGTTCATTGTTTCTTGGGTCTTGTCTTTCTTCTTTGGTATGTTTGCCCTTCCCTTCTTTGTGTCGATGGGATTGTGCTGATACTAGGTGTACAGTATTTTGGGCCGATAACCTCGACCCGCCACCGTTCATCACCCTCACCCACGTCTTCATTCTCGCCTTCCATCCCTCATCCTCTTCTTCGTCCCATCGTCCTCCTCACCCAATCTCCCCCACCCGATCCAACTCTCTTCCATCTCCCCCATCTCTCACCCTACCACCACCACCACCACCCATTCACCTACCATCAACAACAAGTCAAAAAGAAATGAATTCTCAACCCTCAACCAAAAAAAAAAATAAACCCACTCCAACAGATACTCCGCCGCACAAAATCCGTCACCCGCTCGGCTTTCCCCCTTCTTCTTCTCATCGGAAGATCGGAAGGGGGGAAATGCTTTTGAGCCGTGTGTTTTTTAATCAGCGTGAGCGTCGTTGGCCTGGTCTTTTTTAGGGGGGCGGGGTCTGGGGGGTCCGTTCTTGGCTTGTTCCTTGGTCTTGGTGTTGGTTTATCTTTTGGTGGTGATGGATTTGAGAGGTTCCTGGGGGTGAGGGACGGGGTGTTGGTGGGCTGGAGGTGGAGGTGGAGTGTCGGGGTGTCGGGGTGTCGAGGTGTCGAGGTGTCGAGGGGCTGGATGGGTGGAGTTTTGGGGTTGATGAGAAAGATATGAGCGGGGTCGGGGTTGCGAATGGGATGAAGGGGTCGTTTGGATAGACTTTTGAAGCAACGACAGACCGTAGACAAGAGACGGCGAGGAAGAAGGAATAGAAGTAGAAGTAGAAAAAAAACGAGTTGTTACACGTATACGCTCTCGTCAACAAGGTCAGGTTTGTACGAGTTGTTTTCATGCACATGTCATTTTACGCAATCATCCATACGCCGTTGGCCCATGGCTCCTGGCTTTATCTTTCTCGCGGTGATTGGCAGTACTACCGGTCAGTTTTACAGTACGAGTACAAGACAATTGGCACAGGTGGATCTTTTATCATCCAACAAACTGTAACATCATTCCCAGCTCGGTTATACTGAACGAGCGTTATATGATGAGTGGGTCCGAGGAACAACGTTATTACCAAGACCTCGAATGGCGAACAACCAGAAAAAGCTGACAGTGCCACCTGTCCTCTCAGATCAGGTACTCGTATGAAGGGAGTGTTCTATGGCGCTGCCAACGGGTCATAAAGTCATCACTTTCATCTCAGACAGAACAGAGGTTTACATATATAGAAAAAGCTGGAAGAAGAAGACCGAAACCTCGACGTAAATGTATCGGCAAGTATGTTTGTCGGCGCAAGATCTTCTTCCTTCCTTTAGTGAACATCGATGAGTGCAGTATGTGATAGGATGGATCCATAACATGTGCGTTGGAACAACTCTATTCTGGAGCAGGATAAGCTTTTTCTTGCAACATGACAGCACTTGCTGCGTGCTACATCGAGATGAGGCCACCAGCTCTGAACGATACGCACCTTGTGGCTGACCAGGCGCTAATGTGACTCGATATGAGCCCTTGTATTATGTGACGAGTCTTTAGCCCTGCTGTGAAGCTGATTCCAATCTGGGCGTCGAACGCGACGACTCAATCTCATACAGTTGTACTTTGTAAAGCACAAAGCTATCACAAGTTCGCATGTGTACATACTTGTAGTTCACTCCTCGTGGAACTTATAATGCACCTTCGAAAACACCTCCATCGCCTTATCCCATGCATCCTGCATTTCCTCCTCCGATGCGCCTCCAAACACCGTCTCCACCACCTCACCCAACCTTCCAGCTGGTACCACCGCCCCATCCCCCGCCTCTCTTCTGCCTCCTCCTTCCGCTGATCCTTCGGCGCCTTCGGCGCCCCCCGTGCTGTGCTGCACCGCCCCATGTTCAACCACATGATCTAACCAAGGATAATACTCCTCCCGCCTCGTCCTTTCCTTCGAAACCTGAATTCTGAAATTCCCTTGTATATCAGAGGACTCAGTACGGAACGACATGAGGATATCCACCAGCTGGGCGCCTACTTCTTCTTCTTCTTCTTCTTCTTCTTCGCCGCCGTGGGGAGAGGGGCGGAGGGTTTCCTGCGCGATATCCCTTGGAATCCCACTTGGATCGAAGGGGAAAATGTCATACCATGTATTTGGGGACAAGACGGTCCGCGAGGCTGGGACGGAGGATTCGTATAGGCCATCGGCGTTAGCCGTTACGCTCACGTTGGGAGGATTCTCGTGGTTGGAACCAGCGTCGGAGCTGGGTGAGCTATTGATGGTATCACCAACTGGTGCCCACGCGTAGATAGGATCGCCAGGGGGGATTTCGTCGACTGGTAATTGAGCCATGATTGAATAATGAGTATGCTGAGCGATATGCAATCAGTGGTTCGAGTTATGTTATAAAAGCATTGCAAGAGGCTAGTGTTTATATACGTGGACATAAGGGCTTCCTGGATGTCAGAAGAGGATAAGATTCTCGATATAGGATGGTGGCAGTGAGAATAACGGGCTTTGCGTCGATAAACGTCAGCAGTAGATGAACTGTAGATGATTCGCCGGGCTAAAACTAAAACCCTTTGTATTGTCCAACCATTGCTTCTTTGTCAGAGACTATTTTGGACGGCTCAAATGCAATCAAAGTCCATGCGGCAGACAATGGGTCGCCATGGACCCCCAGAAATGGGAAAATGCCCAGCCGAACAAGTATTCGTACATGGGTGGTGGGCCACGAGCGCCCGGCGGCCAATGCAAAGGATGCATTATCCAACGGTCCGTCCAGAGTTTCTCGGTGCTTCTGGGCACCTCGTGGTGATTCCTTTGGACTATAGCACTCCGCCCTGCAAGAGCCTCGCAGCCGCACGGAGTGTTGGTTGCCACGTTGGGTGACTGCCGCTGCGCCACATGGGCGTGCCTCTCGACCACCTTCTTTGCTTCCATTCCATCGTGTTTCGAGATCATTCTGGATCATCTCTCCTTGCCATACACCGTCTACGTCTACATGCTTGCCCCTGCCCAGCTGCTCCCCCCGCCCGCCCCGTTGTCCCTCCCCCACTCCGCTCCCCCACCCGTCCCCCCACGCCCCGTCCTGCAGCGCCTCCACCCTGTCCGTTACATCATCCTCGACCACCTCTTTCGCACACGCCCTATTGCTGTCCTCCAGCTCTCCAAGTCACACTATCAAAAATACCTCCCCCAGCTCTACAGCAGCCGTGTGACCATCACCAAACACCGAGTCGAGCGCTGGGCAGCCTCGGCCTGCCATACCCCCCAATACTCTCCCTTCACCGCCCGAGACGCCCTCCGAGCCCATACAAAGACCCTCCGTCTCTGTAGCTCCAGAGGTCTTCAACACCTCTCAGCCTTCCTACTCTCCCACGGCGAGATGATCACTTCCGTCGGGTGTCTCCAAATCTCCCCCAAACTCTTTCCCCGAGGCGCCAACGCCGACGCCATCCTCTACTCTATCCGAACCATCATCGACTGTCCCCACATCAACATCACCAACATAGCCCTCCTGCTCGACCCCGAGAACCACAACTCGGTCAAAACGTATCTCGCTTCCACATGTATCACCGAGATCGTCAACGCGGGCAATCTGCCCATCGATACGCTCACGATCCATATCCCCAAGATACCCATCTGGAAACAGAGCATCATGCGGGACTATGTCATTGATTTCGGCTATCTGGGTCTTGTGTGGGGGTCGAGAAACAGGTTGAGACTCTTATTCGATTTAAACGCCAGAGCATACCCGACAGGCGGCAATGTCATCTCCTTCACCTCCGGTATCCGGTACCTAACCACCCACCTCGTGCCCATGCTCGCCCTCCCCCGGTACCGCCATTTCAAGGTCGAATTCCTCATCAACGATCAAGGCAGACCTGCGGGAGCGCCGGGAGTGCCGGGGGCGCAGGGAAGGGGGTGGTTGGTCCCCGAAGCGACGTGGAGGACGATGCAGGAGAAAGGGCCGGAAACGACTAGGTATCCGGGGGTTAAGGCGTTTTGGGAGGGGAATGTGAGGGTGGAGAGGGTTTCGGGGAAGGAGACGAGGGATGCGCTGGAGTTGCCTTGTTGAGTGCGTTTGATAAGGACTTTTGGAGGAGGTTGCTAATCTGTAGTAGTCATATGACGATCTTGAATATCATCACTCAGCAACTCGGAATTGGAGCCTCTGTGGACGTTTCTTCTGAATGTAGCTCTTCCGAATGTGGCACTGTAAATACGATCTGTGAGTCTTAATCCTCCTCATTCCCGACTCAGGCAACTGATTACTTTCCACTCGCAAATAGCAACAAGATGTGATCAATCCCAGTACTCGTACGTTCATGAATCGCCTCTCCCTCCCCCGCCCATATCGAAGCTGTAGCTGACGACATATCAAAAAGAAGGCATGGTTGTATACAATTTGTACATGATTCCATTGGCGTGGTCTCTTGTCGCTATCTCCTCCTCTCCGCCAACACCGACTTGCCGCTGCTGCTGCTACATGCCATTTTGTATAAGAAAAGTAGGTTTTCTTTCCTCTGAGCTACCTCTCTAGTCTGATCGCCCAGAAAAGTCACTGCACCACAGCTGTGTTCAGGCTCGACATTCGATCTCCGCAGGTGGCAGCTGCATGTACGTCCCAGCCCGCCATTCCTTTTCATCCAACTTTCTGCTTCCTGACCTACGCGTTAGATTTCATCCCGCGCCCACAGCACCTTGAATCGTCCTGCGCCTTGCCCATACATCACCGGCTGTACGCTACTTGACCAACAGTTTTCTTGATGTATACTTCGCACCCCCAAATGGCACCACCAGCACCCGCCCATATCCATACTCGAGTACTTATACTCAACGAGAAAACCTTCTCACGCATTCGCCTGCGAAGTAATCTGTGTATAAATCTCCTTCAGCGTCTCCAGCGCATTACGCTCCACACCCCTCTTCTCCGCCTCACTAGCCCCCTCATAGATCACATCAACAGCATCATCCATACTTCCCAACCCATACCCCCCTCCTCCCCCATCTCCACATCCTACCACCGTATGATACTGCATAACATCCTCCACCCACCTATCCCAGCCATATCCCCCTCCTCCTTCTAAGCTTGCAGAAGAGACTCGGAACCTCACAGCACCATCAATCCTCGACTCGGGCGTCATATCTGAGATGAGGATTGTCGTTAGGCCCGTGGAAGGGTTTAGGGTGTATTGTGCGCCGTTTGCGCGGCCGGCGGGGGTGGTGAGGGTGTACCATCGACTAGACGACGCGAGGACGCCTCCTGATCCTCCAGGCCCTCCCGTTTCTCGCGGTCCTCCCGATGCAAATCTAGAAGATGGCAGTGGAAAGTCGCGTAGATCAAAAGGGTTTCCAGTCGGAAGTTCTTCCGGCCTGGTTGAAGCTAAATCCTCTGCAGTGAGCCTATAGTCTGGGGAGAAGGGGTTGGAAGAAGATGAAGAGGAAGGGGTGGATGTAGCTGGGGCGGAGGCATAAAGGGTGCCAGAAGAGGGGGCGCCATCGACCGCTGCTGACGATGTAGAAGATTGCTGTCGGTCGTTGTTGGGCGCCATCGTTGAGGTTTCTTTTTTGATGATGTTTGTAGTTTAGAGTAGTGGGGTGGTAGGTATAGCTTCCCGTCTTATATACACTTAACGTATATCTGGTGATGAATCGTTCGAAACAATGAATGAAAGCGAGATGTCAGAGTCCAGTCGTGTATGCAATTTCGGTGTTGGAAAGCAAGCTACTCTTTTGTCCGAACAACGGTTGTTACTCAACCCATTATTATGTCTATCAGCATCCTTTGTCTGGGTATCAACGCCGCCGCCATCCGCTCATTGATGGATATACACCCTTTCAATCTCATCATTGAACGCTGCGACTCCACCATTGTCTGAAGTTCGGCAGATGCATCAAATGACAACCGTAGAGTATCGTACGAGTAGTCCTCAGTCCATTCTACTCTTCAGGGACACTTCTGCGGCTGTATGGCGATATCATAATGCATGCCTCGGTATGCTAGTCGCCTACGGCACGAAGAAGAAGCGGTCGGCGAAGAAGGCTAAGCGGGAATGCGATCTACCTCACCCCGACAGCGGGCACCTCGGCTATGAGCGGCGTCTCCTTCGCTATACCCTCAAGCCTCCTCAAGCACCATCAAGCCCTTCTCCGCTCTCCTTATACCATCTCCCTCTAGCACCATGTCCAAGCCTACCGCCTCACACCATAGCCCTCAACCGAAGCCCTCCCAGTCTCTTCCAGCGACACCGCTCCTCGGTCCAACCGCCCCTCAAAACCACTGATCTCAATCCTGCTCCTTTCTCTTTCGCTTTGCCATCAAGCTATCTAGCCGACGAGCCGAAGTTGCAGTTGCAGTAGATAGTGGGTAGGATGACGGGGCGTGACTCGACAGGAAAACGAGCGACAGGGAGTGGAGCGGTAATGCCGATGTATCACTAGAGTACCGTCAGCTCTTGCGTTGAGATCAAAGTCGAAAATCACTCACCTTGTCAATAGCACGACCACTCACAGTACCACCAGCCCGCCGTTTCCTCCGTGTACCCGCGCCCCTCCAGCATAACGATACAGCTCAATACCCTCGCTCGCGTCTATCTTGTGCGGCTGTGGCCCGAAGGGATTGAAGTGGTATGTTGTCGTTCGGGGATGCCCGGGAAGGCGGGACGAGATCGGGAAAGAGATGAGGAAATGGAGTGATAGGATGCCTGGAAAGATGTGTCAGCTTAGAGTAAAGCTCGAGGCAATGTCACGCACTCGTATGTCGAATATCCTCTAGTCCACTATAGCACACATTAGCAATGCAAAGTCGCCTCTTGAGTAGTTCACTCACAGCAGCACTACGAAAGCAGCTCCTCCATCTCACGCCCTCCAATCCTCCTCAGCTCCACAGACTCCCGCCAATACCCTCCAATCTGAGAAGCAAGCCGCGCCTCTTCAATATCAGACACATCGGCTTGGAGATACCTCTGCCGGTTCTCGATATGCCCCCGCAGCTCTTCCACCAGATCCACGTCGCCTTCGTACTTGAAGAAGAGCTTGAGAGGGAGGCGTCCTGACCGTCTGAGACTGACACTGCCGACAATTGAGGCAAGCTCATCGCCCATCAACCTCACAATACCGCTCGAAAGGCAGTGGGATACAAATCCTAGGTCGATGATGACCCGGAGCGTCCGACCCACATCGCAATACTTGAGGAAATCAAGAGCCTTGACGAGAGGTTGCGATTGCCATTCTGCGCTGGTCAGGACAGGCATAGATACATGAAAGGTCAGGCAAGAAAAACGGAGACATATGTTTCCTTTGATACCTTTTCGATCTGGCACTTCGGTGGGTGATCCCATTCGAACGTCTTCGGCAGTGTAGCAGACTACTACCCTGTGTATGTTGGTGGACGTCCCGAGCATCAATTCGAGGACCCACAAAATTTCTTTATCGAGACAGCGCCAGAAGAATTGGATCGTCTGAATTTTGGCGAGGTAGGGGACATGGATAACCCACGAAAGATCCATGATGGTTTCAGCGTCGAGAAAGTTGAGTTTGCTGGTATACAGCGATAAGGGTCTGAGCGTGGGATGAGGGAAGACGTGGTCCACAACACCGTCTTTATAGTCATAAAAAAGGCTTATCAAACGATGACTGGCGGCATGTTCCAGACTGATGCAGGTGTATGCACGAGGCAAGAGTCGCTCATAGTGGTATTTGGAGAGCCGGAGGCTGGTGGCAGGCGCGAGGGTGAAGAGGTGGTCGAGGATGAGGTAGTGGACGGGTTCGAGGCGCTGGAAAGAGGAGTAGGGGATGTCGAGGCTGGTCATCGGAGAGTCGAGTGGTATGGCGCCGGGGGAAGGGTGTTTGGAATGAAATATAGTTGGATGGCCGATGGATGGTGAAAGCAGGGTGCAATTTGGGTGCAATGAGGGACATCAAAGAAAAAACAAAGTCGCGACGTCATCGTAAAACGCGTCGCGTCGGCCTCCGCCGCTCAGACGGCGGTCGTTTGGCGGTCGTTCATTTACATACGTATGAATGAACTCTTTTCCCGCTCGTCTCTGGCTTGCCGTCATCTTGTCATACACGATCGTAACGTTCTTATGGGCAGCTGTCTCGGTGGTATATACGCACATCAGTCAGCGAGTACACTACGAATACTCATATACTTGCTCTTCAATGCGAAGTCATTCAACGTGAGGTCAAAGAGCGCCGGATTGAGCTCAGGTAGATGGGTTATCGGTATCGCCAGCACTCTCTTGTAATCTTTTGTTCACATGCATCGCTTTGCATAGTGGTATATCTACAAGCCACGGCCTTGGTGTTATCGCAATATGTCACTTCCTTGCTCAAGCAAAGCTGCTCTCAACCCAGCCAGTCGAACATGATGTCCGAAGAGGCCACGAAATCGCCGTATCGTACCATAAACAGCTCCAATCCTCCGCCGTATTTCACGTCGTGCATCCATAGAGCTGAGCGAGCCCATTTGGATCCTTCCTCTGGGTCCTACAAACGTATCAGCTGAGCCATGACAAACATTCTCTGAGAGATGACATACCCTGGCTCCTTCCATCATCGCCAGAACCAAGATATCGAAAAAGATATGCTCATCCATACTATGGCTGTCGTAAACCTTTCGCCCAAGCTGTCGTTCTTGTTCCAAAGTCGTAAGAGTGACACCAGTGTATTCGAGGGAATGGATGAGCGCCTGAGGGACCGTCAATATGTTACGACAATAGTCAACTTTTCCACTCACCTCTATTGCCTTCGGCTCTTGTCCCGAGCTAAAGTAGTCTCTCCCCATGATGTGATAGATCTCTGCCAGATGCCCCTTAGTATCCTGACGTCTGTCTCTCGCATAGGTCTGTTCAACATCCCGAGCCAGCTTCTCCAGATCCTCCGCCTTGCGCCTGTGCTGCTCCTTCTCGCCCTTTTTCACCTCGCTGAACAGGACGGTAGTGGAGTTAAGTAGCCCGCGATTGACTTTCATGAGCTGTCCTCGTCGTTTGTGATCGTCGTCGGGGCTACTATCGGCTCGGCAGAGGGTACAGGCGCAGTCAATATTCCAGTTGGCCAGATCCAAGAGTCGCGAGGATTGCGAAGGATTTTCTTGAATGTAGGACATGAGGATCTCGTCGCCTTGGGGGATGTGTTTGGTGGTACGAACAAACATGATCTGCACTTTCATTAGCCGTACGCCCACAATCGAGGCTGAGGTCAGGTAATTTGAAGCCGGTGGGACGCAAAGCGCACGCGTGACGAGTGTCTTCGTCTTCGGGCCTGGGAAGGCCGGGAGGAGAAGGCCTCACTTCCGAGTAAAGGTTTGTGAGATGGGTAATAAGCGAAGGGTCATCGTGCAACTTGAACACCAACCGATAGATCCAGGTGTAGACATCGTACGGCACGTGTCTCAGCGATCCGGCATCGATACAGTTGACATACACGCCAGGAGAATCGATCTTGGCGCAAGACGAGGCGACTGCTTTGATGGCCATGATGAGCTCGCCGGGGACAATGTCTCGGGCAGCGATGACACCTCGGCCACATCCGGGGACCTGAGCTACTTGACAAGCGGGGGACATGTAGTCGGCGACGTCCATCTCCATCAGCGGCGCTTCCAACGACTCTCGGAAGAGGGCCATCCAGTCGTATACACCAAACTTCTGCTCTTTCAACCTCATCTGTACCCTTTCCTTCACCGTCTGAATCTCTTCCGAGAGAAGCGACTTGGGAGAAGCCTGGTCGCAAGCCTGAAGCGCGGCATTGTAAAGGCGATGTCCCAGGGCGGCTTTGGCGAGTCGGAGCTGGAGACGATCTCGTTCATCTGAGGTGAGGGCGATGTCGTTGCTCTCGATAGTCTCCCGAGCTCTGTTAGCATCGCGATAGGCGGCGCCATGTAGGTCGAGAGCCAGATAGGCTTCGGTACGGTTGAGGAGGAGTTTGAAGGTTTTGACTCGACTCGATTTGACCTCGGGGTCGGACAGAGCGAGAGAGTGGAGGCGGAGAGCGACCTGAGGATTTCGTCAGCACCCATTTCTTCCGTTTCATAGCCTGCTCACCAAAGGGTTGCCCTTTCACATCTCTCCGTTCCCCGCATCTTTGTACTTTTTCCACCCTTTCGGTGCATCGCCTTCAAGTCCATCCTGCCACTTCACTCCCTCCAAGAAGGGGTCATTTGGGTGCAACTCTTCGATCTCATACGGCGTATCCACCGTGATACCCAGCCGCCCGCCACTCAAGAAGCCTGTCCGAGGGGATTTGATGACCAAGATCGCGCCGATAGGGTAGAGCTTGGCGAGAGTATCAGGGAGAGAGAGGGAAAAATGAGGGATGGGTGTGGGGAATCTGATGACAACAGGGAAGGCAGCGCCAGACGGATCCTCGATATGACTATAGCATCATTAGTATATGTCAAAATGAAATGAATGAGCTCACAAGCTGAGTGATAGACCAGACTTAACAGGCGTAATGATTTTGCCGAGCACCATTCGGTCTGACGCAATCAGCATGTTACACAGTAGAGTATTGAATCTGGAAACAACTCACCGTCGTACGATTGAATCAGCGCGACATCTTTCCTGTCATTGACCTTCAATTCCTCCATCGGTCCCTGGTGACACCTCACTTTCTCCCAGACTGTTGAAAAACCTTTCGGGATCTTGGAAAGAGCGTTATGGTAGAAGCACGTGCCTTCAGCAGGGCTCTCAGCATCCCACTCGAGAGCTTGCTGACGAGTCATCATAGACGCATGTCGTCCCTGCGGATCCTCGAGATGGAGATCGGAGGAGAAAGAATGTAGCTGCAGGAATGTCAGCATTCGTGACCTCAAGCACGGTATCCAAGAAATGTGGCTTACAATGTACAATTCGAACTTATTCCTCATATGATCCACCATCCGGACCCTGCCCAGCCCGTCCACCTTTGCCACCTGCTCAAGCCTTGCAGCTGCGGTCTGCAGGCTCTCAAAGAACTTCGTGTACATTTCATCAGTGATGACGCTTCGAAGTGTTTGGTTGAGGATGTTGGCAGGGGGTGCCATGGTGGTTGGTCCTCGGGAGGAGGGAGAGAGCCGATCTGGGGTGGGCCGGCACGGTGTATAGGGTCGAGTAGAAATGGAAAGATGAGATGTGAAGAGAGGGGGAACGACTCTGTCAATCCAAAGTCAGTGATGATGTCCAGCTGGCGGCGTCTCTTCCTCGGCGTCGCCGCCGCCCGTCGGGACTCACCGATATCGTAGAACGCTTGTTGACGACGCCCGTTTGTCCTCAACAGAAAGACGACCTCTTGCGGTTGCTCTCAGAATCTGAGATGCTCTCGGAAAAGAAATTGTGTGTGGAGCGAATGAACAAGACTGTCAGCGGGAAACGCCGCGGGTCGTCAAGGAGGCGGTCGCCCGAATCAGCAGTGTGGCTGACGGCACACCTTTCTGTCGGCTGAAGCATGCGGGATTGCTGGAGGACCGTACGAAATGGTCTAGTCTTATGAGGCTAGCATCTTTCACTGCGGCTGACTGGAAGACACGGACTTGGTACACCATGCCCATCGAAACAAGAAGAGATATTCGCCTCGCCTACGAGCGCATCTACAGCAAGCAGCTATACATGATGCTTTCCGTTCGCTCATATCACATCTCCCGTCTTCCTTCAGGAGCGAAACAAATTATGCCGCTTCCCAGATCGTGTTACCCAGTCTGCAGCCGAGCCCATCCCCGCCACCTCACGTTGTAGCTCCAGACCTCTTTCCGCGACGCGACCTTGCCGAGTCCACAGCTTCCTTAAATGCCTTCTCCGAACCACCCTCGTAGAAATCACTTTTCTCTCGTTAAGAGACTTTCAAAATCACGTTTCGTATGCGTCCACCGGTAAGGCAGATGTGGAAATGATTGAAGGCGATAGGGGAGGAAAGAAAGAAAGGACGGGGTGAGGGTAAGGGCAAGGGGCGAATGGGGTACAAGGTAGAGTATTGCTAGAGCATCTTCGGCGCCTGTTCGAGCTCAAAAGCCTGGCGTCACTCACCATTCTCGTTCACAGCAAAACGACTCTGTCGGCTTACCAACGGCCCCTCTCATTAGGTCGCCAAGCTCACCCCCACGACCCGTTATTACATCTCCGTATCTCCTTCAGTGACATGACTTCCTGGATCCACATCCTCCTCGACTACCTTCTCGATTCTCTCCTGGAAGACTTTGTCACATAACATGCCTCCGGTGCGTCGAATGGTGAAGCGGCAATAGAGATGAGCGACGGCGATAGGAGAGCGAGGCAAGAAAGGGGGGTCGAGCAAGGAAAGAAAGGGTGGAAGGGTGGCGACGATGAAAGTAATGCTGAATTGTCATCAGTGTCTGGGTTGAGCTTTGAAGCCGAGAGTCACTCATCATACAGGCAACGATATGTACTCGTACAGTCTCCATCGTCGGTATTCCACCGCTACCCTCGGGCACTCGCTCTTTTTCACCATCGCCACTTTGACATGAGGTTCGTTGCTCGACAGATGTTGTATCGGCGTCGTGTACAGAGATGTGGGAAGAGGATCAGGAGACTGATGAGAACGCGTCGTAGGGAGGGAGTATGGATACTGCAAATGTATGTCAGCACAGAATAGAGCTGATTTCAATTCCACGTACCAAAAACAACTGATATACTACAAGCACGATAGAGCATTGGAGATACTCACAGCAGTACTTAAAGAGCAGCTCTTTGGCCTCATGAGCCTTGAGCTTTCGCAGCTCTACAAACTCTCGCCAGTATTCCTCTGTCTCGAAAGAGAGGCTCGAATTCTGGTTGTTTATGCCGTTGGCACCGATATCTTTCAGTCGATTTTCGGCATGTCCTCGAATCGCCTCCACCAGTGCCTCATCGCCCTCGTACTTGAGCAGAAATTTCAGAGGAGCGAATCTCTGTGATTGGACACGGGCGTTGCGCACGACTACCGCCAGGTCCCCAGCGATCCACAGCGCGGTATCCTCCGGGAGACCTTGGGACAAGCAGCCAAGATCTACGACGACGCGGATCTCGAACTCGACTTCCCAACATTTGAAAAAGTAGAGTGCCTTCTCAAGCGGTCGTAGTCGCCAGTCTGCATTGGTCAGAGGCGAGACAAGCAGCTGGAAGGTCACGCTATCTATCGGAATGGGTCCAAAAGGTCGGAACAAGCCCGCACCACCTAGCAAGCCTGGCGATCCCTTTTGAACGTAGTCGGGAGTAAAGGTTGCTATAACCTCTCGTATGGGCGCCGACTCTATCAGCTTGCCCAGACGGTACAGGGTAATACCGGCTTCGAACGAATGTGGATATATTTGGATAGATTGGATGTTGTCGAAAGAGGGGTGTTCTATCAGCGCAGAAAGACAGAGGATGGATCTGGCGTCAAGGAGGCTGATTGTTTTGGTGTACGTTCGTAAGGCGTCGAGCGCGGAATGATGGGTGTTACTGTCGTCCCTGGAGCTATGGCGTAGCAACAGATCCTCCCAAAAACAACATGAGGATTCGTGCATGCTGATATAAGCATAGATTTGAGGCAGGAGGCGTCGATGGTGGTACCTGGAGAGCCGTAGAGTGGTGACTGGCGCGAGGACGGAGAGGTGGTCGAGGATGAGGTGGTGGACGGGCTCGAGGAGCTGGAAAGAGGGAAGGGAGATGTTGAGACTGGTCATTGAGAGCTGAGGGGTGCGGCGTTGAGTCAAGTGCGATTATATAGCAAGTAGATCGACGGCAGAGGAACAGAACAAGAGAAGAACTTAATCTAACGACGCGCAAGGACGCTGCATGGACGCGACATCGTGCACTTGGCGGCGTCCGCCGCTCAGCCGTCATCACTCAACGTCACGACTTTCCTCAAACCACCTGCTCCATTCTCGCCTCAACGGTGCGAAAAGCTCTTGCCAGCGTCGCCTCATCAGCCAACAACGCACCATAACCTTCTCGCTTCAGCTTTAATCATCAGGTCTTTGGAAATGTACTCTTAGAGATGTCTTTGCATTGACGATAGTCGAAAACCAGGATCAAGCGCAAAAGCCCCACTGCTTCGTGCCAGCTCTCCTCAAACAACAGCATGACGCCTTTGTTTCCGAATAAGGTCCCATACTTCACCAGGCCATACACACAGGATTTCAGGACACAGCGTGTGATCTGTCGGCCGCCGGCAAGGAACAGACGCGTCGACGAGAACAATGGCGCATCGCGAAATCTTTATTGTCCTTTTGAAACAATCTTGAAACGCCTCGCTTCTTTGCCAAAATGACGTCCATGGCGTCGGGCAGTATAAAGCACGCGGGAACATCACGCCCACAACCTGCCCAAGTCCACCCTACAGACACCAACAAGTCGTGTACTGTGGACTACCGACGACAGCGCCTTTGTCCATTTCGCCAGATCAACTCTAGGGACTCCGATCACAACTGTTACATGATCTAGTGCAGAATATTGTGATGACACATGTGAGCGAATTTGACAGTCCCGCGCGAAGCCAGCTGACTTGCTTCAGGAGCATCAGAATGTCACCAGTCTATCCTCCTCTACTTCTCCCCGCCTTCCCCGAGAGCCGACTGCGACCACTATTCCAGTCATCAGTGCCACCACTACGCCCCGTTCTGCGGCTTTCACTCCTGCTTATAACCTTTCTGGCGCAACATCTGTATCGGCTCTATCAAGCCAGAAGACGGACGCGAGGAACAGTACCAGAGGAATGGGATTGGCGAGAGGCGGTGATACTGCGGGGTCTGCAGTGGTAGATAGAGCGACACTCAGGCGGTCATTCACTGTGAGTATGGACTTGGTCTATGTGGTGTACAAGGCTGATTTTCCTCGCAGCAGCCTCGGGTCTTGACACCGACCACGGCAGCTGGTGATATCTCCGCTTCACCTCATTCCCGCGAAAGGCGATATGCCTCTCTTCCTCCGACGTTCGGTCCATCTCACCACTCTCCTTTCTCTCCAACACACCCCTCTCTACCATTGGGGGCTCGCGCTGGGACATCTCATGTCCAAAGACACTGCAGAGTCAACGTGCGCGAAGAAGATGGCAGTCGCAGGGAACCGACGGACGACACTCTGACTCTTCCACCCGATGTCTCTACGCTCAGGAACAGCCAATTTCTGTCTATCGCCTCCATCATAAACCCTCCCAGCGCCTCCAGGACGTTTGCAGACCTTGAGCCGGTCCACTACCTCATCCTAAAAGAGCTCTTCCTTCTCCAACCGGTCAAGGTGATCTGCCTCTCCCCATACCTCTACCAAAAGTTCATCCCACTTCTCTACCACACCGCTTCCCTCGCCTACTCGCTCTTCTCCGGCCTTACTGGGTTCTCATCCAAGATACCCGTCTTCCGCGCGCTCTCCTTCCTCGAAGTCTTGCATATCAAAGACCTCAACGGTCTGATGATATTCTGCACCTACACCCTCCCTGCTCGACGCCCCTGGGGCCATCCCCTCTTTCCAAGACTACGGCGTATCATCGTCCATTGGGACGTCATCCGATCGCAAGCAGCCACCACCCACGCCCTCCCCCAGCTGCACCACTCAAACCAAAGCCCCGACCGCTTATCCTTCCACGCACCCCATCCTCTCCCCGAACTCGTTCTCCATGTTGAGCTGAGCAGCTCTTACTTATGGGATACTCCCGCCCCTTATCGCGAGATCAAAGCCTTAGCAGATATCTTCACCCCTTCCTCCCTCATCCTCCTGCTCTCAAACTCTGGCCTTGCCGCGCCAACGACGCTCAACCATCCTACTTCCTCGTATCCGTCTTTCTCCGATGTGCGATACGACTGGCCCCGTATCATACCTTCCCTCCCGCTCCACTGGCCTTCAGCACACACCCTCAAGATCATTGTCGAACCCCACCTCATCCCGCCTAAGTGGCCAGACGTCAAAGCCGTTGCGAAAAGGGAGGCGGCTGTGAAGCAGGATGTTGGAAGGTCTGTGTGCGCTTTGGTGCGGGATCTGGAGGGGCAAGTGAGGACTATGGCGCAGGAGAGTTTTTATGTGGATACTCGTGCTGTGGGTGGTGCTGTGTCCTCGGGACACGCGCCGGCGATGTTCTCTTCCACTTCCGGCGGTACGTCGGCTCCAGTGGCAGAGACGGGCTTCACAGCAGCTCCCAACGCTACCCACCCCACACCCCCATCACCTCTTCATCCCCACACCTACACTCCAACATTCTTCACCCAACTCACTTTCGTCCAACCTCCCCGTCTACCCCAACTCGTCGCTCAAGTCATCCTCCACATCCCTCGCGCCAAGTCTTTCGAGGATGCAAGTCTTTCGTTGTTCGGGGAACCTCCTTGGGGGATAGTGGCCAGGAGCGAGAGCAATCAGTCAGAGGACGAGGAGGAGCAGTGCTCTACAAAAGACGGCGAAGAAGATGATGAAGATTCAGCAGACGAAGCGAGCCTTCCTTGCCCTCCCCACCCAGCTCTCGTCAACTATCCTTGCGTCCTCATACACACCCACACTGCGTCCTTCTTCGACGGTCATGCTCTGTTTGAAGAGTTCGATGAGCAAGAGTGGGGGGCGAGATCAAGCTGGAGGAAGGCGAGACTTGAGGGGGAAGAAGGAGAGGACTGTGCTTGGTGAGCCATGTTTGGGACGTATGGGATATCAGCTGACGCTTGGGTAGTAATGAGTGTACGCCGTTCATACTTTATCCCCCCGGCGGACCTGTGTGTTAGGTAGTCAAGACTATAATGACGGACGACGGTGCCAAATGCGCGGATGATGCAGGCTTTGAACTAGGTCGTTCCGAATACATTGGATCGGCAGAACGGCTCCGACGATTGCGCGCTCTTGAACATGCCACATCCCTCTGGATACATAACCGCTCCATATGTTACTAATCTCCCCATACCAATCTCTACATATATGAGGCACCTTTAGTCCTCCAAGTCAAACTTGACAGGGAAAGACGCAAGCGCCTTTTTGTATCGCTGTTCGAACAATGCTTTTCCTCCACCGTACTCGTATCGTACATTGTGGATCCATAGAGCCGTACGTGCCCATTTGGTGCCTTCGTCGTTACTCTATAGAAACTTCAGCTGCCTGTCAAACTGCGCTTGTTTCTGGGTGCTGATGAGATGCACACCCCTCGTAACACGGTGGGGTTGAATCCAAACAGCAGCGGTCCTCGCCAGGTCCTCGCCGCACTTGTTGTTGATGATTGAGAGAGGCCGTCGGGCACGAGTGCCACTTGCCAACAAACATCTCCTGAAAAGGCTAACAAAGATTGTTGCACTGCATACATCTCGTCTAGTTGGCAATGCTGAGTGCGATGTCATATGTGATTCACACGACAAAGTCTACAACAATGGGCAACTGATAGGGTTCTGTGACCCCAGGTCGAATGATGGGCAAAATATGTAGCACAGCCCGTTGATTCAACGTTCTTCTGCCATATTGCAAGACTCTATGCAGAACCATCGATCAGGGATTTTTCTGCCTTAGAAACACACGGAAGCAAGAAAGGGGATACAAGCAAACCTATGACGTCGAAGAGAAGACAGAGAGAAGTAAAAAGAAACAAAAATATGGCGCCACCCGGGATCGAACCAGGGACCGCACGAATGGAATCCAAATCTTGAACTTCAGTCGTGCGCTCTCCCAACTGAGCTATGTCGCCGTAGATGAAACCAAACAGCAAGACTATGCTGGATTTCGTTAGCGTCCCAGCCTTGCCGGATGGTCGTTGTTTTTGGTTCGCCTGGACCAGGCCTTGACAGGCGATGTCTTTTTTTGCAACTCGTGTTCGCAGCATATTATAATCATCCGCCTGAATCTAGTATCATTACCCTTCATCCAGTAGAGCCGACTCCTCCCCCAAAGCACGACCTACCATCCCCAGCTCGATCGGCTCTCCATCAGACGACTGTTCCCGAATCCACTTCCAAAGCCAGCCGCCCAATCGCACGACTCCTCACAGCACCAGCCATACGCGAACAGCAGAACAAGATGGACCTTCAGTGGGACTAGTAAGCCCCCCCCCCCTTCTCTCTTCCCTCTTCAAAGCAAAGCGCTGACAAGTGTGGGTAGCATCCTCAAATACGTCCTCATAGGCGACTCCTCAGTCGGCAAATCGTCCCTCCTCATCCGCCTCACCGACGACAGCTTCAACGCCACCGAACCCACCCTCGGCGTCGAATTCGGGTCCAAAATCCTACACATCCCCGACCCTTCCCCCTTGCCTGATGTTTCGCCATCAGGAGGAGGAGGGAGTGGGAGTGGGAGTGGGAGCAGGGGGAGAGGGGAAAGGGCGGGGAAGAGGGTGAAGATTCAGTGTTGGGATACGGCGGGGACGGAGAGTTTTAGGAGTATCACGAGGAGTTATTTCAGGGGGGCGGCTGGGGGGCTGGTGGTCTATGATGTTACGCGGCGGGAGAGTGAGTCTTGGTTTGGCTGTGGTGTGAGTGAAAGCTGACCGCGTGTAGCATTCGAACATGCGACTTCCTGGCTATCAGACCTTAGGGCTCACGCTGATGAGAATGTTGCTATCATCCGTGAGTCCCCTCCAGTATCCAAACGCCCAGGGATCTGACGAAGCAACAGTGGTAGCGAACAAAACAGACCTCTGCTCCCACTCCCCACCAACCCTAACCCCCTTCGGCCAAGCCCTCCCACCCTCTTCCTCAGATCCCTCCTCCTCAACCCCTCCCTCATCTTCACAAACCAAACTGAAACCCCGCGCCGTGTCCACCTCCGAAGGTCAGCTCTTTGCCCGGCAAAATGGCTTGCTCTATGTCGAAACCTCCGCCAAGAATGGGTGGGGCGTGGAAGAGGCGTTTGAGATGACTGCTCGGGAAATACTGGGGCGGGTAGGGAGGGAAGAAGCGGAGAGGAAGATGAAGGGGCGGAAAGGGATTAATTTGGGGCAAGGAGGGGGCGGTAAGGGCGGGTGTTGTTGAGTAGGCGGGGGGGTTGGGATGGCGTGTTGTATAACCAGGTGTACGTTATAATGGGGATGCGATATGATGCGTTATATTCAGCTGTTGGTGAAGTCTGAAGAACGCTACGCTTGGACGTCGTACCTTGGCCTTCGGGCTGTCACCTCGACGTCTTCCGGAGTGTACGTAGCACCTGTGTTCTCCGAAGCTGAGTGAAGATAGGTATCGAGAGCCGGGAGGGCTACGGCTCATACATGTGAGAAGCTGTTCGGACTTGAACCGGGGAGAGTGTGGATGTACGTACGGACACACCATCTAGACGCGACAGAGTAAAGTAGATGCCGCGCCCGGGAGATAGACAGACCACGAAGAGATCACGCAGCTTGACTCGAACACCGGGCGTCAGGTGGAATCGGATCTCAATGCATGATACAAATAGACTATATGGCAAACGTATATGTACAGAATAGAGAAAGAAGTTATTCGAGATAGAATGTCCGTGTTCGTTGCGCGATATATGATAATGTAAAGATAGGAGAACAGTCTACGAAGTGAGCTGCACACCGATGAATGGATCCTGTGCACAGTCAACCTCGGGCCAGATAAATGTAAGAGCAGATTCAGTGGGTGTCAAGCTATGGCACTCTCGTAAGCTCGCCACCTAAAAAAGTGCAGAGAAAACAAGATACGCACGCTCCAATAGAAGTCACATTCTTGCCACAAGTAAAGACGACCTGGCCAACCTGCTCGACCAGAGGTGTAGGAGTGTACACCTTGGACTCGCCGACGGCACTAGCGGGAGGAACGGGAGAGGAGTAGAACGTTTCGTTCCTGCGACCACAGAGTCAGTGGGTGGCGTAGAGATGACGGGGAGCGACGGACTGTTGGGCGAGTTGGATGTTGCTATGCAGAGTGTCAGCTGGTGATTATCAGGAAGAGGCATGGACTCACGCATAGGCACCGTTCTCATAGATCAAGCTCATCCCATCCCCGGCGATACTGTCCAAGGCCAAGCCTCGACTGTCCATCGCCCCCCAAAACACGGTCAAGACGGGGAAGGTGAAGCATCCGATGAGGTAGGCAGAGGCGGTACGGATGCGGTATGATTTGGTGGCAAAGGTGAGGTAGAGGAGATACGACCAAAGGATGAGGGTGATTTGCCAGACGGTGCCGAGGTGGCTGTGTCTTGTTAGCGCGTATCGCAGGCAGAGGGGGGCGAGTATACTCACTCCCAGTATGAGGTGAGGTGTGTGAGGGTGGGGAGCTGCATGGTGGCGATGGTCGATGGAAATACAAAGAGTGTTGGGGGGGTATATTATACGATGGAAAGCGAGATATGATTTGTGTGAGAATATGTACCCTCCCCCTTTCTGATGCTTCGCCCGTCTCGCATCATCTGCGACAACACATTCTCTGGCGTCGCACCTTATTAAGAATTTCCTCAGGGTGGTAGAGTATCTTATCAGCGGGTAGTCACCACAAGTTCCTAGGAATATTGCAGTAGCACGCCCGCCCGCATGCATGCATGGGAATATATGGCACTTGGGAGATATTTGTGATATGCATCACCTTCAGCAGAAATGACTGAGCATCGGTGGAGCTCAGCACTTTTCTTGGCTTGACCTCATAGTGATTGCTTGTGGCCGATAGAACCGATACCATACCTTTCCCAGTAGCTCCCACTAGGTGATCTGTGTGCATGGGGTCCTTTTAGCCAGCCATCGGCCATCGAACAAGTGACAGGGCGATCAGCAGGGCCAGAGTACACCACTAACGGTGTATGAACGAATCAATCAACATGCCACCCATATAGTTCAGAAGGTTCTGGAGCGAGAAGCTTCCAAAGAAGATGCGGCCTTCAAATGTCAGATGCTTGGGACTCGTCGTATACAATCGGTATATACCGAATGCTTGTCGGTTAAGGGTGATTGGTAGTATGTAAATACCTGCAACACATGTTCCAGACGTCGACGAACATGCGCGCCACGCGCCGGAGGGACGGAGGAGAATCAGAAGCGGACCTCGATGTCTCCGAGTCTCCGATGCATTTGACAGAGGATCTGAATCAGTTGTCGTGGTCGATTCGATTAAAAGAAGACGGATTGACAGCTGTCGTCAACCTTTCTATCGGACCGTGGCTCAGTTGGGCACCGGACCGCTTTGACATTCTCGTAATGACCGGCGGTAAGAGATAGGGAGAAGCAAGAACAGTTGGTACGTAATGTTGAGACACCGATCCCCACGTGTATGCATTGCACCGATGCATGCAGATCGCCTTCTATATGCGGAGCTGGGAACATGTAGCTTTGGTAGTACATAGGTCAGCGTCCCGAACGCGCACGCAAATGCAAGCTAAGGCGCGGGCCAGAATTTTTCTCTAGTGCGTCCGTAGGAGCCTCGCGGGAAGCAATAAAAGAGACCAAACAACCCGGCGCGCCGTTCTGGCCATTTGCGGAATGTCAACAGCATGATATCACTGCTCTGTGATCTCATTCCAATGCATGCATATGTCATCTTTCAAAATTCTGTATAGACGGATGGCCATGCACAGTCTTACTGGCTATACTCGCTGGAGGTCCTCCTGCTGTCTGGAGCCGTAGTAGTAGTCTTCACTCAACATCAGTATTCATGAATTCATGAACAGTACACGTATGGAAAAGACTCACCTCGAGACCTATCACCACCTCTCTGCTGGCATCACTGACCTCGCTCGCTCCAACCTGATGCCCTCTTCTCTGCTGCTGCCTCAACTGCCTTCTCTGCAGCTCAGTGTCCCGTTCGCGGCAAGTAGCGCTATCAGGACTAGAACCAATCCACGTATTCCTCATCCCCTGATCACCGCTACTTCCCTGTCCTCCAGTGGACGGCCTGTCATCAGTATCGCTCGAGAAGCGAGAAGTCACGGGAGCCTGGGAGGCGTTTCCAGTCGTAGGACGAGAACTGTCAGACGAAAATCGGGACGTCATATTCGCCTGAGCATTATCGCCTTCCATCGTACCATCAATCGAACCTTGAGTTCCCTGGAACATGAGTGGTATATCCCTCGAAGTATCAGAGAAGTCTCGCTGATGACCCCTATCAGACGGGTCGTTAGGAGCGCTTGGAGCGTCGTCGTCGCCATTGGGCCAGACAGATGTTTGGACGTTGGAAGGAGCCGAGATGGTGGGATGGGTAGCAGCGGGAGAAGAGCGGTCGGGCTGTTGGCCCCAGGCGGAGACGGCGGGGTCGAAAGGCCTGGAGATGTTGGGGCGGCGGTCGTCTCGGCGGGACATGTTGTGAGTCTTTGTTTAGCTGTTTGGTGTTGTGGTAGAATTGGTAGTTGTTGTCGGTAGTGCTTGGTTGATCTGTAATTCAGTGTTGTGGTGTGGTTCGAATTGGAAGTGGAGGGGGAAGTGGATTGGGTGCTGGGATAGTTGAATCAGCTCTCTGGCCCGCCTCTTATATGCTTTTTTTCCTCCTCTAGCCAGGGCGCATCAGATCACTCAACGTATCTTGCATGTCGCGCGACCAAGAGACGTCCTTCTCACTCTTTTCATGACATATGCCATTTACCTTACTCCTTTACGATGATCGTGTACAGCAGTAACGATCTTAAGCGAGACTATAAGGGATCTTTCAGAACCTTCAGCGTCGATCAATGGAAGAAGACATAGATGATGACGAGGAGCAGCGTCTCGTGTAGTAATCAAGCGCGCGCGCGATGGGCGGACATGGAATGTGGGAAAATTGAGATAAAGGAAGCAGATCACTACCAAGACAGGCTGTTGTGGAAGAGCAGCAGACAATGCGCTGTTTGACTGACCTGTAGCCTCTTCGCTCCTAACATACACCTTTCAGATCTCGGCCGACGGTTGACCGACTGGATGTTGCTCGTAAAGTATGACCTTTGTTGGTGACTGTCGATTCATAACCGTCAGCGTCAATCTACTCGACTTCAAGAAAGGAAAACTCGACAGACGATAGGGCAAAATAGGCGCCATCTTGGATACGCAAGACTCGTTTTGAATGACGTATGAGCAGCGTAGCATAAGGCTTACTCGTCATCATCCACTGCTTACGATTAATTGATGATCTTTCGATAGCCTGAACCAGTGGTGCTAGGAGGCAGCAGACGGAACCTTCAAGATAATGAAAGGATGGGTGACGCCATACACCATTTGAACTCCTACATATTTCTGATGAATTGCGTCGCCGTGCACCTATGAATTTCAGTTGCCATTATTCCGGCCATAGGGGCAGGTGATTATTGACTCATTTGGGGAGTCGGCAGGAGTACGAGAATCCTTGAAGTAAGATGACACGCGATCTATCATCAAATAAGTATATGTAACATCCTCCATTTCTCCGCCTCAGTCAACGTTTTTGTGGTTCTCCTCCAACGAGGTATCCATCTCACCAGAGCTTGACACCCTGTCTAGTAGCGTCTGCGACAATGCCGTCTCAGCTGAAAGACCATTGCCCAGCACCGAGAAGTAACTCACAGACCACCAATGTTGGTACTCTCCCCCAAAAAGAAATCAATCTCCTCACCATCTCTGAAAACGATGGACGCGACCGAGTACGTACAGAACGCTGTTTGATATCGACCTTGTGGACGCCCACATCGTCGACGGCGGGGGAGTGTTTGTGGATTGATCATCCATATGCTAACGATTCTCTCTCCTCATTTCTCCCGGGGACCGGTCATGCACGACTGATTGTTATCGTATCACGACTTATGCATGCAATCTCAGCAAATCTCAACCAATAACCTAAGCTGCTTTCCTAACCATCAACGAAGAATCTCACGCGCACAGAGATGATCAGGCAGTCAAGATGGTATAAATGGGAAGCCCAAAAGCAATCAGTCTCAGTCATCATCTTCGTGACCAGACTCTCTGATACTCTCTCGAGGAACCTTCAGTCAGTGATATCAGTATTCCACATGAACCCTTACTTAAAAACGCCAAAATCGCTCACCTGAACACCGATTAAGACATAAGTACTACCATCGCTAATCGGGCTCGCCCGATCATCCGATGCTCCCCTTTCACTCTCCGGGCTAGAGTCATACCACGCGGTCTTCATACCAGGATCCGCAATACCCCCCCCCCCCCCGGTGGCTGTCGCTAGGGGAGGAGCTTCGGTCGTCCGTGTCGCTTGAGAAACGCGAGGCCATGGGAGGTTGATATCGCTGCTGCTGTTGTTGAGTTCTATTGAATACTGTTGTACAGTCTTCAGCACCTATCACCTGGTAAGATCTATGCATTACATACCTGTTGTACAGTCTTCAGCACCTATCACCTGGTAAGATGAAAGAGCATGAGAAAGCACAACAGGCTCCACAATACACCACGCTGCAGTCCCTGAACCTCGTGCCGCCACATTGGGCATCTGGTCCCGCTACGTTACGTAACTACTTGTCTACCGTATACGTCTACTATCTACAGCGTCCAGCGTACTGAACTCAAGAATCCAACAAGTTCCTGCGGCAGGAGGAGGCCAATCCGCAGCAGGAGGTGAGCCAGAACCGGCCGAAGAAGGAGGCTGTGTACTGCCAAACGAAAGACGAGAAGTCGTCATATCATGCTGTGTTGGGGCTGGCACTTGGTCGCTGGTCGTGGAAGTGGTCGTCGTTGGAATCCCTTGGAAGATGAGGCTTTCGTCCGACGAGGTGGAAGAGCCAGCATCATATTGGCGCTCTACCGAAGGTGCATTGCCAGAGCGAGTAACGGTAGGATCATTTCCCCAGACAGACGACTGAGGGACGGCAGAGCCGGCCGTGTGCCGTGGACGGTCGGTCTGCTCTCCCCAAACAATGCCCGAGGGGTGAGAATGTCACACGTAGATATTCCCTGAAGTGGCATGAGCGCTGAGTTGTGTGGATGGTTGAAGGACGCGCGGTGTACATACTCAATTCATATCTTACTCTTCTACTCTTTCTCTATGCGATAATACCGAAAAGGTCTTTTCCCCTCCAAAAACACCTTTTCCAGTCCCCCCCCCCTGCTGTGTCCCAGTCAGGCCGTGACAGAGAAGGGTTGGAGATCGTGGGTCGTTCGTTCTTTCGAGGCATGCTGTTGTCTTATGTCTTGATCTTGGTGGTACAATAGCCCAAGAGAAGTGGTGGAAACAGGATGACACAGTAATCGAATCTGTTAGGCGCTATTTATGCGGTCATGTTGCCCAGTATATCTGCCGATCTCATCCACAATAGCTGATTGCTTTGAGGATACACCGCTGAAGAAGAATGCAATGCACTCGCACGGCCACAATATCTGCCGCAATATCACCTAAAAATCTTTTCATGCCCTACTGGCCACAAACAAGTGGAAAGGCAAGCGTGAGATAATCGGAGCAGGATCTGAGCTTGACATGAATCGAAGTCTCCTCATTCAAGTCCTGATGAATGGATGTCGGAGAAGACACTGTCTTCGACATCTAATACTGTCTTAGGTTGAGCTCTAAGCGGCACTGTACAAAGTTTTCTCATTGTCGAAGTCCGACGTCGAGACCGCAATGATGTATGAGAGGTGGCGCGGGAAGATTTCTGAGGAGGTTCAGACCACAAGGGTCTTTGTGATATGTCTGGGAAGAAAGGATCGCTGGAGTGTTCCATGGTAGTTCTCATACTTGTATGTCTTCTTCTTCCTTATCTATGAAACCTATAAAACCCTACAACAGGGTCTTCATGAAAGAATGCTTCTTTACATATACTTCAAACGAAGTCAAAACTCTCTCTCCTCGTCAATTCCCAGCAAGCGACCTCTGCCTGTACTGCTCAAAGCTTGCAGAATCTCATGCAATATCGTCGTCACCTGAAAGATCGTGTATGGGATATATCTCAGTGATTGTCAACGGTATGCATTGGGAGGAGGGGTAGATAGCCGGCAGTACCATGTGAGTCAGAGTACGAAAGAATTACACTACTCGAACAGTACTAATCTTCCTCACTATCCGACCCACTGCACTCTTCACCGCTACTACTACAGCTGCCTGCACACTCACTACCACTGTCATCCCCATTCTGGGATCCAGGGTTCCCACGGATTCCTAATCGAGACATGGACGTCTAAGCACCATGCCCAGCAGACGCACGATCCTTCGTCAGCATTCTATTACCCTCGCCATACATGTCAAGTAACGTTCACTCACCTCAACGCCTATCACAATCGATCCACTCTCTCGTCTACGAGCATCATCATCATCCTCGCTACATGAGTCACAAGAAGAAGAGAAGTCTTCCTCGAATTCTGTAGATTTGTCGCTGTCCTCGGCATTACCCCTGAATGGCTGTTGATTGCCAGAAGCAGAAGCAGAAGCAGTGGAAGAAAGCAGCATCCCATGCCTGCGAGTGTTTCTCCTAGCAGGAGTCGAGCTCGTTGACGCTTCCTGCGACGGCGAGTATTGTTCCTCCGCCGCCTCCTCGGGTCGAGCGGAAGAACTAGCCGACGAGCCAGCGTCTCTCACGGAAGCCAAGGGGCCGAATTGAGATGAGACCGAGTTTTCAGGTTGAAGGATAGGTTCAGAGATTCGGGGACGGCGGCTGCTGGAAGAAGAGTTTTGCGTAGAGGTTTGGCGGTTTCGTCGCATATTCGGAGGTACTTGGTTTTGTCAATGACGGTTGTACCCATAAAGAGCTATGGGTGGGGGTGCTTTATAGTGGATTCTGGATATGTGGAGAAGCCGATGTAAAGCGGAGTCTGCGTTTCACGTAGCGGGAGAAAAAGCGGATGTCAAAAAGTATCGCCGAATGCGCCTGTTCAATCAACAAGCTCAGTATCTTACTTTCTTCTTTGCATGTTTTGCAATTTCACGTTGTTCCTCCCTTTGTCTCCTTGAGCCCACGAGTCCCGACGCGGATAAACGTCACAGCGCAGTCCGAATTCAGCTTTAAGGGAGGTTCACTCTCGTCCTTTATGTTTGTTGCTGGGTGTTCGCTGGGCATGCGGATGCTCCTCACATGGCGATGCCGGGAAACGGAAAAATTTCGGAAGCGAACTCAGTCAGCTTCTCTCGCCAAAGCTCGGGGTGGTAACCTTTGTCTTCACCATGCCCATGTTGATTGATGCATGAGTGTATGAGTAGTCGTACAGAATTCGTTGCTGAAAGAGGCAGATCCCGCCTTCATTATTGCTCGTCTGCAAACGCCCAATTCGATACTCTGGTCATCCTCTCATTTCAGCCCGCATCGCAGGCGACTTGCGAAGAATCGAACCAAACAACACGGTGCCTTGGCCTGAGCCTTTATCAGAGATCTTACGTAAAGCTCCCCTTTTAGACATAAATTGCCTCGTCCGCGTCCTCGATCGAGTGAGATCTGAGGAGTAATCAAAAGGGCTCTCTCGAAGGCACTCAAATCTCAGCGACGGCGGCTACATGGCGCTCAATTTCCCAGGGGGCAGTGACGGATTATAAAAGCGGTTACCGCGCAGCCCCGGATTGTATCATATCGATTTCATCTCGGCACAACACCATTGGATACGTACTTAAAGAGACGCCGGACCCACAGAGCCACCCATCCCTCGGTCATCAGCCACCCCTAACAAGGCCAGTACACCACCAGATCAACCAGACTACAATATCTTCCATTGTTTCTCAGCATGCCGCTGTGTCTCGTCTCTTACTGCCCCGACTCGGCAGAGCGCACCGCTGCCACCATCAACGCCGACTACTGGTAAGATCTGCATTCTCCAAGAACCTGGGACACAGCTGATCCTCGTAAAGGTACAAAGCCCAGCACTGGGCACGTACAACAGCCATCGGCTGCCTCATTCTGATTGCGCTCCTGGGCATCCTGAATAGGAGCCGCCAATATGTCTCGCGTCGCCCTCGTAAGCTGACGGCAGCTCTTCGAGCTGTCGGATATCCCCACATCAAGTTCATCGACCTCAGTCTCGGTTTCGTCCTTGTATGCTCGGTGACTACTGCATCTAAAAGAACAAAAGGCTGACAGATGCTTCCAGGGCTGCTTCACCCTCTTCATGGCGCTCTTCATTTGGTGTTTCCAGACCAAGCCGTACTATCGACCTGGTGTCGAGTACGGCAGCGCTCCTCTCGGTATCAGGACAGGCTATATCGCTACTGCTCTCGTCCCTTTCGTCTTTGCCATGGGGAGCCGGATCAACCCTCTGGCGTTTGTCACGAGGATTGAAGCATCAAGGTGGATGCTGTGGCATCAGTATGGCGCAAGGGTCATTCGTACGTAAAGACACTTGTTAATGGGCTTTACTGACCGAATTGTAGTGTTCTTCTCCGTAATCCACACATTCGTCCTCCTATACGCTCCATACCGACAAGGCGGCATCTCGTGGACCAACGCCTACTGGTCCATGAGCAACAAATGGGAGAATTTCTTCAACACGAGCGGTGTCATGATCAACGGCGCACTAGCCATCGCAGCTCTCTTTTGGACCGTCTTTTCCAGCTTTGCCAAGATCCGCAACTGGTGCGTCCCCCCTCCATCCAATATGGAAAGACCTAACGTCTAGGGGTAGGAATTATGAATTCTTCATCCTCCAACACCTCGCCTCCATCCTCATCTTCACCATCTCACTCTGGCCCCACGTCAAAGTATCCATCCCCGACGCCCAATACTACGTCTTTGCTTCCGTTGCTACATGGTGTTTCTCCATCGCCGTCCGGGCGGGGTGGAACTTTATGGAAGCTGCGGGTGTTGGCAAATGGAGTGGGACGGCGAGTTTGCATGGGTTTGGGGCGGATGAAGATGGGAGAGGGGGGGCTACGAGGTTGGTCATCAGGACCAAGCGAGGTGGATGGGAGGTGGGGCAGTATGTGTACTTGTGGATACCCGCTTTCAACCCTTTCGTGCGTCCCCTCAAATCCTCGAGGGCTCATCCGCTGACATGGCCCAGCAATCGCACCCATTCACCATCGCCTCCTCGCCCCCAACGAACCCCTCCACCCCCTCCCCTCTCAACCTCCTGATATCCACCCGGTCAGGCCTCACCAAGCGCATAGCACAACACGCCTTCTCCAACCCCTCCCGCTCCATCCCCGTCGTCGTTCAAGGTCCCTTCGGCGGGCTTATAGAAGACCTCAAGAGGTTTGACAGTGTGTTGGTTGTTTGTGGTGGGGTGGGAGCTGCTATGGGGTGGAGTACTGCTAGTCAAGTGGGGAGACATGGAGGGAACGTCAGACTGATTTGGAGTATGAAGACCATTGGTACGTTTCGCCTCTTTACTCGCATTGGGTCTCGGGGTTCTGAGAAGTAGGCTGATCAAGAGCAGATTGCCTTTCATGGTTTGAAGAAGATTCTTCATTTGACCGTTCCAACCTCACCATCCACATCACCGGCACCGGTGCCCGATCATCTTCATCCCATCCCAAACGCCTCAGTACCGAAAAAACACTCGCCGAAATCGAAGCCGGCCCTTTGAGTACCAAAGAAGAACCATCACAAACACCATCTAGCGCCCAGACAGCAAGCTCGACAGGGGACGAAGAAGAGAAAGACCTCTTACCTTCCATCGCCTCACCCCATCTGGTGTATGAACGATTGAACATCGCCTCACCCCATCTGGTGTATGAACGATGTAGGATCAAAGAGACTGTACGGACATTTGCTTCTCAGATGAGCGATGGGGAAAGATTAGCAGTCATCGGTAAGCTCCTCCATCCCACGTTTCCCGAATAAGATACTGACACAAGGTAGTATGTGGACCGGTGTCGATGCTGGCGGATACCGCCAATGCCGTTGCCTCGTTGGAATGGGATATCGCAAGAGGAAAGAGCTCTTTGGGAGAGGTGTGGATGCACAAGGAGAGGTTTGGATGGTAAGAAGAAGTCGTGCTTTTTGGGGTTTTGCAAATGGATGATGCATTTGCTCACTTTTGATATTTGCGCATTTTCTCCTGAGAACCAAGCTCAGCATGGGTATAAAAATGTGCAATACATGTCATATCAAATCGCCACACTCAACATAAAACGAGAATCGATACAAATTACTCTCAACGACAAGTCCGTCATGTGCTAATGAGTCAACACTACAATTCTTCTCTCCCTATCCTACTTGATGAAGACAAACAAAACAACCAGCATTACCGCCGCAAACGCCATCCCCGGAATCGCCACGATCGCCGCATGCCTGCAATACCTCACCATCGGCTCTTCATGCGTCCACCACGACTCCTTCCCCGACGACCCGATTCCAGATATCTGCGTGTTGTGTGCCAGCATATTCCCCCTCAGGTTTGTAGACTGTTGCCCGAGCAGAGCGGTAGGACTCGAAACGGATTCTCGAAAAGGGTACGAGCTCCTGTTGGGTGTGATAGGGATAAAAGGCGTGCCGGTTTCGAAATCTACCGAAGTGTGGGGTGTTGATCGTGCTTGAGATCTCGTATTCGACTTGGGGCGTTGTCGACGTTCCACCTTGTCCGACGAAGGGTATACCCACCATCCACCAATGATCCAGAAAACGGGACAGATGAACCCAAAAACAAACATCCACCTGACCATCTCTACTCCCCTAGTCTTCACCTTTGCGCCCTTCAACCAGCTCTCTCCAGCCTTCTCTACATCCTTCTCTTGAGGGGCAAACGGTGCGGGAGCGACTTGCATCCTGACAGGCGTCCAATCGGCGGGGCGGGAGAGGTATTTGGGGTCGACTCGGCAGGGCCAGCGGGAGAGGCGGATGGAGTTGATGGGTACGGGAGGACGGGTGCGTCTTGGTCTTTCGGTGCCGAGGGTGGCGGTGATTTCGCTGGTGTCGGATGTGAATGAATCGTTCTGCGTCTGATTAGCTTTGCAAACCAAGCCAGGCAGGAAATCGGCAACGTACCACGGCGCCTTCTGACTCGTCATGATCCTCCGAAGGATGCTCAACATGCTCAAACGAGAAGCGCTTGACCTTGACGACATCAGAGAGATCCAATCCGCCCGTACCAAAGTCCTGCGTCAGGCGAGGCGCAAAAATATCGGTGTAGCCATCCTTGGCAGCTCTAGATGGGAAGTTGCTGGTTTGGGAACTTCGGGTAGAGGCGGGGATGTCGACGCGGAGGGGACGAGAAAAGTTGAGTGATCTGTCGAGGGATGTATCGAGCTTGCCGCTCTCACCACCTCTCAGAGTTGTATCTGCCTCTTCCGCTGTTGCTTCGCCATCACTTCCCTCGCGCGATTCGGTCTCAGAGAAGAACGCTTGAAGCTCTTCAAGCTTATCGATAATCTTCCCCTTCTCCTCTCCCACCCCACCGTCCGCTGCCCCCTGAGCAAGCAGCGTCGCCCTCGCAGACCTCACAGCCATCTCCACCTTCTCCCTCGCACAGCTCTCCATGAACGAAGCCTTACTTTCCACCGTCATCGCCGGGAACCTCTCTCTCCCTGTCCCCTCCGCCCCGATATACTCGAGCAGCCACCCGAACTCTCGGAAAGCGTAGAATGTTTTGGCGGTAGCTGTAGAGTCGCGAGTGTTGTCGGTGACGGTAATTTGGGGGACTTGGAGGAACTGGGCGGATGGAGTGCGAGAGGCTGCGGGGTGGGTGGGGATGGGGCTGGGGGTGAGAGCGCCTCTAGGACGGTCGGCGTCTACACAGAGAGATCGGATGCACTCGATAGCAAGAGGCAGGAGAGGATCTTGTTCGTTGTTGACGGGAGTGAGGTCGGGTGGTATTCCAGCGGCCGAGACAGCGGGGCTGGCAGGAGAAAGACCAGACTGGGGCTTGGTGTGGATTGTAGTTACCGGATGATGGCTACCGTCCCTCTGTCGGCAAGAGATGGTATACGAACGATGATAAGGCAGAGTCGTGTACGTCTCCAGCCTGCCCGGGGAGCTATACGTTTGTTGCTTGGTCGGAGAGAACTGCGGGAAACGGCTAAACTCCGGCAGCCTCGTCATGGTTGACGCATGAGAAGGCGGCTGAGCTCTCGGCCGTTGGAAGCGGGGAGGGGAAGGGTACCCTCTGTGCTGGCTGAGCGGTGGAAGAGGAGGGGTGCAGACGCTGGGTCTCTGGGTGGCGGTACCAACGGGCGACTTGGAGAAGGGGTCCGAGTAGGTCTGACTGAGCTCGGAGTAGGGGACGGCATTCTTTTCGAGGTCGCAAGGAGGGTCGTCGGTGCGCACGAAGAGATGCTCGGGGTTCATCAGCCTGGATCTGGAGGGAGCGGGAGAGTCTTACCTTGACAAAGGACATCATCGTGTCTTGTCGTGAGGGAGAGGTGGTGAGAGGTGTACAGGGGACTGTCGTCGGGGTGGAGCAGTTTGAGTAGAGCAGTGGAGCAGGTGTGGGAGAGAAGAGGAAGAAGATGGATGGGGAGTGATTATATCCACCCCTGTGGCAGTACACACCTGCGCCCTGGAGCCTGATTCTGTTCCAGACGCTCACTTTTGGTGGGAGACGCGGTGCGAAAGGCAGGCGGGATGAGGCGGGGGGCAGCCATCGCCGCCTCAATTTACTTCCACTCATAGTATACTATGTACGTAGCGTATAGGTGAACGCCCTAGCGTACCGAATATATGTTAGGGAATGGAAAATTGGCAGCTGGAGCATTCTACACCTTGCAATACGTACGCCTCAACATCGTTCGGTTGACCGAGGCGATGATGACCTGCCACTTTATGGGCGCCCGGCTACAGCAGACCTGTCATCCTTGTACACAACTTTTGAGAATGTTTTCTGTATGCAAGTGACAACGCCGCAACGATATACAGCAATGATAGACACCGGGCACGATAGGATCTACGAAGATAGAGAAGAGTAAAAAGAAACAAAAATATGGCGCCACCCGGGATCGAACCAGGGACCGCACGAATGGAATCCAAATGTTGAACTTCAGTCGTGCGCTCTCCCAACTGAGCTATGTCGCCGTGAATAAAACCCTTAAAATGTGCTTTGTGATGAAGCTTCATCGTAATGATATTCAATAGCTCTGTATCACTCGTATGCCTGCTGTCCATCTCACGGTCCAACGAGAGGCTTGTGCATTCCCAAGCGAGAAGCGTTGAGCATTTGAAGGGGGGTGGCGGGGTGCTCCATCTTCAAGAAGCTAATGACGGCGGCGGTAATTGGACAAGCGAAAGAGGTGATGACGAGAGTATATACTTGCCGCTCGTATCGACCTGGAATGGATATGATGCGGACAACCTCCATGGAATCGGTGTTGCATGAGAGCATATCGTGCAATGAAGAGCGAACACCAGGAGGGGGGTCCTTGAAATGTCTCCCCCGCCTCCCACGCTCGGACCGCTCGTCGAAAACGTACATAAACAAACATTTGCATCCTTCTTTCTCTTCTCATTCTTTTCTACTTGCCCTTTTACAAAATGTTCCAGAGATTCACCGCAGATTTCCCTCCCTTGCCTGAGCTTTTGCCTACGTCCATGTCGGTGCGTCGAATAATTGGTAGCTTCATTGCAAGCTGGCGAATATGCGAACTGACCAATCTAGAAAACATTGCGGCCAGCTGTATCGGTCTACCCACTTCGCACCGACGTCGACGACAAGCTCATGGAAGCGAATACCGATAACTCGACATACAAGACCACAACGATCACTGCCCACCTTCTCCTTATTACCTCTCGTTGATTTTGAGCAAGGGCGTGGTGTGGTAGACGTAGGCAATGGGTCGGGTAAGGGAATAGAATTTGGGGGTGAATCTTTGAATTATCTCGTAGAGGAGCAAGTAGAAGAGAGCGATGATGCATGTATGCGAATCTGTATCTCCATCCGTTCCGGCTGCATGACATGACTGATTCCTTAGAGTCATGCTAATGAATGGCGACAAGGGTCAAGGAGCGCATACGTTGCATGAAGCTGAACGAGAAAAGAGATAGGTTGAGGCATGGTAAGGCGAGTGGGGTATGCATATGAGTGGGGGGCTAACAGCTGCTAACAATCAACATGGCCAGAAGACTGCAGCAAAGTACACCCACACTTGACGCAGTTTCCACGTCGACTGTTCGATACTGACTCCTTCGCTCTGCTTCTTCTTCATACTCGGTCGATCTTCGTTGGTAGGGGTGTTACTAATCAGTCCTTGCCTATCTCTACCAATGACGACTTTGGTCTGTCTCTATCAAAATGATACAGCCATGGCCCAGCGTCTTTCAAAGTCTGTCGAGCTTCGTTTTGAAACTCAGCTACGCGGCACATGGCATGGTAAGCTCCGCCTTCAGTAAGAGGGAGTATTTGAGGAGAAGACTTACGCCAAGTCTCCGTCTTTCCTTGATACGAGATGACATTGTATTGCGCCGCACTCAACTCCCAAATTTCCGCCATGCAGAACAGCGAAGCCAATGCTAACCATTGTCTTTGGTATGTTTTCTCAAGTCTATTGTCAGAGTAGGCGGCTGGTCGCCAAGGTTGGACGAAGATGTGTTCTGTCGAGGGTAGTGCTGGAATTCCTTTTCAAGGCCGATCACGGCTTGGGAGATGTGGACCCCGGACAACTTGCCCAATTCGGGAGCCTCACCTACATATTTGATGCGAAGTGCCTCCGCGATATCGTAAAAGTGCTCCGAGTCCAGTTCAATGATGTTATAGATGGCAGAGGCGTCGCTTGCCGGCGTCTAAGGGATCCCACTTCTCTCGGCAGGCATCGAGGGCTTGCTCTGGGTGGTTATGCGGTCAGCGACAAGCGTGAGTTTTGGGAGGTGACACACCGAATGCGGGGTGACAGTGCTTGATGCTCGGCGGAGCGAGAGGCGTTTCCTGTCCCCTATCTGGAGTCTTGTGTCAGAAGCGCTCTTCTCGCAAGATGGCACATACATCTGTAGATACTTTGGGTCCTGCTATGTATTCTGGGAGTGCGACATCCTGGTCCTGCTTGTATAAAAAGTCCAGATAGAGCCTGAGTGATGCTAGAGTATGGTTGACGACGTCACTGCGATAATGGCGGGAGAGAGTGAAAGCAGCCCGTCGGGACGAAGCAGCGTGTTTGGCCACGGGCAGGGTGGCGAGACGCAAAGCCATGTCGCCCGATTGTTGTGCTGGGGGCGTATCAGGTGAGGTACATAGATTGAGATTGTGACGATTGGAGAACGGGTTGGGTTGCGAATTGACTTGATTGTTCAGTTGGTTGAGATCTGAGAAGGGTGTGACTCAGCGGTATCAAATGCGTCATCACTTATTGGGCGTGGTGATTGTTGACGCCTAGCCACTACTCTTCTTTCATTCCATTCATCACCACGTCAAAGGTTTGAACCTCAGAGGAGAGGTATGCCGCCGTGCATGAAATCCGCGCGACTGTTTCTATGTTAGCAGCTCGGTCTTGTGCTCACGCGTGATCTTGCGCGTTGTGTAGCACCATTCTTTCGAGGAAAGGTACCAATACTTACAAGAAGTCGCAATATGGAGAAACAGCTACGGTATGCTTCGACTGTGCATGCTTCCATCAGAGAAGAGGGCTGATTCCAGCAAGAGCTCTGTGATTTGTGACTTGCTTCGGACTGATTGCCGAGACAGCCACGTTTGATCAGCCTCTAGCACCCAGCCAAGCCTACGGATCCCCACCACTTGCACAAAAGACATACGCGAAATCACCTGACCATTCGCCATGGATCAGCCGGCTCGCACCTGCGTGCATGCTCGGCGAGAACAGAACAGCCTATGAAAAGAAGACAGAAGCCAAACAAACCCCTTAAGCGCGGGTGGAGGCAATCCCGAGTGAGGCGACCAAGCGACGGCAGTCCCGACACTGCCCGCCGAAAGGTCAAATATCTCGCAAGTAGAGAGCCAATTTACGCGTTTAGACGCATGGACATGGGTTAATTGTTTTCGAATGCATTTTCGAAGAGGAAATAGAGGTCAGATAATGGGATAAGGTGATCGGATGTCTGGACCGGAGGACATGGCGAGTTCGAAATGACGCGAGACGCGGCAAGAGGGGTGCAGAGATGGTGGGGTACAGGGAGGTCGTATGCATGGAATCAGGCCTTGGAGCTGCATCCAGAAGCCACGAAGCATGGGATCGTCCTCGTCCAGCAGCACGAGAGACGCCGACAGACGTTGGGGAGGAGGACCAAAGAGATCGACGCAGGGTCTTGGCTGGTCATTTTCGAATCCGCTTGAGCGTGGAGGTGGTCACCGGGCCAGCCGCGAGGTCCACTCACTTGCTCTGTTGTTGCCATAAAAAGCCATCTCTTTCCTCTTTCTCCTCTCCACCATCTACCGATAACACTGTGAGTCATATCTCCCTCCTTTCACCCCTTACGACCACCGCCTCGGGTGTGCCTGCGATAAGCTATCTCCACGGTATCTCGCATCCTCGGCCTCTCTACTCGATTTTTTCTGCCCCGCTTGTTATCACGTCCTTTCTCTCAACCTCTATATAATCCGTCGCCTTCCCTCGTTCTATCTCTTCCCCCTTATCTATACATATTACCAAGCATCACAGCTGACTTTCCCCAGCTACCATGTCTACCCCAACACATAGCGGGGACGTAAGTCCACTCTGTCTCCTCCATTTACCCAGCTAACGTTTCCCAGGCCCACGTCCTACTACCAGCCCAGCTGAACAAGCTCCTCTCCGAAGAGGGTGCCCGTACACCTAACGGCGGCAACAGGATCCGCAAGGACACCATGTGAGCAATTTCCCTTGTTTATCAGTGTGCTGTGGCTTGTGGTTGTGCGTGGGAGGTGCAGCTGGCATGTGTCTGAGGGAGGGCCCGGGCGTGGTCGATGACGGTGCAGATGGTGCCGTGGAGGCTGTTGGTGACCACGGCGTCGGTGGCGCTGGCCTTGACGCCGGGTGGTGATCGAGTCTTGGTGACGTGCTGGGGAGCTATTATTGGCCCTCGGCGTGAGAGACTGCATCTTGGCCCTGGAGCCAGGTCTGCGCTGTCATGTGTCTTGACGACGTTGCCAGCGATACCCTTGAGGGGTCTATGCGGGTCACTTATGGGGAGGCAGAGCGGGGCAGACGTGGAGGCCGGTGACGGCGCGCGAAATGGTCCTGGTGAGCATTGCGACGATGGCGCCGAGCCCTAGGTATCAAGAATGTCTGTGTGGCAATCTTGGGCGTGCGTTGTGTATTGGATCTTCAGTCTCCAGCTCCTGATATAGAAGTCGGTGCCCAGAGATCAATCACTGACATGACATTCAGCGGCTACAAGTCCTCCCCATTCCCTCTCAAGGCCGAGCAGCAAGCGTCCGTCACTCGAATACTCTCTGAGAGCGGGTTTATGCCCCAAGAACTCGTCGATGGCGAAGTCAACTGGTTCTACAACGCTCTTGGTATGTCCTCTGCACCTGCCAAAGGCCTTCACTAACGCTCTTCTAGGTATTGAGAACTCGTATTTCCTCTGGGAAAAACCCGAGGCCATTGCCGACCACGTCCTTGCCCTCTACTCTGCCAAACTCCTTGCCTACACCAAGCACGACCCCGAGCAGCTCGTCATCGATCTCGAAAAGATCATCCCCGAGGGTGTCGACAAGTCTCGCGAAGGTGCCGTCTGGATCCACTCCTCCAAGGCTGGTATCTCTGCCCGAGACGGCCCTGGCGCTACTGTGGAGAAGCGCATCGACGAGCTCTACCTCGACGAGTCATCGCCGGAGAAGGCGTACAGGCTCGAGACCTACCGCTCTGCCGGCAGCATCTCTTCCACCATCTCCCAGCAGCTCCGATGCTACTTCATCTCCCGATGCTCCTTCCCCGACTCTCCCTCCGTCAAGACCCCCGAGGGCACCACCGACATCCGTTCCGTCTCTGACGCTTCCTTCCTCGAGAAGGCTTCCGAGAACACTCTTGAAGTGTATCAGCGCGTCATGAACGAGGTCGAGCGACGTTACGGACCCGTCATCGAGATGTTTGAAGTCGAAGACTCGCGGGAGAGGAGGATCGTCATTGGTTACAAGATGGGCGGTACCCACAAGTTCTTCTCCGCCTTGTCTGACTTGTACCACTTCTACGGGCTGTACTCTGCGCGCAAGTATGTGGAGCAGTTCTCCAATGGCGTCACCATCATTTCGATGTACTTGAACCCTGTGCCCAACACAAGGGCGCCGCCTATCGAGCACTCGATCCACCAGGTCGTGCGAGAAGCGTCTCTGCTTTACGTCCTCCCCGACAACCCCTTCTTCTCTGTCACGGAAGAGGAGACCAACCACGCCGTGCAGGAGGCGACGTACGCCTACGTCGGATGGATCTTTGCTCAGCACTTCTGTAACCGTCTTGGTCAGGCTTACATTGCGTTGAAGAATGGTAAGTTGCTATCTTGATATGGGTCTCTTGCTGATGACTCGTAGTGCTTGACGAGGCCAACCCCGACCACGCCGAGGTTCTCAACAAGATCAAGATGAGGTTCAGGGAAGAGACCTTTACTCGTGAAAGCATCAAGGAAGTCATCCAGAACCACCCCGACTTGATCAGGATGCTCTACATCAACTTTGCGATGACCCACTGTAAGTATCTCCTCGTCAGATGGAACTTGCGCTGACACACGACAGACCCCGCTGCGGACGAGGCTTCCCAGCTCACCCCCACTCTCTCCTTCCAGCGTCTCAAGACCGAGCAACCCCTCTCGGACGAAGACCTGCACGCCCTCATCCGTAAATCCGCGGCCAACCAACACGCCGTCCAAATCCTCGAAGCCTTCCTCATCTTCAACCGTCACGTCCTCAAATCCAACTTCTACCAACCGACCAAGGTCGCGCTGTCTTTCAGGCTCGACCCCTCGTTCTTGCCCGAGGTCGAGTACCCGAAGAGTCCGTTTGGAATGTTCTTTGTGGTCGGTGCCGAGTTTAGGGGTTTCCACGTGAGGTTTAGGGATGTGGCGAGGGGTGGTATCAGGATTATCAGGAGTAGGGGCAAGGAGAACTACAACTCGAATGTGAGGACGTTGTTTGATGAGAACTACGCGTTGGCTGCCACGCAGAACTTGAGTGAGTGTGCTTTGGTTGCGGTGAGGCGAGGCTGATGGTATGTGCAGAGAACAAGGATATTCCTGAAGGTGGTGCCAAGGGAACGATCCTTCCCAGTATCGGTGCCAACATCCAGCAGGCCTTTGAGAAATACGTCGACGTGAGTCATCTCAGCTTTATGATAAAACATTGCTGACATTGTCCAGTCTATCATCGACCTCTTGATCCCCGGCACTACCCCCGGTATCAAGGGCAAGATTGTCGACGTCTCCAAGCGCCCCGACCCCGAGATTCTCTTCTTCGGTCCCGACGAAAACACCGCCGACCTGATGGACTGGGCTGCCGAGCACGCTCGATCCCGAAACGCCCCCTGGTGGAAGTCCTTCACCACCGGCAAGTCTGCCGAGAAGCTTGGTGGTATCCCCCACGACATCTACGGCATGACCTCACTCTCTGTGAGGCAGTACATCCTCGGTGTGCTCAAGGCCCACGGGTTGAACGAGAAGGATGTCACCAAGTTCCAGACTGGTGGTCCCGATGGTGATCTTGGCTCGAACGAGATTTTGTTGAGCAAGGACAAGACGGTGGCTATCATTGATGGGAGTGGTGTCCTGTATGATCCCTCTGGTCTTGACAGGGGAGAGCTGGTTAGGTTGGCCAAGGCGAGGAAGCCTATTGATGGGTTCGACTCGAGCAAGCTTGGCGAGGGAGGTTACAAGGTGTTGGTGGATGACAAGGACTTTAAGCTGCCTAGTGAGTCTCATCCCCGCCTTAAAGAATTGTACTGACATTCTCCAAGCCGGCGAGATCATCCCCGACGGTACCGCTTTCCGAAACACCTTCCACTTCCGCGTCAAGGCCGACCTCTTTGTCCCCTGCGGTGGTCGTCCCGAAGCCGTCAACATCTCAAACGTCAACCAGCTCGTCGATGCCGAGGGCAAGCCCCACTTCAAATACGTCGTCGAGGGTGCCAACCTCTTCTTTACCCAGCAGGCAAGGTTCTGGCTTGAGAAGAAGGGCGTGGTGTTGTTCAAGGACTCGAGTACCAACAAGGGTGGTGTGACGAGTAGTTCTTTGGAGGTGTTGGCCGGATTGGGCTTGAACGATGAAGAGTACATCAACCAGATGATCTTCAAGGACGGCAAGTCGTCACCGTTCTGTAAGTCTTTGCTTTCCCCTTGTGAGCCATGCTAATGTCGCACAGACCAATCCTATGTCAAGGACATCCAACAAAAGATCTGCGAAAACGCCGCTGCCGAATACACCTGTATCACCAAGGAGTGGTACCGCCAGAAGGGCTCCAAAGCCCGCACCACCATCTCGGATCAACTGTCCTCCACCCTCAACCAGCTCCAACACGAGCTTGAGCAGAGTGATTTGTATGAGAATGTGGAGAGCAGGAAGAATGTGTTGGTGCAGGCGATCCCGAAGACTTTGGTGGACAAGGTTGGGTTGGATGTTTTGATGCAGAGGTTGCCCGAGCAGGTAAGTCTCACCTCTTCCTGAAGAGTCTCAAGCTGATCGGATGACAGTACCAACGAGCTGCTTGGTCCGCCTGGGTTTCATCGCACTACATCTACGAGTGCTCGATGGAAGCCTCCAACGTCGACTTCTTCCACTTCTTCTCCAAACTCTCTGTTTAGAGTGGTTGTCGGATGTAGGTCTGCGCGTTGATTGTGAAAATAGAAAAAAAGAAGACATCCCCTCATTGTTTGTAACTATACCTCTATTCGAAGAAGAAAAGAAGAAAAACCCCAGAGTAGTGAAGAATCAGAGTTTTACATGTTCTCGTCTCTTATGCATAGCATATCTGTCCAAAACGATACAGTAGATCGTTATTCAGTCGTTCAATATACATGATACAGAATCACGAGATATTCTCCGGAGACGGACAGAGACTCATTGTACCGGCCGAACAAGAGTCAAGACGTTCGTTACGCTCGGGGCGGACAGCGCCGAACTTGCACTGTGTTTGATTTTGACTTTGCTCTTGCTTTGCTCGATTGTTGCTCGAGGTATATCTGCGACTATTCACCTTTCACCTCACGTCAATAACACCCCGTTGTCGAACCGATATCGCCCCATCGTGCGTATCTACTGCTGATCCGCCCTCCCACTTCTGACGGTCATTGCGCAGGAAAATGGCGAATCCCATTCCCTCTCACGGCGCCGGCCAGACTTCCACCAAGCTCAACGCAGGAGCTCTTATCCGCAAATCGATAATTTCAGATCTGGCTGATGCGATAGAGCTGATCACTGAGGAGGGTGAAGAGATGGATCGATTGCGCGCCGAAAATGAGCAGCTTCGCAACGAGCTCTCCAAGCGCCCGGCCCCTGCTGCCGCCTCTACCGAGCAACCTGCATTCCTCTCTGCGCGCGTTAGCAGCGCCTATAGTCGAATCACCATCCCCTCCAACAGCCCTGACCTTGCCTGCAAGGTCCCTCCCCCCGCCCACAGCTCTTCCCATCCTTTCGACTATTGTCCCGCCTTCCAAGCGCCCATGCGAAAAGATTGTTTCTTTGACGGGACCCCCACCACCTATTTCGACTTGATCGAGAAAGCAGAGTTCTGTTTGGGAATTTGGCCAGCGGGGAAACACGCCGCGTGTATGGTAACCTGGGTCGCCCAGCATCTGTCGGGTCCGCCCTTGGATTGGTACCATGGTCTTGTGCGCGAGAAACATCCTGCCCTCCGCTCATGGTCCGCTTTCAAAGCGCACTTTGAACAGAAGCATCGCACCTACGATGAGATCCTTGCTCTCGAGCGCAAATGGAACGAAGTCAAAATGGGCGACACCTCAGTCGAAGTTCATAACCTCCAGTTCTTCTACTTTGCCAGAGCTCTCAGGTTCCCCCTCGACGGCCCCGCTATGCGTTGTAAATACGAACACAGCCTCGGGGACGATATCGGGAAGATGGTTTGACTGGAACGGTTGCGCGATAAGGCGAAGTGGGAGAGAATGACTGCTGAGGATGTTGCTGCTATGGCCCTGGAGCTGGACGAAAGGGTGGCCCATACTGGCCTCGCGGAGGTAGTTGAAGAGGCCCTGGAGCTGGACGAAAGGGTGGCCTATACTGGCCTCGCGGAGCTCGTTGAAGATGACGCTTTAGATGGGCCTCTTGTCGACTTCAATGGGGACTTGATTATGCCCCCTTCCCCCTTCCACCTTCTCATGTCCCGTCCTCCCCGTCCTACCCCCACCGCACAAAGCCGTGCAGCTCCTGCTCCTGAGAGCCGGACTACCCCTGCTGCGCCTTCCGCCCCTGCAGCTCAGAGCCAAACCATCCACGTAACTAGCGCCTTCGTCATCTCACCCCAACCCTCCCCTACTACCGCTCCCAACGACCCCAACCCGCGTCCTCCAAACGCCAGGGGACCTCTTATCAAAGTAGAGCGAGAGTGGAGGGAACGTAATGGGAGGTGCACGTATTGTAATCAGCAGGATCATGGGGTGGAGAATTGTGCGAAGAAAGCGGGGAGGACAGGGAGGAAGGGGAGGAGGGGTGGTAGATGAGAGTGATGAGTTTGTTGGTTGTCGGTGCTCCCGCTTATTAAGCTTTGAGGTGTAACCAGTATGTATAGCATATCTGTCCAGAATGAAACAGTCGATGGTTTTCAAGACGTTTAGTGTATACATATACGAGCTAATTTACAATGCGTTCGCTTCTACATCTCCCACGCTCTTCCATCTAACCCACCCTACACCTTCTCAGCTCTCCCCACACCTTCCTCCCTATCATCCCTCAAATCATCCGCCGCACTCCGCACCTTCTCCAACCCCTCCGCCCCGGGCACAGCAGCAGCAGTCTTTCGCTCAAGTTTGAACGGTTCAATGAGATCGACCAATTGGGGCCAGAGCTTATCGAGCGCAGCGTTTTGTTTTGAGGTTTCGATAGGACATTCGTCGCCGGCATCGGAAGAAGAAGACGAAGAGGGAGAAAAGGGAGAAGAAGAAGAGGCAGATATGATGGTGGTGGGGGACGAAAATGCAGATGCAGAAGAAGCAGCGTCAGAACGGGATGCCTGCGAGGTAAAAGCCGAGGTGGCTGGAGCGGAAAGTACCTCGTCGGATGATGAACCAGAGATCGAGTGTAATGACTCGGGATAGTTTTCTTCAAAGTACTGTGTTGGGGATGAGATGATTGTCAGCGGGGGTTTGGATGAGAATGAGGGGAGGGAAGGAACGGACCTCGAGTAAGGGGGCGGTGGATTCGTAGTAAGCTCGTAATCTCTTGGAGAACGTTTCCTGATATGTCGTCAGCGGGCGAATCAGATCGCTTCAGAGATACTTACAGGAGTATCGTCAGGTCGTTTCGTAAGAGGTTCGCCGGTCACGTCGTCTTTCCCAGGGATTTTGGGTGCAGAGTATGTGGTGTTGTATACTCGGCCAGAGGGGAGGTGGACCCACCGGGCTATTTCGACATAATTGTCAGCAGTGTACACCTGCGTCATAACTCAAAGATGATTGGTTGCGTACCTGCTATACGGGCCATAATGACAGAATCAGGAACGTTCAAGTGTACGACCATGTTGAGGGGCCGGTTCTCTTGGTTCAGAACGTTGTCGAGAAGTTGACCTTGGTGCAATGTCCGAGGAAAGCCGTCGAGGATGAAACTCTGTAAAAAGATGAGCGACACGTTCTGCGGTAGACGGTGGGTGGATCTTACCTTGCCTTTCAGCCGGTCAAGCTCCGCCTTGACGATCTCCAGCATGAGCTCATCAGACACCAGGCCTATTTCGTATTATCAGTAAACAGCGAGGGAGCCATCAAGCCTGAACTTACCTCCAGAAGCGACGATAGCCTCGGCCTTCTTGCCCATCTCAGACTTGGCGGCTATTTCTTTCCGGAGCACGTCTCCAGTCGATACGAATGCAATGTCATAATGCTCGATTAGCCTGGCATATGATAGTGAGTATGTATAGATGCGAAAACGAAGATATAAAAGCATACCGAGAGCTCAAAGTACCCTAGACCCGTCGTCAGCTAAATCATCCCCAACGAATCAAAGCGCCAAGATCACACACCTTTCCGCTCCCCGGCTTTCCAAACACCAGCATTCTCAGTCCTTTCTCCTCTGCACCATCATACAGCGGACTGTGGAGAAACTCTGTTGCTTGACGAAAAGAATTGCGCAGGGAAGCGACCGTGTCTGAGACTGCCGAGGCGACCTGGGAAGTCGCTGAGGTGGAGGCGGAGGAGTGGTTGAAGCGGGAGATGGGGCGGTATGTACGTGGAAGGGCAAGTGCTCTTGGGGCTGTCCGTGGTCGTAAAAGGGCCATTGTGGAAAGTGAATGTAGAGATTGAAGATACATTTGACCGGGAAAGGAGAACCCCATCTGGGCCGGTCCGAAGACGCGGGGCGGTGATGGCCGCATGTGACGTTTTGTTGACATTTTGACACCTTTTCTGAAGAATCTTCCAGGTGTTTCTGCTGCTTTCGTTCCCAGTTCAATGCTGTCGAGTACGCCCACTACAGCTGGATAGCTGGTACAGGTTCTGCTCTTGGCCACCTCCTCATTAAGTATGCACTGCATCGAGTACAAAGTGTCACGCTTGGGCCAACGTCCCCATTCTATCGACGCTTCACCCTCTCCATCACCTTCCCTGCCACCGCTCGCCCCCCCTCACATCCATCACACCCACCCCTCCGCCCCAGCTGTCCCTCTCCTCGCCCCCGAGTGTCGGTCAGACCATGAACGCAGCCAAATCGGAGCTCCTTCGCCAATGTGTAGCGAAGGTAGATGAGCTCTCTCAGGCAATGAGTCTGGGGAGCGATCAGCGGGTGGCCGAGCCACGCGCGCAGGAGATTGGTCGGGTCGGCCTTGAAGACACTCCTTCGCACGGCCCTGTTGCTCTTGCTGCACCCACCTCTCCCCTTCCCATCTCTTCGACTGCGCGCAGCGCTGGCTCTGATCAAGCCCCCATCATGCCCATCCGTCATGACAGATCCACCTGGCCCGCCTTATCACTGCCCATGGACCTGGACCGCCACTCATTCGACGGTACACCGGGCATGTATGGTCTATTGGGTCAGTCGGGACCTGGCTGGACCAGCCAAGATTTGGTACCAAGGTGCCTTTCATGAAGTACATCCTGCCCTCCGCTCCTGGCCTACTTTCCGAGTACTTTTCGAGCAAGAATATTGCTCGTACGCCGAGATCTCCGCCCTCGAAGACCAATGGAACACCCTCCCCATGTCCAATACTGTTCACTATTATATAGTATCAGTAATCCTGCTGACTGCTGGGCGTGTAACTTACTGTAGAGTACTCGTACTCTGTTATTCGTTTCTCTTGGCTACAGGAGCTGTTAGGCGCTGATGCAAATGAGTATTGATGGCCCACTTACATTGCAATAATGAAAGCGACCGATCCAGTCCTAGTGCTGGGTGGATTGGTCGGGTCTATGGTAGCTGGGATGTCGAGGTCGGTGACCAGTGTTAGGCGCTATGAACCAAATGAGCAAATAAGAGTCGGGCAGTTCAAACCAAGCCGATTAGAACGTACTTTGTGAGGGAAAGCCGGCGGAAGACAAGGCTGAAGACAAGTGCGATAGGTGGTTTGAATGGTCAGTGTATATAGCCGGGTATATGAGTCGAGATCCAGCCGGGCTCAAAAACAGTCAAAGTGACGGCAGGCTCCCTACGTCCAGTTTACTTGCCGCAGCCTCCTCTCTTGGCCATTACTTTCGATGCAAGCTATGTATGCGCTCTTCTCCAGAACGACATCCCAAGTGTCAACAAGTCTCTATGCACGATTGTGCCTTGTGCTGGCTGCCCCGGGACGTTTAACGTTCGGGTTGTCGCGCCCTCAGATCTGGACTTGATATGCCGTAAAATGCGCAACCGCCAAACACCGCAAGAAATCACTCGCGTCTCTGCTCTTCTCCATCATTTCCCCCCTCGCCACCCCCTATAATGCTCACCCCCCAGCGTCCCACTGGCGCCCCCCGACAATCATTCCACCAAGTATAATAAACACCCAAAAAAAAACAATCAAAAAAGTAAAGGTGGACCCCCGCCAATCCTGTCCTTACCCCTGTGTTTGTGTCTTGATGTGAGTCGCCTCTCGTCGTCCTGGCGACCCGCTGACGACCATGCAGCCTTAATCATGTCCACCTCCCTCGCCCCCCTCCCTTCTTCCTCCTCATCATCCTCCCTATCCCAACGGCGGTCCTCCCTCCCCGCCGCACTCTCCACCCCTCTCCCCTCCACTCCCTCTGCACGCCGCCCGCGGACGTCGAAAACACCTCTCTCCGTCCAACTTTTCCAAGAAAAACATCTTTCAGAATTCCCGCATCTGTATAGCATACCAGATCCAGATGAGCAGGAAAGACTCATGGAGCAGGAGCGGGAGGCGTTGGAAGAGGCGAGGAGGATAGGAAGGTTTATGAGGGAGAGTATTTTGGCCAAGGGGGAGGAGCTTGTCTCGCCTGTCCAGACGCCCAGAGGCATTTTTCGTCCTCTGAGTTTGACAGCAGAAAAGCCCTTCTCCCTGGCCGAAGCTGCAGAGATTTCGTCGCCGAGAAAGAGTCGCAGCAGGCAAGTTTCGTCGATTGTTTGGGCGGCTCGTCGCTGACAGACTTTTCAGCCCTTTCGACCCTGTTGAACAGCTGGCATCACAAGAAGCCAACAGAGGATCGTTCGACGATGTCAACAGGCGTGTTCCTCGGCCGTTAAGTCTACTGACAGGTAAACCGCTTGTGACCCCCTCAGCTCGAGTGACATCACCGACCCAAGAGCTTCAGAGGTACGAATTTCAAAAGCTGTCAGAGCCCAAGCTGACAAATGACTGTAGCAGCGGGCGACGTCCGCTCAGTCTACTCTCGCGAAGACAGCTGGAAAGCCGGCCCATGGATCTTGTCCGGGTCAGCGAGTACACTGCCAGCGATCTTTCCTCATCCAACAGCCTCGCTCCTCCTGTCAAATATGACATGGAACAACGCACCCCCGACCTCTCCACCCCCGTCTTTTCCGACACCTACTCTCCCGACCCCACTATCGTCACCCCCGGGCGGGCTCATATCGGGCTCGCCCTGCAATTCCAGTCGCCCAATGGTGAGTCTGCAGCGGACGAGGAAGAGCCGAGCTCGTCGGAAGCGGATACGTCGAATTCATTCCGCAACTCTACCTACTCGTGGGCTACGTCGTTCTCAGGAGAGACGGAAGAACTACGGACGGCGGCGCAGTATGTACCGTCGCGAGCATCAAGGGAGGATTCGGTGGAGAAGGAAGAAGTCCTTGGGACGCCGGACAAGGCCAAGCAGCGGAGGAAACGTATCGTCGCTATCGCGCATACTGTCCGTCAGCTTGAGGGTGTTGGTTCCAGAGAAGTCGAAGACCCCACGCTGTACAGCAAACTTGCCAAAGCTTGGAACGACCGCCCCGGAGTCATGCCCACCGAACCAGTCTGGACACCCGCCGAAGAGGTGCCTCCCCTCCTGCCGACGCCCTTCTCAGAAGTCCCGTCGCATATCAGCAGCGAGTCTTCCGGGCCTTTCCGGTACTCTCTTGCCTCGAGCATCCACGATTTGGGTGAAGAAGGCGCGGTTGAGCGCGGGGCACAGATCTTAAGCGAAAAGGCGTGGTTAAAGACACCGTTGTACAGCTCTGAAGCGTACTTTGGCGCACACTCGCCTTCGCAGCCCTTCCCGTCGTCTTCATTCGTCCCTCCAAAGAGGGGCAGGGATGTCAGTAATCCGTATGAAGCCCGTGAGAGCTTGCAAAGCGAAGAAAGTAAAGAGGAACGAAGCCCGCCTGTGGTGACCCCAAAGAGGGTCGTCAGGAGGGTCAAGACCGACATTTCCCAACTAAAGAATGCCAAGATGGATCCCTCCTCTTTCCCAGACATGCCCCCTACCCTAGGCTTGGGCTTTTCGGGCACTTGGCTCATGGCGAACCACGGTGTAGGATCGAGCAGAAGCGCGGCAGGAGAGATGGGGCCGGATTTTCAGCACGGGGAAGGTGGGGTGGAGATCAAGGAGGCAAAGAAAGGGTACAAGCATCACGGCTCTATCCACTCTCTCGGCGACCTCGTGCCACAGTCATCGCGACAGCCGCAGCCGCCAGTGACGGAGGGCAACTCGTTAGAGACCATCGATCTGACGCTTTCCGCGTCAAGACCGACGAGCTATTACAACACTCCCGCAGGTCGGCGCCATCGCCAGTCACTAGACTGCGACCTACCGCCGCCGCCGCCGCTAGCGCGAGTAAGACAGAGCACCGATTATCAACGCTCGAGCCTCTCCCGACGGCCGGCTTGCTGGACCCCCTCGATTACCTCCTTACCACAACACATCGAACATCAACACCAACTGGCGCCCCCCATCGACCTCCATCTTCCGGGGACGAGGGTAGCTCATGGCTGGGACGAAACCCCTTCACCACCGCCAATTATGGCGGGGATGGGGGAGGAGATGGACAGGTCCGAAACGGAGGAAGGGGAGTGGGTCGAGGATTTGGGTTCTTATCGTTCATCGGTGATCTACTCGTACCGATCAAGATCCCCGAGTCCGAGTCAGAGCCCCCGTCTCCCCATCGCCCAGTCACCGATTCAACTGCAGCATCATCTCCAAGTACGCCCAAAGTCTATACCTCCAACGACGCCAGTGAGGGAGGAAGATCATCTTGCCTTCCCCGATATGCTGAATATGCCTGCGAGAGAAGAAGTGGGGAGGGAGCGTGGGGAAGAGGGAGCGGAGGGAGTGTTGCGAGTCAAGAGCAGACGCCCAAGTTGCGGCCCCTCCTCTTACCCAGATACGTCAGCGATGGGTGGGGCAAGAGAGGGCATGTCTGAAGGCGACAACTATGACCCGGAAAAGGCTACGGTTTCTTCCAAATCTCAGACTCCGTCTATCCTCTTTGTCTTTGGCTTCTTGATGCCACTCCTGTGGCTCGTGGGTGGATGGCTCCTCCCATCATCCTCCACCGCCGTTGACACTACTACCGAGAAGAGCGCTCGGATACCAAACTGGCTCTACCACCCCCACCCTCGTGTGTTTGCTTGCCGTGTTGCTTCTGTGATATCTATACCCTTACTGCTGATAGTGGGGATAATACTAGCGATAGTCTTGCCGCTTACACTCTAGTCCATTTCTCTTCTCACACATCTATCCCGGACACTCTTCATTCCACTTTTTACGACCCTTTAGGACAATTTTAAACATCTTATACACACTTATAGCAGCCCTTTGCGCGATTGTTAGCATAGCATACACGGGGAGTTTGCAGGTTGTAAGAGTTCAGTAGTCGATGCACCGTCAGTACACGACGCTACAACACGAACAGTGGCTCAACCCGCCGAGCCTCTCTACATTGTGATCCCAGGGATATCATTCATCCCGTCATACTCGAGTACTGTATACAAATCGAAAGTTTTTAAAGTATATCGTACACTCCGTCATAAATACTCATAAGGGTGGCGAGGGGACAAGTTGAAGGAATGGGCGAGGTGGTGGGGTCGTCTAGAAGAGATCTTCAAGAGTCATTTGCCTGTGCCAATTTAGCTATAGCGCGATCATGGAGCTGATGTACATACTTGACGATATCCGTGCTGGCGACCATCGCGGTGAACTCTTCGAATGAGAGCTTTCCATCTCTAAAACCCAAGTCAGCGAAGCACGCGTGACAATGGGAGTGCTTACCCGTCCTTGTCTGCCTCCATGATGGTCTTGTCCACGATCTGTTGCAGTTGTTGGTCCTACACGCAGTTGTCAGATTATCCCTCCGTTTGGGGATCCGAACCCACCTTCAGATTGTTCCCAACCATCTGCTTCAGTACCAAATATAGTTCACCGTTGGAGATGAATCCGTCTCTGTCCATGTCGTAGACTTTGAAAGCGACTGTGTGAGAGGGCGAACAGATTGAGGGGAGGCAATGAAGGCGAGGGGGCTTCTGTCAGCACTTGGACATTGCAAAGACACCCTGCTTACACCTCAGCTTCTCATCCCGACCACCCTTGCTGCTGAAAGCGCTCAAGCCCCCAACAAACTCCTGAAAGTCGACAGTCCCACTCCCACTATGATTCATGAGTTGGTTTCCGATCCCCCTTTGCACATGTCTCGCATTCAACACCCACTCTTCGTCAAAGATTGCAATCATCCGATGCGCCAATGGGTTGTTGGCGATTTGAGGAATTTGGAGGAATTCGTCCTTGTCGATGGACCCGGAACCGTCCTTGTCCAGCTTCATAAACCTCTTCTTCAGTCGCATGAGTTCAGGCCCGGAGACTGTGGTAAGAGTGGTCAAAGAGACGCATGGTCAGCGGCAAAGCGTGACAGGATACGGGACACGAGACTGACAGTTGGAGTTCTTCTCCAAGGAGTTGAACATGGAGGATTCGGCGGCACCCATCTTGCTTGGTACTGTTCTGTGTCTGATTGAGGGGTATACTGGGCAGGGCGGCGAATGAAAGAGACGGGGTGAGACGTGAAACGAATAAAGTTGTGAATATAAGAGTGAGCGATGATGCGGCGCCGCGACAACGAAAGAGAAGGCGGCGAAAGCGCGTGTGCGATGTGTCGAAGAATGTGTTGATGTGCAGACTGAGGGTTGGGAATTTGTCAAGGGTGTTGAGCAGTTGAACCCTAGTTGGTGCCAGTTCTAAAGCACGTAGGTATATGCACTGCGAGTTGCTGAGGGCCTGAGACCAGAGGATGGGTATTGTAGCTGTGCGTATCTATCAGTGTTCAATACAGCCCACACATCAACTAGTCGCATGGCTCAGTTGGTTAGAGTGTCCGCTTCACAAATCACATCCGGATTTTGAAGCCGCGGAAGGTCGAGGGTTCGATCCCCTCTGTGACTACTTTCTTTTTGCTGTTTTCCTCCTTCTTGCATTCTTTTCAAGTATGCTGAACTGCCTAGGGGATGGCCTTGCTTCGTGGGTACATTTGTATGTAGTTTTGGAGGCTGTAGCATTCTTTTTGACGTGAGATATTGGCGTCAGAAAACATAGGCCTCTTGAAGACAGCGCGGCGGCGACTGTTGGTGCTGACTGGTACTCATCATTCTGCGTTGGGTGTCACTCTTCCTATTGTGCCGGCTTTTCTCAACCAATCAAACGTCAGCGCGCGTCGGCCCCTCCCTCGCTCCCTTAGCTCGCTCAAGAGCCCATAGCAAGGGGGCAGACGATATGCAGTTGATGCCATTTCAGCCCTCGACGCCGCCGCTGAGCCAAACAGCGGAGACCTCCGATGACGTTGCAGCTCCCGTCCTTCAGTTGACCGTCAGCGAGTGCGAGCCCTTTCTAACGTGTTTATCACTTGTATACGTACATTGATACACATATTCCGTTTCTAATGTTGCCCCCTAGACTACGCTCAATTACCGCCGGCTTCTTGTTGCTGGCGACAATCGGCACATCCACCTTCGCCATGCTCCAGCCAGAATACCCAAACTCCCTACGCACTCTTCAAAACGATAACAACCAGCTCGCCTTCAATGGCGATCCCGAAGCCAGCAGGAGGGAGACGGGGACAGGAAAGGGAACGGCAGGAGGGGATTTGGTGGATGCTGTGCTCGGTCCAGGGACGGCGAGCGGGCAAGTCGGAAAGCAGCAAGAAGGGCAAGAGCAGACGTCGGCGGGTAGGAAGGGGCCGACTGTGGCGGATGTGCTCACTACGGAGAGAGCTTTGAGTCTGTGGTGGGGGTACGCTAGGGACAGTGTTGAGATTGTGCGTGGTTCTCACTGTTTTTTAGGGCGGTCAGAGCTGATGAGAAGCGATATAGACGCAGCGGTTTGAATCGAAGACGCAGAGCTCTACGTTGCTTGTCCCTGTGGATCGGGCCATCATGGCTTTGACTAGAAAGCCGTGCGTCTCTTTGGGTGTGAAGTCAAGTGAAGCTTATGATGTTGCAGCCACCAGCCGTCCGAGGGCTCATCTTCCGAGGATGCCGTACTCAAGTTCATCAGCGCCCACATCATCGATGTAAGCCATCAACCATCATCACCTGACTCTCGCTGACATGTACAAACAGGGAACACCCGAAGAGGGCCCCCTTCCTACCCTCCTCCCCGACTTTTCCGTCTACCTCGTAAAAGATGCGAGCGCAAAAGGCGGATGGCGGGTCAAGCCCGGGAATATTGAAGTACTCGGCGAGCGGTCAGGTGTCAATGGTCGCGTGCTGTATTTGGCTGAGGTGCTGCCTTATGTGAAGGACCAAGACGTTGTCGTGTAGATCAGTCTTTGATCGTGATCGTTTGTAATATCTAAGCGTTGTCCCCTCTATTATATACTCTTTGTTTGCTACTTGTACATGTATGCTTCTATCAATGCTCTCAATAATCATAGTCCCCCTGCCCATTCTGTACACTCTTCTCATCAGCGTTGGCGGGAACAGACCGGAGGGAATTCCCTTGGGTGGTGCCATTGGGTGTCCGGCTGGGAGATTCGTCCTCAAAGTATCGATCTTCGGCGTCCCTTATTGCTATGGGATCACCGCCCGGAGGATCCTCAAAGTCTATTGGAGAGTAATCGAGGGTCTACAATGAAGAGTGAGTCTTGATGCCATGCTCGAGCGGCGGTCTGCGACTTACATCCAAGCCATCGAGAAAGAGCTCCAACAACCGCCTCTCAAATACCCTCTTTACCTCTGCCTGATCCTCAGCCACTTCCACCCTCGGCTCCCCGCCATTCGCCTCATCTTCCTCATCATCACTCTCCTCCTCAAACTCTTCCCCTACTTGATCCAGTCTCCTCTCCATCCGCTTCGCAGCCCTCACATCTTCCGCCTCTCTATCTTCCTCCATCAATCTCAAAAACCCGCCCAGCTTTCTCACTTGCTGGTTCCCTACAGTTCCCTGCATGAAGGAAGAGTTGGCCCAGGCAGCTTCGTCCTCTGCGTTTTGGGACGTTTCGGCGAATGGGTCGCCGCCGAGACGTTCCCAGAGAAGCGGCCAGCGAAGACGGCCTTGCGCGGAAGATAGAGATGAGGGAGAGGTTGTGGAGTATATGAGACGGCGGCGTTTTATTGTCGGTATTGAGGTGCGCTCTTTGGGGGATATGAAGGAGAAGGGTTCGAGGAGCGATGACGGGAGATTTTGGATGTATTTGGTAAGAAACTCGAGGGGCGGCGAGGGGAGCGTCTCGGATGCCGGGAGCTGCAGATACGACAGGATCTGTGAAACGTGTTCTGGCGAGACAGACATGGCTACGTTAATTACAGCTCGCACAAGTCTGAACCAGAAGCTTGACCAGAAGCGAGCCAAACAAACAATTGGCAGATGCAGCGGCGGGATCAATTGATTTGACGTCAGTTTTTATTAACAGCTCACTAATATAATTTTGAGGTGGCGTATCAAAAAATGTTCTTTTGTGCGCGCTGAGCCCTAATCCTTTATCACTGAATTCGCTTTCTTTTCCCTTCTTCATCTATCAAAATGGCCCCCTCCGCCTCCAAGCAGAAGCGTCTCGCAGACAAGGCCGCCAAGGCCGCCGAAAAGGGCACCACCTCCTCCAAGTCCTCCACCGGCGCCAGCACTCCCGTCACCAGCGTCGAGGGCGTCACTGACGAGATGGCCAAGCTCCAGGCCGCCACCGACCGAGGTGCCAGCGGTGTCCTCGTCTCCGACCCCAAGGGCCGAGACATCAAGATCGACCAGTTCACTCTTTCTTTCCACGGTCGTCTTTTGATTGAGGGTGCCGAGATCGCTTTGAACTATGGCCAGCGATACGGTCTTTTGGGTGAGAACGGATCCGGAAAGTCTACCTTCCTCGAGTCTATCGCCAACCGTGACGTTGAGATCCCCGAGCACATTGATGTAAGTGCTTTTCGAGATTTGCAAGAATCACAACTGACATGCATACAGATCTACCTCGTCTCTGGTGCCGTCGAGCCTTCCGACGTGAACGCCCTCGACTACATTGTCGCCTCTGCCCGTGAAAAGGTCGAGCGTCTCGAGAAGCTCGCCGAGGACATGTCTACCGCCGACGAGATTGACGAGCTCGGTCTCGAGGCCATCTACGAGGAGCTTGAGGAGATGGACCCTTCCACGTTCGAGGCCAAGGCCGGTGCCATCTTGAACGGTCTCGGTTTCACCCAGGCCATGATGGCCAAGCCCACCAAGGACATGTCTGGTGGTTGGAGAATGCGTGTCGCCCTTGCCCGAGCCTTGTTCATCAAGCCTCACCTCTTGTTGCTCGATGAGCCCACTTCCCATTTGGACTTGGGTGCCGTCGTTTGGCTCGAGGCTTACCTCTCTACCTACAACCATATTCTCGTCTTCACCTCCCACTCTGCCGACTTTATGGACACTGTCTGTACCAACATCATGGACTTGACCCCCAAGAAGAGGCTCGAGTACTACGGTGGTAACTACACCATCTACACCAAGACCAAGAGCGAAAACGAGGTCAACCAGATGAAGGCCTACGTCAAGCAGCAGGAAGAAATTGCCCACATCAAGAGTACGTCTTGATCTTCTCTCATGGACTCGGCTGACCGTTCGCACAGAGTTCATTTCTTCCGCCGGTACTTATGCCAACTTGGTCAAGCAGGCCAAGTCCAAGCAAAAGATCATCGACAAGATGGAGGCTGCCGGTTTGGTCGAAAAGGTCGAGGCTCCCAGGCTCCTTCGATTCAACTTTGAGGACATCAGGAGACTCCCTCCCCCTATTGTTGCCTTCTCCGACGTCGCCTTCTCTTACTCTGGTGAGAAGAAGGACTACCTCTACGAGGACTTGTCTTTCGGTGTCGACATGGACTCTCGGTACGTCGCTCGACTTTCCACTTGACCCTTGCTAACGATTTGCAGTGTCGCTATCGTCGGTGACAACGGTACCGGTAAATCCACCCTCCTCAACCTCATCACCGGTGCCCTCCAGCCCGTCGAAGGTACCGTCAACCGACACACCCAGCTCAAGCTCGCCAAGTACTCTCAGCACTCTGCCGACCAGCTGCCTTACGACAAGTCCCCTGTCGAGCACATTGCTGCCCTCTACTCTGACAAGTTCCCCGACAAGGACATTCAGTTCTGGAGGCAGCAGATCGGTCGATTCGGTATCACTGGTGCCCACCAGACCGACCCCATCAAGCAGTTGTCTGACGGTCTCAAGAACCGAGTCGTGTTTGCTATCCTTGCCATGGAGCACCCCCACATCATCTTGCTCGATGAGCCTACTAACCACTTGGATATGGTGTGTTTGCTTTGGGCTGTGATTGGATCAAGCTGACATCGATATCAGGAATCTATCGACGCTCTTGCCAAGGCTATCAAGGAGTTCGAGGGTGGTGTCGTGATTGTCTCGCACGACTTCCGACTTATTTCTCAGGTCGCCGAGGAGCTTTGGGAGGTCAAGGACCACAAGGTGATCAACCTCACCAAGCAGGACATCTCTATCGTCGACTACAAGAAGGCTCTTGCCAAGCGAAGTACGTCAATCTCATATGTACTCTGAGCTCAACTAACCACTGTGTAACAGGTCAGCACCAGATCGAGAAGGCCAAGCTCATTTCCAAGAGCGCCTCCAAGGGTGTCGCGTAATCGCCTCTCCCTACCGCCTTCAATCCTTCGCCACATCATCTTCGTATCTTTGTGCGAGTTGTTTTTCCATGTCGTCTTTTATCAACGCACTGTGTCGATTAGTCCCTTATTCTTCCCTTTTATCTTTCATTTCACCTTTATCAAAAGAGATGTGTGATTCTCAAACCCCCCATAGACGAGCATAGCATGCTATACCCCGGAGAGTAACGACGTATGAAGCTCAAATAATACTACAATTTCGACTCTTTTCTTCGGGCAAATTCGCCCGCGGCAGAGACTTGAATCGTTCAGTCACACGGTAGCTCAGGTAGACGTTATCAGACAGTCTTTCATACGTCTCAAGGACTCTCTATACATGCGTCACCCAACCAGATGGCCACTGACAACCCCCAACTGTACTCCATGTCGTTGGTTGAGGCAATTACCGGAATGCGGCTGACGTGGCATTGAATTCACCGGAAAAGGCCTCTGTTATCTAAGGCACCGGAGAGATGTGATCTCGATCTAATTCTTGCGAGCTTTTTTTTCGCCAGTTCCCGAGATTACCACGCTCGACGGGACTTTGCAACGCCACAGCATGGCTCATCTTGGCAGCAACTCATCTCGCTCTTGTGAATACTTAAAGACCATCCTCTGATCTGCCCTCCTACATTCCACCTCGACTGAGCACTGAGCCGCCGCCCGCAAGATGGTTCTCTGTCTCGTCTCCTACTGCCCATCTGTCTCGGAGCGCCTGGGAGGCAACCAGCCCGACTCTTGGTGCGCATCCCGTCCCATCTACCCTCAAGTCGTACTCACCAATTGTGCAGGTACAAAGCCAACCACTGGGCGCGCACAACCGCCATCGCCTGCTTTGTCCTCGTAGCGCTCGTAGCCATCGTCAACTGGACCCGTAGATATGTCGAGTATCGACCTCGGAAGACGACGGCTTTCCTACGTGGTTTGGGCTATCGTCATGTAGCTTTTATCGACTTGTCATTAGGCTTCGTCCTTGTAAGCTACTTGGAATGGATGCAGAGAGATGAAAAGCTAACGTCCACGTAGACCCTCACCACTCTGTTCTTGGCTCTCCTTGTCTGGTGCTTGCAGATGCAGCCATACTACCGTAGGGGTGTCGAATGGGGCAACTCTCCTCTTGGTATCCGCGCCGGTTACATTGCTCAGGGTTTGATACCTTTTGTCTTTGTCATGGGCAGCAGAATCAACCCGCTTGCGTGGATTGCGAGAGTGGAAGCCTCGAGATGGATGCTCTGGCATCAATATGGTGCGCGAGTACTCTGTAAGTCGCTTCACCCCCAAAGTAAAGTACATTACTCATCCTCCAAAGTGTTCTTCTCTCTGCTCCACACATTCGTCTTGATGTACGCTCCTTACCGACAAGGGGGCATGGCCTGGGTCACTGCCTACTGGAACAAGATGAACCTCTGGAAAAACTTCTTCAACGACATGGGCTTGTTGCTCAACGGTACCGTGGCCCTCGTCGCCCTCGGATGGATCGTCTTTTCCAGCTTTGCCAAGCTGCGCAACTGGAACTATGAGTTTTTCGTCATCCAACACGTTCTTTCCGTCACCCTCTTCATCATGTCGCTCTGGCCCCATCTGAAGATGGGTATGCCCGACTGCATCTACTATGCCTACGCTTCCATCGCTATCTGGATCTTTTCTGTCGTCGTCAGGATTGCGTGGGAGAGCGTGGAGATGGCGGGCGTGGGCAAGTGGAAGGGCACGGCGATGGTGGAAGGTTTCGGAGGCGGGGACGTGCGCGGCATTGGGGGTGTGACAAAGCTTCTCGTAGAGACCAAGCGAGGTGGATGGGATGTGGGGACCTATGTCTATCTCCGAGTACCCTCTATTAACCCCTTCGTAAGCCTTTCGCCCCTTTGAGTACCGTACTCGTACAGAACTGACACGATACAGCAATCCCACCCATTCACCATCGCCTCCGCCCCACCTACCGACCCCAAAACACCCTCCCCACTCACACTCTTGATCTCCACCCGTTCAGGCATCACAAAGCGCATCACCAACGCCGCTGTCAACTATCCCCACAAGCCTATCCCTGTCGTCATCCAAGGACCGTTTGGCGGGCTTGGCGAGCGGTTGGAGAGGTTTGATAAGATTTTGGTCATCTGCGGTGGAGTTGGAGCTGCGTTTGGATGGCCGATCGTTAGTAAATTTGGTAAAGAGGGCAAGGTCAAGATGGTTTGGAGCGCGAGAAATCTCGGTACGTCTTTCCCTTCACTTATCACAAAGACTGGCTGACGTTTAATCGCAGATTCTCTGAAATGGTTTGAAGACGATACGACCGTCAATCGTTCTTCCATCCAACTCCACCTCACTTCATCTCCTTCCCAAATCCCCGAAAAGTCTACCGAAAGCGATACCGAGGTAGACTGCTGTGGATCTACGGCCAATTCGACTTTGAACGGTACCGACACACCGATGTCCGACATCGGCGAGGAAAAGCGACTTCATCAAAGGTCAACCCATCAAAGGGCCACCTCTGATTACGCCGTCCCTTCTTCTTGCTGTGCACCCCTTCCCATGCTCGACAGTGTAGACACACCCATGTCGACTATTGGCGAAGAGAAGCGCCTGCAGTCTTCATCCGTACCGTCGAATGTGGATGTGAGGACGGGGAGATGTGATGTCAGAAGTACAGTGAGGGACTATGCGGAATGTATGGGAGAGGGGGAGAAGCTTGCTGTCATTGGTACGTCCCACATTCCAACCCTTTCAGATAATGATGGCTGATTTTTTCTTCTAACAGTGTGCGGGCCGGTATCGATGCTTGCTGAAACCGCCAACGCCGTATCATCATTACAATGGGATATCGTGCGTGGACGGACGGGGTTGGGGGAAGTGTGGATGCACAAGGAGAGGTTTGGGTGGTAAGGATGTGTAGATATAATCTAGATCTTTGGGTCGCATAATCATGAGCATAGGGGGGCGATAGAGCATTGGTTAGAAGCATGTTGTTAGAAATTATGAACTCTTGCATGATGGGCGTGTGCCGAATCTCCTATAGCACAAGACCCTTTCACAATGTATTGTCGAGAATTACCAGCAACGCCGCAGCAGCGCAGATGTTAGGCATTCTGTGTTGTAGCTTGCACTCTTTGGTTGAGACAGCCAAAGAAATGGCATAGAGGGATAGAGCAAAAAGAAGCAAAAATATGGCGCCACCCGGGATCGAACCAGGGACCGCACGAATGGAATCCAAATGTTAAACTTCAGTCGTGCGCTCTCCCAACTGAGCTATGTCGCCGTAGATGAGAACCAAAAACAAGCAGCTCTATCAAAATTTTTCTTTCTACTGGACGAGGTTGAAATATGTGATGGGCCATAACCCTCTGATGCTTCTCGGTCATGAAGTCGTCACGATTTAGATATCATTCCACACTGTAGCTTACTTCCTGGTTCACCTGTGACTGTATCGATACGCAGCGACACTGAACCTGGAGCCCCTCAAGCCTCACTGTATCCGCTCTTGCTCCCGTTTCAAACTGCTAGTACCATTCCGCCTCTTGGAGGCGTTCAATTTCAGCCTTCGTTTTTGCTTTTTTTTCCTTTCCTTCTACAACCAACCGTTGCCGTACGTCAGTCTGCAACTCTTCACCACCCTCAGCTGTTGTTCAACGCATACTCGAGCACGAGTACAGCGCTCGTATCCATGACTGATATCCAGCTCTTTGCCCGACACAAGTCCAGCGGTCTAAAGTACGCCTTCGGAGCGCTACCTTACTCCTCTGGTAGCCCCTACATCAGTGCCAACCTCGCCCTCCTAGAACCGGTCTACGAGGAAATCCTAAAGTTCCTCGCCGAGCTTCGGCCCGGGCTTGTCCTCGGATTGTCCAAGCATCTCTATGAGAGAATGAAGCCCTGGGCGTACAGGGATATCACCGTCACCCCTTACCTACTCGCCCTCTTCAACTGGTTGACTCTTCAGGACGTTCATACAAGTTATACAAGGGGAAACGTTTTGAACTTTCTCAATAAATTCACTCGGATCGTTAGGATCAGAGATAACCACGTTCTCTGGGGCCTCTATGCGCTAGGCCAGGTATGGCACTTGCCCTCCCCGATGACAGGAATGTTCCCGAAAGCTCAAACATTGGCCTACTCCTCGGGACTTGCTTCGGCCCTTCACATATGGAAGTACAACGACTTTGCAACACACTTGTCCAGGAGAAAGGACGTTTGGGTCATGAAAGTCACTCTCGATGAGCTACTGCAAGGTATCAAGCTGTCTCAGATGGCCGCCGGAGGTTGTCATCAAGTCGTTGATCCGTTCAACGTCAGGGGGAGCGCAGAGGCAAGCTATGAACGACGTTTGGATATCCCTTCAAGTACTATTGTGGTGAGTTCTCTGTGACTGCATGCAAGTCTGCCAGCTCACACTTGCCTGTCGTAGTGGCCATCCTCTTAGGGATTTGTAGACTGGCAAATACCTAATCGAAGTATGTCGCAGAAATGGTCCTGATGATTAGGCAATGCATGGTCTAGATTTGATATGATGATAATGAGTAGAAAGATGATTATACGTTGATGGTAATGAGATCGAACTCCTTTACATGATCCCCTGGGATGGTATACCCCCCACCCCGCCCACTAATGCTTCTCACCCCGATGCTTGTCCTGCTTCCCCATCCTCACAAACAACGCCACGACCACCGTCGCCAGCGCCGCAAGCCCCGTTGAAAAGTAGAATGCAGCGCGATAGCCTTTGAGGGTATCGTGCGTCGACGTCCCTGATCCCTTGACGTATGACTCGACGGTACCTGTCATACCGAGACCGATGGACAAGCTACGAGAGGCAAGATCAGCACAGTCAGTCGTGTAAAGAAGGGAAGACTCACGAGTAGTTGGTAATCATGCTCACGAGCCCGGCCGCAATCCCCTGAAACTCTTTCGAAACGGAGCCGCTAACGATCAACTGCCCGGTACTGAAGCTCAGATCTGGCCCGAAGACGACAAGGATGCAGCTGAAGAAAGTGTTGCCCCAGTATGTCGAGTTTGTAGGGGCAGTGGCGGCAAGCAGGTTGCCGACGACGAAGGAGAACATGGCGGCGAGGAAGATGAAGTGGCCGGGGATACGGTGAATGAGCACGGGGACAAGCATGGCAGCACACATGCCTATGACTATGTCAGTGAGACTGCAGGACAGGCACCGTGGCTGACGCACCTCCAGGGACAAGAGGGATGATCTCTGCCACGATAGTGAGAGGGTCATGATGATTACGGATGTTTCGTATACTACGGAGAGTCAGTCGGATCTTCACAATAAGAATCGCAAGAACTTACAAGAGTGTAGTATACAGCAAGAAAGTGCCAAAGCTCATCCACCCAAGCCACAAGCACAGATATACTAGCAGACTGTCTCTTGTCAAGACTTCCACGGGGACCAGAGCGTGCTTGCCCATTCTCCTCTCCCACCACAAGAATGCCCCGAAAAAGACGAAAGAGACGATAAGGAGGGCGTAGACGTAGGGTTCACTCCATCTCCTTGAAGCCACGGGGGCTTGGTTCCAGCAAAAGTTGAAAAGACCGAGGCCCAAAGCGAGAAGAAGGGCGCCAAGGTAGTCGAAGACCCTTTCGGAGGGGTGGGGATGGGGTTCGTCTGGAGGAAGGATCAAGAAGCCACCGACAAGGAAAACCGCCATGAGGATGGCACTAGTTCTGTCAGCTCTCGCTATGATTGTGGAACTGCCAGACTCACGTGAACCAGAATATCCATCCCATGCTCACCAACTGCCCAAATAGTGCCCCGATCAGCCCTCCAACCCAGAACCCGGCAGGCGCTAACGCTCCCAACATCGCAAAGGCCACGTTCCTTGCATGCCCAGGCGGGTAGGTACGTCCAAGTATGGCGATAGCATTAGGTACTATACCACAAGTCAGAAAACATACACAATTCACAGCATCCACGTACAAGACAAAGCTGACCCGATCCCGTTTATGGCACGGGTAATGTCGAAAGGAATGGGACTTTTGCAAAACCCTGAGCCGATGTTCGATACGACCATGATTGCGATACCGATGGACCACCATAGTCTAGGGCCGCTGGATTGACAAGTCAGTCCCCTTCACCAACTGGTATGGACTACACTCACTAGAGATCCCCAAGACGCCCGGCAGCGACAAGAAACATCCCCACAGTCATACTGCGGTACTATCAGCACCACCTTTATAGGCTCTCATGATACTCACCCATAGCTTGCTACCATCCAGCTCATCTGCCCTGGATCCTCCGTCCCCAAAGCAGGCCCAATGACATATAACGGTATCATGATCAGGCCCGTCCCCGCTTGGGCAAAGAGCTGCGTAGCACAGGCCACTCCGATAAAGGTCACTCGGAACAAGTTGTCTCTGCCGTCGAGATAGTGTTGAGATGGCAGCAAATCTTCGGGGGGTGGCGCTTCGGGGTCGGACCCAGCACGATCGATAGATCTTTGGGAGGCAGAGCGGGAGGACGGGCGTTCTTTGGAAGGAGGGTGAGATGTAGGGAGTGTCGATGAAGATTGATGGCCGTTGGCTACGACCTCCCCAGGTAGATCCTTCGTGGTACTTTGTTGACCTTCCTGGGGAGATGCAAGCGTCACGCTGCTCTCCAGATCATTCCTGGTGTTCATGATGTCGGAGATGGGAGTGTCGACGGCGGTTGTAGTACTAAGGGGTCGATTGATTAGAGGTGATGATTAGAGGTGATCATGTATATTATAAGTCGTGGAGAGAGCACCAATGTACACTATACTTGTATATCTGGTGGCGCAATAGAGAAGCGATGAAAGCAAATGACGGACAAATATTTGTTATGTTGGTGCGTCAGTGCCCAGGCACGGTTCTTGCCGATTCGTGCCGAGCTGAGAAGATGAAGGTCGGTTTCTTCTTGAAGGCGTTCTGTTCAGCGCTGTCTATCCAACCAGCCTGATCATAGCTTGTCAATAGTCCTATGAATATCTGAGAGCTGAGATAAGCACTGCACGTATAGGGCGGACATTACATAGGTTGGATACATAGACCATTCGAGCACCCTTGCTTTTGTGACAATTGACTCAACCCCGATTGTTAACAATACACCTGTTGATTCGATGATTATACTATATACGATCTGAGGTACCACTCAGTCAGAGGATACGGCTGCAAAGACGAATGCGAGATTGAGAGTATCCCAGAAGAAATAATTGCTTGAACTACTGTACATTGTCAGTCAACATCACATTTGAAAACGTCTTGGTACCTACCATGGATATCACTTCACAGAACCACCAACAGAATCATTCCCATTTACGACCTCAACCGACTGAGGATTGCCACTCATCACTATAACACTCTCCTTCGGCTCCGTATTCGCCTTTCTCTCCTCCAGGGGCTGTCGTTCGCCCAATTCAGCCTTTCTAGGGATCCTCGACGTGTTGGACTTCTTCACAGGGCTTCCATCCGGGGTTGTGTATCCTGCCCGGGGTGTAGAGTAGGTGCTGAAGCTCTTTGATGAGGGAGTGAGGACATTGGGGTTGCGCTGGCTACTTTCCGTTTGGCCAGAGTCATGCTTGCGTGGCGAGATGGGCTCGGTTTCCGATAAGGGGGTATGGATTGATGGGTCGGATTTCAGGGAGGTGGCGGACAGGTGAGGTGAGATAGCAGAGCCGGCATCGGAGAGGAGAGTGGGTCGGGAGTATTGCGGTGCTTTGTCCTGCATGGGAGTGGGATGCGACTCTTGAGCCTCGGAAGGTCGCATAGTCAGGCCAGGGGAGGGAACATTCACGTTGATCTGCGGAGCAGGACTGTCGAGCGTCTTGGCGCGAGGGCGGGATTCGAACCGGGCGGGAGACTTGGACGGCCTTGAAAGAGGATCGAGCGACTCTTCAAAAGTGGTCTCGAGCGAAGTGGGACGGATATCAGAATTTCCGTCCGTGAAAGAAGATGACACCGAGGACGTCAAGAGGTTGGCCGTGGCTGACGGAGATAAGGGTGGAGGGTGCTGGACAGGGTGCTGGACAGGGTGCGCGACGGGACACTCTTTGGGTGGGGTTCCGGTAGGTGTCACTTGGCCAAACGTGCTGTTGGAAGGTGGAGTAGGAGGTGCACGAGTGGCCTTGAGGGTCTTGACCGAGCTAGGAGTCTCGTTGACGTGGGGAGCCGCAGCGAGCTCAATCGTGTCCCGAGACGGAGAGTCGCTAGCCTTGGATCCAGACGCATCTCGGTAGCTCGAGGCGGAGCTGGCGGGTGCTGTAGAGGGCGCACTAGGGTCGGGGTTGGAAACCATCTTGGTGATCTGCTGAAACGCAGATGACTTTTCGCCCAAAGGCGCGTCTCGAGAGGGAGGACGGACACGAGGGATGGTTCGCTTGCCGCGACAAGCGGTAGCCGACATGCCATTGGCGTACAGGGAAGAGTCTGCGGAGGCGACTTGAGTGGTGGTAGGACTGACCGGCTGAGATGTGTCTGGTTGTTCTTGCTGGGTAGCCCTCTGGAGAAGGTGGGCGTATTCTTGAGGGATGAGTGACTCGCTCGCAGACAGACGCTCGACGGCCTTGAGGAAGGCCCCGGAAGTCTCTTGTGCCACTTGCCAAGAGGACGGGCGAGGCTTTGTGGGGATCCCGGAGGTCGACGGTTTGCTGACGGGTGGAGGTTGGAATGACATCGGACGAGCACTTCGAGGTTTCTCGGGCACAGGAGGAGGGGCGTCGGAGGCATGCACGGCGGCAGGCGGCGACTGAAAGAAAGGGTGATCAGGAGGGAGGATCTGGGGGTTGTCATATCCTTGACCAAACGTCTGAGCGACCTCGGAGGGTTGACCGACATCTGGCAGTGTAGCGAATGTCTCTTGTCGCACGAGAGGCATGGCCCGGCGTCTCGAGGTTGAGTCGTTCAAGCTGCGAGCGGGGGTAGGCCAAGCACCAGAGGCAATGCGCTGTTGGTGCTCGACATACTTTCCCGCCTGGCCGAGCTGACGGAGAGCAGCAGTATAGTCGTTGTAGGTGTTGAGCCATCGATTGAGTGTCTCCTCCGAGTAGTCGCGTATGCAGTTGTAGACCTGGAGAGACGTAAGCTTCATTCAAGGGATGGGCTGTAGCACTCACACGATTCAACTCGTCACTGTTACCACCAGACCTTCCTCTGCCTTCCCCACTCATAACCAGTCTCATATGAGAGAGCGCGAGGTCGATCTTCTGCTTGGCCTTTGACCCTGTCAGCTATGCTCGTTCGGATGGAGGTGGCTCACTTCAGATATCTCTCGGAAGGTATCAGGATCAATCTCAACATCGGGAGGAGGCTGTAGAGGCACAAAAGTGGGTCCGAGCGCGCCATTACGCGACGAGTAGCCAGCCGGGAGAGGGTCCACATGAGAGGCCTTGTTCCTGCAAAAGAGAGAGGCGAAGGCGGACGGCATGGCTATCGCCAGGGGGGTACAGAGAGTGTATGAGGGGGTAGCAAAAAGAGTAAAATGGGAATGTTGAGCGAGAGATAAGAGGAAAAGGACGAGAGATGCAAAATGAGTTGAATGAAGTTGACTGGACATGACTGGACCTGCCGGACGCGGTGGTCCGAGCGTCGCGGGGGGTGCCGCCTCTATACCCGGGAACGAACAATAATCTTTCAATCGCCAGAGGTATCAATCGCACTTGCCCATGAATGTAGAGCGATCGAAGCAAAGTGATCTCCGCCAGTTCCATGCATGAGACAATGAAACCCGTCTTCCGATCCACACCTCTTTCGAGTGTAGAGCGTCATCACACCAACCTCCAACAAATCTAAAACGTCGAAACCTAGTGATGACAAAGCCTTGAAAGGACCAGATAAGAAAGAAAAGAGATTTGGCAGTTGAAGCCCAGAAAAACCGGAAATGATAATAGTGACAAAAAGCTTTACGCTTGGAATTTTCGTTTTGCTGAGAGTATGAGTATAACTATGCAAATGATGTTGTGGATTGTATCCGGGAGAGGTAATACAAGTGAACTAAAGTGGAGGGTATTTCGTTTATAATCTGGAGCGGGACCGAGAACGGGCAAAACGTTTCAAGGCAGTTGAGGCCAAGATATGAAACGCTTAGTACCTCTGTAAAACACATTAGCTCAGACACCGGGACAAGATATAGATACGCACGTAGTGGTCGGGCTTGTAGGGACCTTCGGCGGGCAAACCGAGGTAGTCGGCCTGGACCTTGGTCATGGTGGTAAGCTTGACACCGAGCTGGGCAAGGTGGGCCTTGGCGACCTCCTCGTCGAGAGACTTGGGGAGCATGTGGACACCGAGGGGGTAGGCCTCAGTGTTGGTCCAGAGAGCGATCTGAGCCAAGACCTGGTTGGCGAAAGAGCAGGACATGACGAAAGAGGGGTGACCGGTGGCGCAACCAAGGTTAACGAGACGACCCTCAGCGAGGAGGAGGATGTGTCGGCCGTTCTTCATGGTGAATCGGTCAACCTGGGGCTTGATGTTGACACACTCGGCGGCGTTGGCCTTGAGCCAAGCAACGTCAATCTCAACGTCGAAGTGACCAATGCTGATAGACGTCAGTGCTGCTCAACAAACACCGGACGAAAGACTCACTTGGAAACGATGGCGTCCTCAGGCATGACCTCGAAGTGGGCACCAGTGATGATGTCTCGGCAACCAGTGGTGGTGACAAAGACGTTACCACGGGGAGCAGCCTCCTCCATGGTGGTGACCTCGTAACCGGCCATGGCGGCCTGGAGGGCGTTGATGGGGTCAATCTCGGTGACGATGACTCGGGCACCGTAAGATCGAAGAGACTCGGCACAACCCTTACCGACATCACCGAAACCGGCGACGACGGCGACCTTACCGGCAAGCATAACGTCGGTGGCACGCTTGATACCGTCGACGAGGGACTCTCGGCAACCGTAGTAGTTGTCGAACTTGGACTTGGTGACAGAGTCGTTGACGTTGATGGCGGGGATCTTGAGCTTGCCCTCCTTGAAGGCCTTGTAGAGGTGGTGCACACCGGTGGTGGTCTCCTCAGAGACACCCTTGATGTTGGCGAGGAGCTCGGGGTGCTTCTCGTGGACGAGAGTGGTGAGGTCACCTCCGTCGTCGAGGATCAAGTTCAAAGCGGCACCCTCGGGGAAGGACTTGAGGGACTGCTCGATACACCAAAGGTACTCCTCCTCGGTCTCACCCTTCCAGGCGTAGACGGGGACACCGGTGGCAGCGATAGCGGCAGCGGCGTGGTCCTGGGTGGAGAAGATGTTGCAAGAAGACCAGGTGACCTGGGCACCGAGAGCGGTAAGGGTCTCGATGAGGACAGCGGTCTGGATGGTCCTGCAAAAGAGTCAGTGGATGCGTAAAGAGCGGATGGAGGGTACCCACATGTGGAGACAACCAGCGATCCTAGCGCCCTTCAAAGGCTGGGAAGGACCGTACTTCTCACGGATGTACATGAGTCCGGGCATCTCACGCTCAGCGAGCTGGATCTCCTTTCGACCGAAAGCGGCGAGGGAGATGTCGGCGACCTTGTACAAAGACTGAAGGACGGTCAGCATGAGAACGTGGGTGAGATAAGAGGGGCCATCTCCATCTCGCCCACCACCGGCTCCAGACTCTCCAATCTTTCTCCCGCATTCCACTACATTCTCCAGAGACAGTACTCACCATTTTGATTGTTGTTTGTAGAGGGGTTTGGGGGGGAAGAAGAGAAGATGGAGAGAAAGAAGAGAAAAGAAAAGCGACGGGGAAGGCCTGAAAAAACATCGAGCCATATAACGTGCCTGGGATCGGCCCACCATGCGTGGCGGACGTGGCCGCTCGCTGCTCCCTGAACGTGGCGGCGATTCTCTGGATGAACGGAGCGACCTCATGGGGGAGAAAGGGAGAGGATGGCGTGCATATGAGCACCATACAAGGTGAATGGGGGACATAGAAAGCCTTCCTTCTTTCCCTTGAAAATCACCACCAAAAGCGACATCGCTGCCAAAAATGCTCCTATACCCACAGTCTGGATGCAGGGATGACTCGTCAATTGAACTGGGGTACGTATACGTACGGTGTCATGGACCTGAAAACCCCCCCGGATAGATAGCCGATAAGCAGTTTATAGTACTTGTTATCAGAAATAACGATGCAGTACAACCTCATTACATTGATATATATCTAACCCGTCAATATTGTCTACTCTTCATCACTATCATACTTCTTCTGAGTGTCCATCCTTACAAACAACGCAACTACAACCACAGACAAAGCTGCCAGACCCGTCGAAAAGTAGAGCGCCACGCGATACCCTTTCAGAAGATCGGCCTGCGAGTCTCCCGAACGTACATATGTTTCGACAGTGCCTGCTAGACCGAGGCCAATTGACATTCTGCCATTCTCATTAGCTTCTCCATCACTCATGAGGATAGAAAAGGAGACTTACGAATAATTAGTAATCATACTAACAATCCCCGCCGCAATCCCCTGAAACTCTTTATCCACACTCCCACTGACAATCAACTGCCCCGTACTAAAACTCAAATCCGGGCCCCACACCACGACCAACATGCTCACAAACGTGTTTCCCCAGTACGTCGAGTGGGCTGGGGCGGTAGCGGCGAGCAGGTTGCCGATGGTGAAGGCGCACATGGCGAGGAGGAAGATGATGTGGCCTGGGAGGCGGTGGATGAGGTGCGGTACGAGGAGGGCTGCCATCACGCCTATGACGAGTGTCAGGTTATGGAGCTGTTTTGCGTTTTGAGGGTACTTGCCTGCGGGTACGAGAGGGAACATTTGCGCGACAAGGACGAGGGGCTGGGTGTAACCCCTGATGTCGTAGATGCTGTGGTGGATGTTAGTATTGCGCTTTGATCTATGAGATAAGACTTGCAAGAATGATGAGTATAGCAAAAACGTCCCCAGGCTCATCCACCCGAGCCATAGACAGAGATAAACGAGAAGGCTTTCCTTTTTGAGCAGCTCGACGGGTATCAAAGCCTTCTTCCCGATCTTTCTCTCCCACCAAAAGAAGACTGCAAAGCCCAGAAGCGAAACGACGAGGAGAGCGTAAATGTATGGTTCTTGCCATTTCCTATCGGCCAGAGGAGCCTGGTTCCAGCAAAAGTTGAACAGGCCTAATGATGCGGCGAGGAGTACTGCGCCGAGGTAGTCAAAGTGACGTCGGGATGGGTCGGGGTGGGGCTCGTCGGGAGGAAGGACGAACCAACCTCCTACCAGAAAAGCGGCCATGAGGATTGCCCTACGTTGTATGAGCACACTTTGGTGCAGATAGCGCGTTCAAGTACTCACACGAACCAGAATATCCACCCGACACTTACGAGCTGTCCGAATATGGCGCCTATCATACCGCCCACATAATACCCGAGAGGAGCTAGAGCGCCGAGGATGGAAAATGCCACATTACGGGTCTTACCTGGCGGGTATGTCCTACCCAAGATAGCGAGCGCATTGGGTACTAATCGGAATAAGAGCAGGCGTCTTTTACCTGAGGAAGAGAGGGCTTACAGGCGATGGCTGACCCAACTCCGCTCAAAGCGCGCGTAATGTCGAATGGGATGGGAGATTTACAGAACCCAGAACCAATATTTGAGAGACTCATGATGACTAACCCGACTGCCCACCATCTCCTCGGTCCACTGATATCTCATTAGCGCAGGTATGATATTAAAGAGAAAGACACTTACTACAAGTCTCCCAGTCGCCCTGCCGCGACTAGGCACATGCCAACAGTCAACCTATGCATGAATTAGCCTCCCTAACCTTCAATGACAACCGAGCCCAAGAACTTACCCATAACTCGCGACCATCCAACTCAACTCCCCCTGATCATCCGTCCCCAACGCCTTCCCAATGGCGTGCAGCGGAAACATGACCAATCCCGTTCCAGACTGGGCGAGCAATTGCGTCGCGCATGCTACGCTGATGAAGGTTACACGAAAGAGGCTGCCTTTGCCGTCTAGATAGTGGGCTTGGGGCGGGATGGTAGGGGGCAGGTTGGCTTCGGGGTCGGTATCGGTGGAGGGGGTGGCAGAGGTGATTGAGCGGGGGTGGACATGGCTCACTTGGGATGAGCGATGGTGCGAAAGCTGCACCCCATTCAGCTTCAAGCTTATAGCGGGAGTTGAGTACTCACAGCACGACCTGACTCTCCCATCGATAGTCGATAGTGGCAATCTCCCTCCTCTGTATACTCCCCAGTTCCCTTCTCCTTCTCCTCCTCAAGCGGAGTCTGACAACAAGAGATCTCCAGAGTCTTCTGGCTGTCGTTCATGGTAATGGGATCGAAACAGCTGGTGGAGCGGATAGACAAAAGGGAGAGCTGGGAAGCTCCAGTCGCTTTATATGTACTGCATGCGTCAAGCCAAGTAGATCCCCTGCTGATGCATCCCCGTCAGATAAAACTGCAGAACTTGCAGACAGTATTACATGAGAGAATGAGACGTCAGACGTGGTGTCATGGCAAGCGGCAAAACTGTTAAACCTGTTCTTATAAGCTTGTTCTCAATTCTCATCATGTCGATGTTTGGTTCCATTCTATGATTGCGATTTCTTGCCAGTTGAGTCGCATCGGCGCCACCCACATCATGGCAAGCAGTCTCCTATGTATATTCAAGCTCGCTCATCAGAACCTCCTTTGACTACCTAAGCCGTCTCGTCTACGGCCTCTCTCATCACCCAGCTTGACTCTGGTGTTCATTCTTGCATTCTCTAAACGACGCGCCAAAGCCTTGTCCTTGCTGTCCCAAGCCCCGATTGCTGTCTAACTAACAAACTTCCTTTCCAGTGGAGCATAGAGCATGCCACGGCGCCTGCCGCCTGGCTCACAGGATGCCTGGAATTCAAAGACGGCACGGCGTCCACCGCCTCGGCGTTGCCCAAGTCCCCGAGGCCCCGAGCCGCCGAGGTGCTAAAAACAAAAAGATGCCCGATCGCTGCAAGGAGACGTTGAGAGATCGGCGTGCCGCGAAAATGCCCAAAGGGGGAAGTGCCTGGTGTGCCTGGCCTCGGAGCTCGCGTTCACAACATTATTTTGTGGGCCGAATGGACGCATCGCCGGGGCAGCGCCGGGGGAACGAACAAGCGCTGCTCGAATATATAGGGGAGGTAAAGTAAGCATGCATCCTGCCCCCCATCCCCATGTCCGCCATGTCCACCACCACCACCATCGCAGGCGACCACGACAAGGCCGTCCTCGACTCCAGCCCCGCCCCGGCCGCTGCCGTCAGCAGTGGTGCCGCCCCCGTTTCATATGCCGCCCCTAGCGAATCTAGCGACACACCAGAGAAGAAGGTAAAGGCGCCACCAAAGGGCCACTCTGGTACCCATGCGCCTCTCGACCTGCCCAAGTGGCGCTTCTGGGCCGTATTCCTTTCTCTCATGATTTCCATCTTCTTGTTCGCCCTGGGTAAGTCTATACTTCTGGCGGTATCATTGCTGACATGCCCCAGATCAACTTATCGTTGCCACTGCTATCCCAAAGATCACCTCTGAATTCGACTCGTTATCTCAACTGACATGGCTCGCCTCTGGCTTCTTGTACGCGCCTTATCTTCTATTTTGACTTGTGCTGACCCTTCCCAGCCTCACGCTCCTTTCCTTCAACCTGCTGTACGCCCAATGGATGAACATTTTCCCCTCGAAACATGTCATCGTATTTGCCGTCTTCATCTTTGAAATGGGCTCTCTCGTCTGCGGTGTCGCCCCCAACATGAATGTGCTCATCTTTGGTCGAGCCTTTGCCGGTCTTGGTGCCTCTGGCATCTTCAGCGGCGGTATGGTCATCATTGCCGAATTGACACCTCTGCATTCGCGAGCCCAATACTTTGCCCTGTTTGGTGTTTGCTTTGCTATCGCCAGTGTCGTCGGCCCTCTTGTGGGAGGTGCTTTCGGTATGTCCCTTTTCCATCCTTATCTTCCGCGCTGACGTTCCACAGCCGACCACGTCAGCTGGAGATGGTGCTTCTACATCAACCTCCCCCTCGGCGGCGTCGCCATCGCCGCCCTCCTCTTCTTCCAGCCCACTGTCCCCCCTCTCGGCCGCGCCGACTCTTACAAAGGCTACTCCAAAGACATGCTCAAGAAGGTCCTCAAATGCGACTGGGTCGGCGTCTGCATCTCCATGGCCTGGGCCGTCTGCTTCATCCTCTTCACCCAATGGGGTGGTGTCACCCGTGATTGGAACTCGCCTTCCGTCATTGTCACCATCGTGTTCAGCGCCGTCTTGCCCCCAGTCTTTTGCGTGTACGAGTGGTACATGAAGGATCTTGCGTACTTCCGAATTCGACTCTTGGCCAGGCGTAACGTCGCGTAAGATTCCTCCTCTTCTTCTTCGCTCAATACTGACAATCCAACAGCGGCGCGTCCATCGTCTCATTCTGCGTCTTTGGCCTCTTCATGATCCTCGTCTACTACCTCTCCCTCACTTTCCAAGCCGTGCACAACATCTCCGCCACCGGCGCCGGTGTCCGTCTCCTCCCCCTCATCCTCGTCCAAGTCGTCACCCTCATCATCTCATCCCGCATCATTCCCAAAATCGGGCGATTCAAGCCCGTCGTCGCGCTGGGGCCTGTATTCCTGTCGATCGCGTCGGGGCTGTTCTACAGTATTGATTACAGTACGCCGCTTGCGAACCTTTATGGGTACCAGGTAATCTTGGGTGTGGGGATTGGGTGCTGTTTGCAGAATGTCATGATTGCCGTTCAGCACGACCTCAAGAAGGAGCCGTGGCTCATCTCCCTCGGCACTGGTATGGTCGTCTTTGGTAAGTCCCCTCTCCCTCTTTCATCAGAATTCGACTAACAGAAAGTGTAGTGGGTTTCGCCGGACGAATCGTAGCCCTCTCAATGGGAGGTTCCGTATTCGAAAACATGCTCCAGCGCCACATCGCCTCCTCCGTCCCCACCCTCGACCCCTCCCTTCTCGCCGCAGTAATCAACGACGCTTCCGCCGTCTGGACCGTCGTCCCCGACGACCTTCGTGTCCCCGTTCTCGAGGCATACACCAAGACGCTTTCGCAGGTGTTTGTGATCGGGCTGCCGTTGAGTTTGATAGCGTTTGGAGGGGCGTTGGTGATGAGGAATGATAGGATGGCGAGTAAGGAGGAGGAAGAGAAGGAGAAGGAGGAAGTGAAGGCTAGGCAGGGGGATGAGGAGCAGAGGGTTAGTGGGGAAGGGGAAACGCCGGCCAAGAGGGAGAGTGAGGAGAGCAGTGAGGTGGCGCAGAAGGCTTGAGGTACTTATAGGGGTATAACTTATAGATTCGTAAAAGTGTATTTTATGTAGGACGATATAATCTGTCACCTTTTTAATGATCTTGTCACTACTCTGATGATCTAATGCATCTTGAAACTGAGTAGAGTACAGCTCTGTTCGACAACTAAGCGACTATATATCAGTCCCTTCCGACAGCATCTCCTTAATCTTATCACTAGACACTTGGTACACCTCCGCAAGATAGTCTACGGACCATGTCCCACTCTGAGTGAGACGCTTAGCGCACCGGGCCAACTTTTCTCCGAGCTGCTTCGATTCCGCCTCTAGCACCTCAGTCTCCCTCTGAACGATCGCGGTCAATGCCTCGAAATCCCAGTCCGCAAGAGCGGGCCTTACCCCCAGCAGACCATGCTCTAGTATCTCAGCCTCCTCCCGGGCGGTTTGGTCTGCAATATACCTGAGGGCTTCTTCTTTTGACGAGAAGGAAGCAAACGCAGGGGAGGTGGAAGAGGCCGTAGTTGATATGAGAGGGATGGTGCGGAAATTATCTTCGGCAAAGGATATGTATGCCGATAAAGCTGTTGATGGCAAATTAGCTGGAGTCCATAGTGTTGCAGGTGTCATGTGATTACCTTCCACTGTGTCATACGCGTCTCTCTTCTGTTTCTCCCACGCACTCATCCTAGGCGCTTTGTGATACAAGTGCGTATCGCAAGAGTCACTCGTCGACGACGCCCGAACAGAGTTATCGATTTTGGAAGTCTTTGCCCTTTTCGCTGGCAGAGGGGTAACCTCTGTGGCTGGGTCTCTATTGAGTTCCGGGGCCTTGCGTGCGGGGAGTTTGAGAGGTTGGTCTGTGTATTTCGGGTTGTATTGTTTGAGGTTTTGGGTGTTGTTCCCGCCTCTTCTGCTAACCTTCTTCTTCTCCTTCTTGTCTGGGAAGAGGAAGGGGAGGTCCATGGTGGGTGTGGATGGGTTGAGAGAGGGAAGTTGGGATGGAAATGGAATTGAGAACAGAGATTGCGGACACAATGAACTCGATTTTCTTCCGCGTGAACGCGTCCCCGCAATATTACCAGGCAACTCAAAGTCAGGCAGTCGGGCTGTAGTTATATTCATTTCCCCATGCATATACTGGAGACGAATGCAGCGCGTGTCAAGACCCGACATGCATGACAAACGGAAGTAAAGATCAAAAGTCAGTCGCGTCCACCACCCACGACATCTCCGGAAACTCGCGAATCCTTGCCGGTACCTTGACAGCGGCTGACATCGTAACACCTTTCATCTTCCATTCTCTTTCAAAACACTTGTCAACTCTCAGACATTACATTACCATGCCCGCCATCGCCGCTTCCGCCCCCGACTACGCTGGTTACGCCTACGCTTCCCTGCTCGCCCTCGGCGGTCTCGCTGGAGGTCTTCGAAAGGGCTCTGTCATCTCTGCCGTGTAGGTTCACTTCCACCTAGACACAGAGTCATGTGGCTGATCAGGATGGTAGTGCTGGAGCTGGCTCGGGCGTGGCAGCTGCTTACGGTGCGAGCGTGCGTCTCTGCCATTTGTACGCATTATGTATAACATGACTAATGGACGGCGAATGTAGCGAGTATCCAAGAACAGTTTCGACGCCTATCCCTCTCTGAGTATGTCTGTCCAAAATACCGTCCAGGTCATACAGCTGACAGACTACAGTCGTTTCCTCCCTACTTCTCGCGCTCATGTCATGGAGGCTCTTCAAGACTGGAAAATTCATGCCCGCCGGGCTTGGTCAGTCCCTTCTCACAGCATTTCCATTGAGATTATACTGATAGGAGAGTAGTGGTGCTTCTGTCCTTGGTGATGACGGTGCGATACTATACTTTTCTGCCATGATCGTCAACGCTTTGAACATCAAAATTTCCAGAAGATGTAAGATCTACGTGCGTACAAAGAGCCTGCTGTCCAAACGGTGAATTCTCTTTCACTGGCTTGACTTGCATGGTCTTGAGAACAGTAGCCGCGAGCGCCACATGTCCCTATGGACGTCGTCAGCAGGAAAGAGCAGGGTCAATTCGAAAGTCGTTGCGTGGCGATTTCCCAACGATTTCCTCTTTGGAACACACACACACACCTCCACGGACATTCATCTGTTGCAGCGAGGAAGATATCTTTCCAATTCCTGTACTGCATCTAGGAGACCTACTAATCCATCAGATAAGAATAGGCAAAGAGCTTGTCGTGCCGCACCTGGGCGTTCGTGTTACCCAGTCGAGGTCGACGACCGCGCTTGGGGATAATGTTTCTCGTTCACTTCGCCCCAGTCAATCACGAGACACCACCATGGGTCCCCCCCCCGTCACGTCGCCCAGTCACTCGTGAGGTGAGGCGAAACGAAAGATGGAAGCAACCTAAGGTTTGTGGCATGATAGATGGATGATTTCACATACATGTACAACCAACTTTTGCTCATACACTTCCTCTTGCATGAAATATACAATATAAACTACGCTAACTCTCCACCCGATAAACCCTTTTCCACCACCTCCTCCTCCTCGTCACCCGCCTCAGTCCCAGATTCGGCATATCCCTGCCCAAACTCGGCGACCCCCCATACGCCGACGCGTTTGCAAACGCAGACGCAGGAGTAGAAGCAGAAGTAGAAGTGGAGGTAGAAGGATTGGTGTTTGGGACGTCTGCTTCTGTGTATGGCGTCGGAGAGGCGTTCTGCCAAGAGTCGTCTGTGTATGACCATCCCTCTGCTTCTCTATCAGCTTCCAGGCAGAAGAAGGAGGGAAGAGAGGAGGGGGGAGGGGGGGGGGACGTACCATCATCAATCCCAAACTCACTCCACTCTCCCGACATATCGACTCTCCACTCTTCCCCCGGTACCCACTCCCACCCCGGTTTGAGAGCGAGCACTTGGGCTTCGACGCCTTCGTCGGCTTCTGGTGAGAGGGTCGTTTCTGTTGATTTCCAGAGACATCCTCCTCCTTCCTTGTCCTCAGCCGAGGAAAATTCAAGGTTGATGACGGCAGGCTCGGAAGATTTGATCCACGCCTGCCGATCGCCCTGTCGCAAGTACCGGGACGACCACGCTGTCGGGGGTATCGGCCCCGGAGCAGGCAACTTTGGGTCCAACCTCTCATTCTCCCATACACATACCTGCGAAATCGTCTTGCCGCTAAATGTATCCGGCAGTCGGTCCGTCAAGAGCCAGTGTTCGACTACATCCCTTACCCTGCGCACGCGTCTATCGCGTGGGAGAGCAAGGAGCCAAGGTGTAAGGTTGGGGTGGAACGCCAAGGGGGGCAAGAGGCCGAGTGGGAGGAGGAGGTATGGTAAAAGTTGGGGCGGGGTGAGGGGGAGGAGCAGGGTGGGCGGGAGGAGGAGGAGGATGAGGTGGGTGTGGGTGAAGGGGAGGGAGGTGGGGGAGGGGTTTTGGGAGGGGTGTTGGATTACGTTGAAGCGGGGGGCTATGTAGTCGTATGCATCCGACCTGTTGCTCGTCAGCTCAATACCGAGAAAGGTTGGGGAGGGCTTACACGAGACCCATGAGGTTCTGGATAGCTTGGATGTTCATGTAATAGTCGACGCCGCTCTCGGCCTCCTTTGGCGGCACGGCGGGCACACCTACGACTTGGCCAGCCTCGTCCCTCGTCGTCGTCGAGGTGTAGGCAAGTCTATCGGGGCTGTCTTGTCCCTTGTCCGAGCCTTGTTGCTCGACTCGGGTCGTGGCCAGGGGTGCTGGGGCGATGATGCCGAGGAGCGACGGGAGGGGGTGGTTGCGCTCGTGGATATGCAGTAGGAGAACAATGAGACCCAGAGAAGGGAGGAGGAGCAGCACCCTCGGCTGGAAACCTGTCTGAAGTGTCAGCCAAGCCTCACCCGGTATACGATAGTGCGTACAGATGAACACCCACGCCAGCATCCAGCCCCACGTCCATACAGGTTTCCGCCAGAAGACGACCTCCTCGACCCTATCCTGCAGCCAGAAAATAGGCCCTACCCTGGTCACGAACCGCCTGAAATTGTTGCTCAGCACCGGCACGCTGAGTCCTTCTCGCTGCGTGGTCAGTTCCCTCGGTCCGCCGGTGCCGCCCCCGACCCCGACCCCGGAAGGCCTGCCGCCGCTGGGGATTTTTGGCAGATTCGGTGGGAGGAGGGAGGACAGGAGCAGGTCGGAGACGTTTGTGCTGATGGAGGGGAGGCCGAGACCGAGAGACGAGCTTGTGGCTTTGGCGCGGGCTTGGGAGGGGGGGAAGGGGAGGTGGGCATCCGGGCTGGGTTCTTTTTGGCTGGGTGCTGGCTGGGGGATGGTCGGCGGGGGGTCGATGGGGACTGCGCTGGGGGGCAGCGAGGCGCGGAGGTAGGGCGGGATGAATGGCATCCTGCGTTCTATACAACAACAAGGACATCTTGAGATCCGTCATCATCACCGCCGCCTCCACTTTCGCGATCCAAATTTCAGATTTCCTACTCCGCCTCTCCACCACCATGCCCCTCCCAGCAAGCCACACAAAACACCTCCCCGTCATCCACCATCCTCTCCCCAACCGCCTCTCCATCGAGCTTCCCATCAGGCAGATCAGCTCAGACTCGAGCTCGGCGTCTGGCTCGACAGGGACGACGGGCACGACGCTCTGGTTATCCGCCCAGGTCCTCTCGGCGTACTTGTCGTCTCTCCCTGCGCCGTCGGGTGGGAAATCAGTAAAGGTGCTGGAACTGGGAGGCGGGACCGGGTTTACGGCGCTGGTATTGGCGTCTCTGGGATATGAGGTGGTTTCGACGGATATCGAGCCTGTGCTATCGTCCGTCCTCGGACCGAATATCGACTCGGGCAAACGAGTCTTGCTGGGTAACACCCTCCCCGCCAACATCTCCCCCCGTTTCCTCGACTGGACCCATGTGGACAGCCTGTTCAAAAGCCACGAAGACGCGCCAGACGACGAATGGTTGAAACCAAAAGGCGGCTGGGATATGTTGGTCATGACCGATACATTCTACGCCTCCCACCTCATCGAACCCTTATGGAACACCCTCATCTACCTATCCACCCCCCTATCATCCACCACCACCACCACAAGCAAGTTCCCACCGATATACATAGCCCTCGAATCCCGCGACCCCATCCTCATCGCCCGCGCTCTAGAAACAGGCAAAGCGAAAGGGTTCGAGTTGAAAAAGGTAGGGAAGAGGGTTGGGAAAGAGGTGGAGAGGTGGGGCTGGGGGAAGGATGATTGGGAAGGGGTGCAAGTTTGGAAGGGGCGGTACAAGGGGTGTTAGTGTGAGTTGGGTATTTTCGCGTCATCTTGGCAGATTGTTTAGCTCTTGTAGGTAGTGGCATGGATGGATATCTACGACTTGCCTTCTGTACGCCAAGGCTTTATCTGAGGCCGGGCCGCGATCTGGAAAAAGACTTTTGACGTGCTAGGTCCGATCCTGTGTGAAAGTCGTTCCCTGGCCGGGTGAGCAAAAGCCTCACCAACCATCCTTTTTTCCTCTCTACATCTCATCACTCGTCCATCTGTCAACCATCAGCCCCACCCTGCCAAACATGCAGCGTATGAGAACAGCGCTCGAAGAATGGGAAGAAGAATGGGAAGAAGAATGGGAAGAATGGAGTACCCGAGACCGTGTCATGGGGGCAATCAGTGAGTCCTGACCTGACCCAACGTCTTTTTCGCACAGCGGCTGACTTTTGGGCACCAGGCCTATTCATGCTGGTCGAATCCTACAAAGCCCTCGAATTCACCTCCTCCCCAACGTAAGCCCCCTCCCTGCCCCATTCCGACCCCTAGCTCAAGGACATGCAGCGCCCTCCACTCCCCCCTCCGACTCACCCTCACCGTCCTCCTCCTCCAAGCCATGTTCATCTTCGACATGGTCTCTTTCAGCCGTGGAAGCCGGGTCGGTCTTGACGCTGTGAATGTGGTGTATTGGGTTGGGACGGTGGTGAGGGTTTATGCGCTGATTTGGGGACGGTTGCAGATGGAGGAGATGGACAAATGAAAGCGATGGCTACGTTGTTAGTCGTATGTTGAGCTCTGCAAACACGTGAGCACTAGACGGCCTCGCCATGCCTATAAGATCCAAACGCCAGCGAGTTCCAAATTCCCTTCAAACGATTCCATGCATTTTTCTACCTTTTCCTTCGCATTCTCCCTCCGTCTTTCATCGTAGGGTAGTGGTAGGTTTAGACGGCACCAGAAGGCTTGCCGGTAGCCTCCTCAGGTGGGGGTCGGACGTATTGCTGCTCGCCGCCCTCTCCGTTCTGCCAGACCTGGTATCGGCTATATTCTAGTTAGCAAAGAGTTCGGTTTGGTCCATCCTCCATCGACCGCCAACCGTCCTTCCTCTTTCTCCCATCCCAGTCATTACCCCTCCTAGCCCTCAAGCCCCTCCCAACCGCTCGTCCTCATCCACTGCCCGCCCCCCGGTGCATAGAAGGAGGAAAGCCGACTTACACGCCGATGGCAGCACGCTTCTCAGCAGCAACACGGTCACCCTCGCTAAGAGCCTGTCGGAGGGCTCGGGAAGCGATTTGGGTGTACTTGTTCCAGCTATTTCCATTCGATTCCAGTGAGGTTATTGTCGTTGTTGGTGGTACAGGAGGATGAAGGGGATGGAGGGAGAGCGAAAGGGAGGGATACGTCGGTAGCAGAGGATGGAAGCAGCAGCCGTCAGCGCCTCTTCTTTCTACCTATCTTTCGCAGGGATACACCCGCCCGCTCTCCTTGTGCTACTCACGACATGAACTCTCTCCAGGTAGAAGACATTTTGGCTGAGCGGTGGTGGATAAGACGGGCTGCTTGGTCGTGTAAGAGGTGTAAGAGGTTGGATCGGCCGGAGAGCTAATTCCGGGTATTTCCGCGAGTGGCAGGGGAGCTAAAGGGGCTTAGAACGAGGATAAGCTAAAACAACAAAGAGCATGCAAGGGGGTGTAGCTCATTTGGCAGAGCGCGTCATTAGCATTCTTCAACGAGTGGATTTGACGAGGTACTGAGTTCAATTCTTAGCTCCTCCATTCTTTTTTACTTTTTCTTCCCCTCACCCATCATACCTCATGCCCACAGTGCAAAGCATATGTACATGCATGTCATTCGTTCATCGGCGCGTGACAGCACTATCACTAGCAGTAGCACTAGCCTCCCCATATACCTCTCCTGTAGTAGGCGTCGCAGCAGGAGCAGGAGGAGGCGGGTAGAGATCCACATGGGCTTGGGTGAGGAACAAGTCGAGAGGGTTGACGGGTTGGACCATGGGGCTGTATGCGGGAACGGTAACTGGAAGGGGGGGAGCTGCAAAGATGTTGAACATGGTGGGCTCTTGGTTGTGTGAGGTTGTGTGGGGGGGTGTGAGAGGGAGAAGAGGGGAAGTGAGGGATGGGCGAAGGAGACGAGTCAAACCTTGTATATATGATACCTGCATACTCCGCTGTATGTTATGAGAACAAACTCCCTTTTATGGTACGGGGAAGCTGATGTTTTGGACAACATACAAAGGATCAAGAGCAAAATATAGAGAACAGCCATCCTCCCGGCGGCCGGCTGGATACTCCAGGCACCAAAGATTTATCCTCTCTGACAACTTCGAAAATATCAATCCAGCCATACATCAGCTATATCCTTACAAGATGGCGGAAGCGACTCCTGTCCTCCCCCTACTTTCTTCTCTCCCCCTCACACACCCCTCCCTCCTCCCCCTCCTCCAGTCCCACACCCCCCTGGCCCGACCCTCCACCCAATCTCAATCCCAGCTCACAAAGCTCCTCAACCGCCTCAACACCGTCCTCTTGTCCCGCGATGATTCTGCCGAAAAGCGAGCAGCATGCGCGGTAGCAAAAGTTATGGTGGAACAAGATCAGGAAGGCTGGGTCCTGGCGGAATGGGGTAAAGGCTGGGTTGGAGGGTGTCTTGGGTGGATCGCGAGTACCTCGTCGTCTATTGCGTCTATCCCTCCTTACTTGGAGCTGTTGACGACGATCGTGTTGACTGCTCCGCACTTTCCATCGTTTGAGAGGCAGACTGTGCATCCTATTATGGGCAAGCTTTCTGTTTCTTTGGGCAAGTTGCTGGAGAGGTCTTTGAGCGAGTCTCAGCCGGAATGGGATGTCATTGTGAGTAAAGTCTTCTATGAAAGGCTGGATGCTGACGGTATACAGTGTACTATACTCGAATCTATACAGAGCCTCGTATTGCAATCCCCCGCCAACTTCCGTCCCTCCACGCCCGCTTTCAAAACCAACCTCTTTGCTCTCCTCCTCATGCTCCCCACCCCCACCTCCCCCTCCCCCTCTATCCCCCCACAGATCCGCCAACAATCCGCAAAGCTGCTGGCCGCCCTTCATGTCACATCAGGCAAGGCCCAAAGCCCCGCGGCATGGATAGCGGACATGAAGCAAGTCCTCGGTGGTCTGGGCAAGGCGCTCGGGGGGATCACATCAGATGCCTGGGAAGAAGACCCCGTCACCGTACCGCCCCCTGCTTCTACGAGCACACCAGACCTACCCGCCGATCCTCTCCAGCGACTCCCCATCGCTCTGGACTGGCTCGAAGGCCTCACGCAGGCGACTCTGGAGATGCTTTCGTTCCCTACGAGCCGACCGGTGGCTATCCCTGTGGCTGGGCTCGTCAGCGCCGGCCTCAGATGCCTGAGCTTGACTTTGGACACGCCCACAGTACCTTATATCATGCCCCAGCACCACGCCTTCCTGATCGCTTCTCTCCCCCGTATCTGGGCTTCCGGCACCCAGCTGCTCGCGGCCGTCGCGCTTGCCACAGGCGACCACCTCTTCCCCCACCTCTCCAACATCTTTGACCACTCTGTCTGGCTCTTGGAGCGTATCCCCCAAAGCATGTGCGAGTCGCGCACATTGCTTTTGCGGTTCCACAGCCTGCTCTCGACGCTCTACCCTCCTTCACTCCTCCCAGTCGAATACCCCACCCGTCTTTTGAGGTCATGCCTTTCAAGCCTCTCGCCCCTACTCGGCGATAAACGAGATTCTGTGGCGGCTGCCAGCAAGAATGAATCTGGGGGCGGGAAGAGGGGGAAGAAGAGGGCTAGAGGGGCTGAAGATGGTTTGGTCGGTGATTTGGAGGGGAAAGGTCGTCGAGGTCTTTCCCACTCTGAGCTCGAGTGCATCATCTCTGCTCTTTTGCTCACTCCTCTTTTGCATACTGCTTCTCTCCTCGCGCCTTCGCTTTTGACGCTTTCTGTCCGTCTGCATCTCTCGATCTATCTCGGTCTGCCGTCATTGCCAGCATCGACGTTCCCCGAGGTCGGAGCGAGGGAGGATGTAAGGGTTGTGACGAGAAGGGTGCTTGAGAAGGTATTGAGTATTGGAGAGGGATGGAGTAAGGGATACGAAAGTGTAATTGTATCGGTGCTTGTGAGTCACCCCCACTACATCTTCTACATCCCCCCACTGACTTTCTCAACAGGACGCTGCATCCCAACCCTCCATGCGCCCAACACTCCACCCCAAACTCCCACCCATGATGCGCCACCAACCCGCCCTCTCCGAGCTGCATTTCTTTGCGAAAGAGACGGACGAGGAGAAGAAGGTCCGGAAAGAGCTTGGGTTTGGGTTGGAAGGTGAGGTGGTGGATGGGGAGGAGATGGAGGAGGATGAAGTGCCGGCGAAGAGGGTGGCGGCTGTTGCTCCGGTCGTACAGGCGCCTGTACAGGTAGCTGCCCAGCCTCAGTTCGCCCAGCCTGCGCCGGTGGTCGCGCCTGTTGTCATTCAACAAACCCCTCCCGTAGCGCTACAAGCTCCCACCCCCGCCCCCGCCCCCATCACACTCTCGCCCCAACCGCCCATCCCCACCTTCCAACCTCCAACCCAGCCTGCCGAATCATTCATCTCTTTCACCAACACCACCACCACCTCTTCTTCCACCGACCCCTCTGTATCTGTATCAACACAAACACAGAAGAAGGTGGTGGAGACGGTGACCGAGAGGATGCAGGTGGATGATGATGATGAGGCGTTGCCGGAGATGGATAGTGGGAGTGAGGACGAGTTGGAGTTGGATGATGATGAGGAGGATGATGAGTAGGATATGAATTACATGAATGAACACTATATAGCGAGCATTTCAGACACCAGTTCTAAATGTGTACAACTTTTGATAATTACAACTACTCGCTACAGTACCCCAGTGATTCCCATCCACAGAATGCTCGTTCAAGAGGCATCATGTTCTAGTAAGGGGTCAGCAAGATACGAGAAGAACGGAGCGATCACTCACAACCCATGTTGAACATGTTTTGCATATTGACCCCCTGACTCATTTCCGCCACCGAACCAGGATCACTCCCCGTAAAACTCGTCTCCACCCCAAAAGTCGACATATCCCTACCAGCCCCGCCCGAATGGCTGGCGTTGGCGGTACTCGAGCCGTAAGAAGGCAAGAGACCCTCGAAATCCCAATCTGCCATGAAAGGTAGACTGCCGTCGGTGGCCGCAAACATAAATCGCGTGAGGTCGTCCATTGTGCTATTCGTGGACCAAGAGGGGGCGTTTGTTGACTGATTGTGGGTGTGGTTGTTGGAGGTTGCGAAAGGGTCGTGTTGGAGGTTGTGCGCCTGCGACAACCCATAGCACTCTCCATCTTCTGATTCCCGGATAGATCCCCTCCATCCCTCTCTCGAAACTTGCTTTTTCCCCAACAGATTCCTAATTCCCCTCGCGACCTGCTTACTCGTAGCATCCACCACACTCAGACTCCCTTCTGTATCCACGCCGTGGCGCTCCTCTGCTTGGCTTTCGAGGCAGGAGAGGAGTTCTTGCAGGGTCGCGAGCCGGAGGAGGGACCAGTCGGATAGGAAGGGGGACGCGGTGAGGTGGATCGATTGGAGAGTGTAGATGGCGCAAAAGGCGACCATGCTAGTGCTATCGTCGGCGTTAGCATATCCGGCGTCTTATTGATGGCGGACTCACTCAAAAGTGGCAGAGTTGAGCAAACCTTGCCAGGTCTTGTAATGATTGATTGCCCCACAACAGACATCAAACGCCAACGCCTCACACACTTTTCGCGCTTCGCTCTCGATATGTCCTGTCGCTTGACGTTTCTTGACGAGCGCTAGGGCGAGGACGAACGCGGAGAATCGGGCAATGATATCGTATTCGTGCGTCGCTGCCACTTTATTAGCTCGAGCAGAGACGAAAAGAAGATACTCACAAGTAATTTCGACAGCCCATCTCTTACGCCAATCCGCCATACCCCTATCTATAAACTCCTTTCCCGTCGCAAAGTCGGCGAAATTGTGGGTGGTCAATTTGACGTGGGCCACAGTGACTAGTTTGCGTAGGGAGACGGAGGCGCAGATGGGGGCGTCGAATTTGTGAGCGAGCTGTCGAGTGTCAGTGAAAGCCTGGTGTGGACTGGCGAAAGCTTACGGCGTGTTTGCCCCATTTGGCCAAAGATTCTGTCGATACAAGACTCGTATCGCGAATGATGGGATGCCGGCCGGCCACCATTGCCATATTCTGCTTCCCGTCAGCACCATAGTGCGACTACGAGGTATCACTTACTCGATCATGAATGAACATCAGTAGACACACTCGATGTGCATTCCGCACGAGCAGATCTTGGTTGTTCTTGTTAAACATGAGATCGGTCTGCACACAGTGTGGCAGTGGCGAGTCCAATCGCAATTCAACCGCCAGTGCAATAGCATGCGAAACAAACATCCACGTCTTATCTCGCGACAGCGTACACGGTACTTCTGTCCAGCTCGCTAGCAGCAAAAGCGCTTGGATGATCTCGATAGATTTGAGGTGTTTATTCCGGACAGTCGTTTCCAGCTTCAGAGCGTGGGACATGAGGTGGGAGTGAAGGATTGAGGAGGGGCAGAGGGGTTTGTAGGTGGAGGCGATGGCGAGGATAACGGCGAGGAGGAAGGAGGAGCGGGAGCGGACATATGAGAGAGTGTGTATGCGGGGGTCAAAGTACATGGATCCATTGGTGATCAAGGTCATGAATCTGAGAGGAGTCAATGGTGCAGATCGTTGAGGCTAGCCTGCTTACTTGTCAAAGAGGTGCTGCGCGTCGGCCAATGAGATGATCTGTAAAGAGATAACATCATTCTCGGGTGATGCATCTGGCCTTGCCATCTACCTCTGGGTCAGCGTGGTCAAGCACAAGCCAGCAAGACTCACGTCTATTCTCCCAACAAAGACCGACGGTTCCTCAGCATCTACAGCGTGCGGGCGCGGGCCCATAGACAACAGCTTATCCAACTGGATCGTGATAGCTTCCCTCCCTGCCCCGGCATTCGGGTGCAACTTGTCCGCCCATTCAGAGTATTGGTCGACAATGGCCTTGCTGGTACGGGTAGAAGTGGAAGCATGTGATATCTGGTCATCCGACGTTCTACCGAGCTCCAATCAGCTTCCCATCTCGTGCCCGACGCCCGAGGCAAGCACTTACTCTGGCGACGACTGTCGTCTCACAGCCTCCGAGGCCAGCACATGCAGCGGGTTGGGCAAATGGTCAATCACATCCCTCGGGATAGTATGCTCTTGATGCACAATCTGATATTTGCTCTGATGGTGCTCGCTCAAGACTTCGCCTTTGCGTTTCCGGTTCTTGACTCCAGGCTGGCGTCCGACGCGACGCTTGATGGTGATGCACTCGGCATGATTTTGTTCGCAGCGCTCACAAGTTTCGGACTGGTCCATACCCCGGGATGGGCGAATGCATCTGTGAAGAGACTGAGCTCCATCTTCCGCCCGAAAGGGACCCGACTCACTTCATTCGCACCTTGCGACAGCTTTCGCATGCTGTTGTGTACACCATTCTTGGATTTGAGGGCTGTTTTCGAGTATTCTGCCGGGTTCGAACGTCAGGCCAGATATGTATGTCGATGTGGTCGAAGCGTTGAATAGACTCCAGGTGGGAAAGTGAAAGAAGAGACGAATGAATGAAGATAAGCAGCAGCTGACCTTTGGCCTATCAAGAGGACACCATTTGGACTCCGGAGAGAATCCCAGGCACGGACAATCGGGCAGTTGTTCATTGGCCGTCGGCTCGCGTCTTGTCGACCGTCCGATGGATGCATGCTTCTATGGACGTTCCCGACCTTGGTTCGAGAGTGTTTGTCTATTGAATCAGCGTGGCAGTGTTGAGGGCGTTGCGACACCTATCGGAAGGAATAGAGTCCACCAGCATGCATAGCTGAATCCAAACACATGACACTGTCCGTCGCGTATCATTCTTTGAAAAGATGTATTATGTATATGACTGGGGAGGGTGGTCGAATGTTCAGCATGTACAGGCCACTGCAGGAAGGATTTGTGGTAAGCACTCGATACCAATCGTTGGGTGTATATCCTCACTGTTATAGGCTCAAAAAGTGATCAAGTCCGAGAAGAGCGAGGGACGACGTGAGAGGTAAACAGCCGATGGATTGAGGAAGAGACGAGACGAAGGCGGTGTCCCGGACATGAAGAGGTTGGTGAGGTAGATAGAAGGCTCTCAAGGAAGGAGTATCCAAAGAGGGGAGTCGAACAGGAGACGCGAGGATGTTGAAAGGAGGTTGAAGGAAAGTCACGAAGGAAGAGTTCTGGTGCGGTGGAGAGGAAGTCGGGGGCGATCTATGTTGAGGTGCTTGGGTTAGGCTACCGGCGAGGCGCCTCAGGCCTCCGCTAACCAAAGGGCGTAAGTCTCGTAATAGGTCAAGTCTAGCCTTCCACTCACCCAAGCCCTTGCCTAAATGCGCGGCGGCCCACAGGATATTGATAATCATCCAAAGCAAAGACCACCGTTGGGCCGAGAACGGGAGCGGGTTAGCGTTTACGGCCCGATTTGTAAACAACCATTTCAGGATGGCTGGTGGCGGAACGCTGACTACCACGATGGTGATAGTGTAGCCCAGTGTCTTCCCGTGCGGCCAGCCTCTTCTCAGAAAAGGACGCCGTTAGCCTTATAGTGGGAAGGGAGGGGGGGAAGGTATTACCCGACGAGATAGACCACAATAGAGAGCACAAAGACGAATAAAGGAACAATCGCTAATGGTTGTGTCAGGTCACGGAAATGGTGCAGAATGTATACCCAGAGAACGTACTCGTGGCCCAAACTGAAGCTGTCTGGTAGGCACCGATCTCATTCTTGGCTTTGTTCCGCGCTTTGTTGACTTCCTCAGGAGACAATTCACGAAATGTTGATTTTGTTGTACTCAGCTGTCACGGCCTGCTGGGACGCAGCAGGTGAGGGGACTGGAAAAGGTGTTTTTGGAGGGGAAAAGACCTTTTCGGTATTATCGCATAAGGAAAGAGTAGACAACGAGATATGAATTGAGTATGTACACCGCGCGTCCTTCAACCATCCACACAACTCAGCACCATGCCACTTCAGGGAATAAGTACGTGTGACAAATCTTCCTGCCTCCCTCTCCTTCTTGTACTACGTCGACCCGTCTGGGAAGGGGACGAGGGCAGCCGATCATAGCCGGGCTTGTCCGGGTGGGTATTGTGGAACAGCCGGACACGGGGGTCGGTTGGCGGCAACTGAGAAGCAGGGACCCATGAGCGGTAATCATATCCATCATCGGCGCGCACCTGGAGGTAATAACGAAGCCCGGTGGCACGATCCGCGGCAGAGTCCACAATGACGGCGGTCGGTGGGGGAGGGTGGAGGGTGGGAGGAGGGGAAGAAGCGGGGGACGAAGAGGGAGGGGGAGGAGAAGGAGGTGGAAGCGCCTCGGGCAAAAGGTGGGAAGGGGGAGGAGGTGGTGGAGAAGGCGCAGGAGCACGAGAGCGATAAGGCTCCAACAGACTGACATGGAACACTGGATGCACACGCGAGAACTCCTCGGGCAACCGAAGCTTGTAGGCGTTACGGCCGATGATGGACACGATGGGAAGAGGAATAAGTACGTGTGACATCAGCCTGGATCCACTTCTCGTACGCTTCTCTATCCTAGCTGGCGATGTCTTCGAAAAGACCACGCATCTATCCATGGAGCCCGCCCGCCCAGGTAAGCCAGGCAGTGGGTGTGACGGGGATCAGTTCCCGCCAGCGGGGGATAAGCATGGGCAAGCGCGAGAGACGGGTGGGGGTAACGGGCTGAGGGGCGGATGTCATTGTCAGGGGTTGTATTGATTTGTAAGTGAGAAAAGGTGTGGGACGAGAGAAACACGTTGGAGCGTTGTTTGGGGCGGACGGTGGGTGGGTGGAAGGCTAAACTTGACCTATCACGAGACTGACGCCCTTTGCATAGCGAATGCCTGAGGCGCCTCGCCGGTAGCCTACCCCAAGCACCTCAACGTGAATCAGATCGCCCCCGACTTCCTTCTTCCCTTCCTCCACCTCACCAGAACTTTCCTCCGTGACTTTCCTTCAACCTCCCCCTTCAACATCCTCGCGCCTCCTGTTCGACTCCCCTCTTTGGATACTCCTTCCTTGAGAGCCTTCTATCTACCTCACCAACCTCATCACGTCCGGGGTACCGCCTTCGTCTTGTCTCTTCCTCAATCCACCGGCCGTCCACCTCTCACGTCGTCCGAGCGAATGGACGACGGGTCTGCGTGATCGCAGGAGCGGCGGGTTGGAAAGGGCAGGGCTGTGGCAGCGATGTAGGGGAGGTCACGACAGCGCGCTTAGAGTCGCATTTGATGGGAAGACTATCTATGGTCAGCGGAAGCTTCTCAGTCTATACCATTACTCACTAGACCTGATCAGGTAGGATGCAGATCGGAAGCAATTGCGATGGAAGAGATGAGGCTGAAAGCTGAGACAGTTTGTCAGCAAGTGCAGGCGGATGACGAGATGCCGTTTCAAGATTATTGAAACTTTTTTGCCAAGCTCCCTTGTACCCTTGTCGCCTTCAGCGAATGAGCAAGGACATCTAACTAGAAGCAATGGGCCGGGCAGGAAGCAGCCAGCGGCCGGGTGGGCGGGCGTAGCGGGGATGATAGAGATACAAAGCGCGTCGCGTCGTTCAACTCACCTGGCCTGCTGTGCTGTGCTGTAGTATGATGGCTCTCAGCCCTTGTCAGCCCAAAAATGTGCTTTGCGGCGAAGGCGAGTTGGAGCAGAGAGATGAAATAGAAAGGTAAAAGAGGAAAGAGATAGAAATACGAGGATGATGTGGGTTTCGGAGCTGTCTTCCGGGAAAGGAGGTGCTCCGAGAGAGGTCAAAGCGCAATGTGGCGGTGGAGGCAGTCCTCGTTAGCTCGTTGACATATTCATGCTCAACTCCTTTCCAGTCGGAATCGCGTGAATATACCTATATATGCATGGTAAAGCGAAGGCTCGAAAGCGCCTTTCAAGGGGGGGTTTATTAGAAAAAGAGAAAAGTCTAATCTATAATACAGAATATATGATCCAAATGCTCCGGGGTGTACAGCAAGCCTGCCGAACCCACTCTTCGCCCATCTATCTTCAAGACTCGTCGAGTAACCACTCTCAAAGGCAATATCTACGCCCATCGCCCAAGAAGCGCCATCAACCCGGAGCCCAAGAGCATACAGCAAAAGATGTACGTCAACTTGCCCGAACTGCTCTTCATCATCCTCGGGTTCAACAGCACCTCGTGCGCTATCAGCTCCACCAGACCCGTGTAGAGCAAGATACCGGCGGAAGTGGCATCGAGGACACCAGAGATGATGTTGGCTTTTGCGCCGTTGCCGTTGTACGTCGAGCGGACGCCGAGGCCGATGGCGACGCCGATGGGGGTACAGATGGAGTAAAAGGCGGCAGCGGCGTATCGGGCCCAGGAGAGCTTGTCGGGGAGGGAGAGAACGGAGAGACGGGAGCCGAGACCGAGGCCTTCAAACATTTGGTGGAAGATGATGACGACAAAGAGGGTGGTGAATGCTTCGTCGACGGCGAGGGTGAGGCCGATGATTACGCTAATCCAAGTATGAGCTAGTGCGTATGGGAGAGGGGAAGGGGGGGGGACGTACGAGTGGAGGACGACACCGAATTCGAGGACGGCGACAGCGATAAGCTGGGCAGCTGCTTCAGCAGACGAAGGCAGTTGGTTGACAGAGTCCGTGTCGGAAGAGGCGCTCTCGAGATCCTTTTCCTTCTCGCTCAAAGGCCCATGGCTATGGCTGTGGCCGTGGTCGCCAGAAGTGACGCGAGAGTGGGTAGGGTGGACGTGGTGTGCAGGAGCAGGGACGGTAGTGTCGACGTTAAGAGGAGGGTCGTGGGCGTGGTCGTGGGCATGAGCGTCAGTCTCGTCATGAGCATGCGAGCCTGTGATCGTCAGCCCATACTCTTCACTAGAAGGAGTAACTCACTGTACTTGACGCCGAGCCTCTCGAGACGCGCACTACCGAGTCGATACGCGGCAACCTCGGCGAAAAAGATAAAGTACACTGCAGCCATGCAGATTGCCGGCGCCCAATCCTGCCTTGACATCAGCCTTTGCCACCAGACGCGCGTAGACCACGTACATAATCTTCCCAGGCGCCCGACAGACACTCGGAGGTAAGTTCGTCCCATGCTGGTGCGAGCAGATGTATGAAGGCGGTTGCTATGATGACACCCGAACCAAAGTACTTTGCAAATCTACCCCTCGTCAGCACTGCCCACAATGTATATAGACGGGGGCTCACTCAAAGACGGGCCTGGGGACGAGGCTGCTGCGACGGAGGACGATGGGGAGGAGGGTGCCGACGAGGGAGGTGACGAGGATGATGAAGATGGCGCCGATGCGGAGGCCGTGGTGGGTGTCGCTGTTGTCGATGGCACAGGCGTCTTCGGTGTCGGACATGGCGTGGAGAGTGCTAGGGATGGTGCTAGGTGGATGCTAGTAGAGTGTTTATATAGCATCAAATTCTTCTGCGCCCAAAAGGAGCACCAAGCGAGCCGACCGCAAAGTCCTCATTCCACATCTCCCACTTACGTAACATTGACTGAGCAGTCCTCTCTTTACCCTTTCTGTTGTCTCGGGCGCTTCTCGAGGGCAGGGGCAGGGGCATGCATGCAGGGTGGGTATGCAAGGGTGGACGGTGTGCAAGGGTGGAGCAAGGGTGGAGCAAGGGTGGAGCCAGGTGGATTGGCGTTGCGTGCTGGAGTACTCATGAAAGGGAGGCAGAAGGCCGCAAACGGAAGAAGCGGGCATGCCACAATGGAGTGGCTCACGCCATCATGCATAGAACACTCTCCATCCGTACATCGCACCACAGACAGCTTTCTACCAGCTCCCAACAGCTGCATACATGTACACCTCTGCCCTCTCAAATGCCTCATTGCAAGCCACATTCCCACCCACGTTGAACGACCGATAGGCGCGGAGGCGCAAGGAACGGTACTAGCGGTTCTTCCGAGAGCCTATTGTAAAATTGTAAGAGATCTCGCATATATCTAATCTCTTCAGCCAATCACGGCCGTATTTTTTCAACGCGCATACAAAGATGTGGATGCCGCTCACTCCGCTGTGTTTGCCAAGCATGGGTATTGTAAGACATGGTTATTTTTACCGACTCCCTCTTTTGCGCCGGCCTGGCGTTGAGGGGGCACGCGACGACCTTGCGGTACTCACCTATTCTTTGCAGCCCTGTTTCTGTGCAGACGAGGGATGCCCGAACCCTGCTGCTATGGCATGCAGCAGAAGCAGTCCGTGTTGCAAAGCATCTTGTGGTCCTAGCCTTCATCATGATCTGTCCTCCCAGTCTCTTGCTACTTGATAAAGTGCCTATCTTTGTCAGTTGTCATACATGCACCTCTACAGCTCGCTTTCCATCGTTCGCTGAATAGAGGCTAGGACACAGCTCGTCGATGACCTCCTTGCGGCTCGTCAGACGTCCGTCAGCCAACCAAAAAGTCCTCATTTGCCCACTAATTCCCTATCACCAACTTGGACCCCGCTCCGCGCATATCATGCATACCCTGCACGGGGCACGAATAGATATTGAGATAGACGATGAACCATGTGTTGGGTCTGTCACCCCGTCCGAACTTTTTTCAAGCGATGACCTTTGGGTACTCATCTTGTACTGCTACTTGCTGTTTCGCGGTTTTGAGGCGCGTGGTGGCACTGAGTCACTGACTGTATGAGTGAGGTTGATTCCCTGATGTAGGCGCTGAGGGGGTGCTGTATGCAGTGGATGAGGTCGTTCAGGGATGCGCATGGCGCTGATGTGAATTCTGCATGTCTTTAATAATACTACTTTGGGGTACCGAGCCCTCTAATCTTCATAAACCGAGCATCGAACCACTGCAAGGAGACCTCTCTCTTCCTACTTCCCCTCCCCTCCCCAAACAGGGGCTGCTCTTTACTCGATAGCGCTCAGTTCAAACAGCCACCGCCGGCGCATCTCATTCTCTGTCGATTGAAACATATCAATCACAAACGGGTACCGAAAAGTCTACAACGCAATCTTCTCGTGAGTACTTTTCCTTGCAGTAAAGTCGAATAAGAGCCGGAGAGGGTGGAGCTCACTTGGACCCCGCCCATATAGAAATCATCCACACTCCTCATGAGGCGTACAAAGACATTCTCGAGCGCTTTAGGGTTCCAAGCTGTATCGCGCCGGCGGCTTGAGGGTGGGAAGTTTGAGAGATCCATCTCGTTCAGCTCGGCGAGGATGGATTCGGCTTCTCTGGACCAAGTTTGAGCGCATATCCTATCGAATAATCGAAGAAGAAGATGCTCACTTGACCATCTGATATACTTGGTCGGTCAAGGTAGGGTGCAGGACGACCCGATCTCTGGGCGTCATGTTCAAAAACACCGAGGTACAGAGCAATCTCGCTGTATACAGATACCATTCCACCTAACCCACGATCTCTTCAGCAATCGCTCCAGACCCTCTAGTGATGGATGCACTTACCAGCCAACAAACACACATCTGCCCGATAACCTCCCTCCCCGCCACTCTCCCCATCGCATGCACACACTTGCTCAACCGCGTCAAAATCTCCTCCTGCTCCTCATTCGTACTACAATCATCCGAATCCTCCTCCACCCCTTCGTCGTCGACAACCCGGCGGCGCGCGTCGAGTTTGCGCATGATTTTGTGGTAGGCAGTGTCGAATTGGATGATGTATTCTTCGCAGTTGGTGTAGGCTGCTTTACGGTATTTGGGGAGGTTGGAGAGAAGGGGGAGGACAATGAATGAGGAGGAGTTGGGTGATGATGGGATGGCTGGGGGTAGGAGTGAGACGGGCATTCTGGCAGCAGTGTAGTTGTCTTTAAATGTTTATGGATGGTGGCAAATGCTATAGCACAGTATACTTGGGCATGACGAATTATATACACGTCCAAGACGCTTGTGCGTTCCAGCAAGTACGCGAGAGGGGCGGGCAGTCGCTCGCTCGCTAGATGCTGATGCTGCCTGGTAGATGCCAGGCCTCCGCCTCTTAAATGTACTCGCCAACCATCTTGCAATGAAGCGTTTTCCAGTGCATATCCATGACAGCACGGGTATATATATATCAAGTGGCCCGCCGGTATGCGTGCTTGTGCCTACCACCACAGAGCAGTTGTTGCCACCAGACATGCCAACCGCGCGTCGCTCGTTGACTGAATACGCGCATATGTGGCAACACGGTCTTTACAACCCTGTTCCGACAGGCGGAGCCGAGGTAGACGCACCTAAAAAAGGGGAGAGATCGTCAGGCATTCACCAGTTTCCCTGTACACATGTCAAAATGTTGGAAGACCTGCACGGATTTCGCGTGGCGGACGCTCACGTCATTACTGCTATAATTTGTAGATTGTGGGGCTCAAAAAAATGCATTGTCCATAATCCAGTTCCTCTACATGTAATCAGATCGACGACTTTGGGAGATGCTGACGTATGTATTCTGTAGCAGTAGTAGAAGCGCAAATGGTGACCGGAAAGCAAAACTACACGTTCACAAAGAGAGCACATTGATGCGAACAGAAAGAGGGGATGCGTAGGATGATGAAAGGGTAGAGTAGGATCAAGAAGGGTGTGGTATTGGGTCGTTGGAATCATCACAGATCTCTTCGTTGCTCTTCTCGCCTTCCGGCCTCGCCCTCCTCCTCATCTTCACCTAGACTCCTCTCATCAATCATCATACAACATCTTCAACTCGCTCCATCAACACCCATCCTTCAAACTATTCTTCGGGAATGCATACCCCGCATCCGCCCACGTTGTCAGATCTGACATTTCCATCAGCTTTTGCAAGATGTACAAGGACGGGAAGGGGACGTACTCGGGTTGGCATAAGCATTCGCATGGTCCGCGATATACTGCGCCGTAGGATAATCTACCCTCGTTGTCAGCCCCTGTCTCCTCTTTCTTCGTGTTTTGAAGAGGATAGAGACTCACCTTCGGGGTCACATCCAATGGAAATCGCATCAGGCTTTTGATACACCCGCACATAATCCACGCGCAGGTAATTCGGCCATTTGAGGTGTGCAAAGTTGACTGCTTGGTAGTTGTTTGACTATCCCGCCACATCAGCTTCCACTTTACCCCAAGGAAGGGAGGAAGAGAAGAAGAGAAAGGTACGCACCATGTGCAAATTGATGATCATAGCCATAGGTTCCTCCGGCACGATCCTCCGTCCGATTTCTGTTCGCGGGTTGGCAGCGACAGCATCGGCGTACATGGTCCAGCTCGTCTTGTTGTCGGCGTACCAGGTGATGTAGCCGTCTTCACGCGATTCTGGGACTGCTTTGTACCTGCCCAATGTCAGTTTGCTCCAACAAGAAAGAAGAACTCACTCCATCCCGAAGACGGCAAACTGCTTGCTGTCCCCTCCGATATCCTGGTTATAATAAATGTCCCTCGGCAGCCTCGTCAAACTCGACACCGCCTGCTGATAAGGCCCCCCAAGGTACGTATTCCAATACGTCAAATCCGTATCGTACTGCTTCACCATCCCGCTCGCATTATTGAACTGATAATGATCATCATAAGGCGCCACCTGGAACGACTGCGACACTTCACCGCGTTTTTCGCTGACGATGATTTGGGCTTCGACGATGTCGATTTCGGGGGAGGATCTGCCGCGGCCGACGTGCGGGCCGGGGTGGTCTTCGCCCTCGCAGGTGCAGGCGGAGGTACGTTGACCAGGGAGGACGGAGACGGGGGCGCCTTCGAGGCCGGTCGTCAAGGTGGAGGCGGGGCCAGAGCCGTTGATGTAGGTTTGATTTTCGAGGATACCGATGTCGCATGAATCGTAGGTATACCTGCCTTGAATCAGCTTGGGTGGATAAAAGATAGATATAATACTCACGGCCACATGCCTTCGGTACTCGCGCCATAACCCGGTCGTCCCAGATTGCCCATCGTCCAGATACCAGGCCAGAATCCACCATACGTCGTATCACCCGGCAGACTCGCCGAAATCTCAAAGTAAGCATTCTTGTTAAAGCACATCTTGTTCCAGGACTGAATCATGCCGGATTTAAAGTTGAGTTCGTGGATCGGTTCTTGGGTCATGGTGATGATGAGGTGTCCGTCTTTGGTGGTCACAGCGGAAGGGTCGAGCCACTCGAAATCGCTTACATCTCATCAGCCGCGTTTCCTCCGAGACGAAAAAAGACTCACCCGGTAGCCCAGTAGTGGATATCCATGGCCGTCCAAAACGGATCATCGCCCTCGAAGAACGTCCTCCCCTCTTTATTGAATTCATCGGAAAATACCAGCGTCCATTCGCCTTCGTCGAACCCGGTACGGCTCTTGGCCCAGTCGGGCGTGTCGGGGTCGATCATACTAGGCATACCTGGGATCTCGGGGTACTGCCCAGAAGCATTGATACCACCAAGATTATATCCAGCAGTGCTGGACCCGGACGAAGTCTTGTTGCCATAGTAAAACGTCAGAACCGGGTACCCAGCGAAAAGCATGACGCCGCCTGCAGCGAGCACACCCAGCATCAGGCCGTTCGCCCATCCACGCCAAGAAGTGATATCGAACGGCGAAGTGAGGTCCTTCTTGTCCGCCTCGGTGAACGTATGGAGGGCGTCGTCCATGTCGTCGTCGTCGTCCCAGTTGTGCGCACCGGGCGCGCCGGGGGGAGTGAACGCCGACTGGGGGATGGGCCCGTTCTGGCTCGCGACACCGCCTGCTAGCATGCTGCCTCCAGCCAAGGAGGCAGTGGGCCCAAAGTTGCTGGATGAGGTGAGCGAGTCTGACCTGGGGCCGTAGCCGCGGTGGGACATGGTGGAGTGGTTGTCGTAGGAGGCGAAAGAGGAGTCGGAGAGGCGCTGGGACTGGCCGGGGGGGTGGGCAGACTGCAGGAGGGGTTCGCGATGGAGGGAGCTCATGGGCGGGGTGGTGGGTGATGGAGAGGCGGGTCTGAGAGAGCGCGTGGTAAGGCAAGTGCTCGCCAAGGCCGGCGAAACAGCCAAGAGACCCAGATACTTTGGTGCTTGATGGCGCGTACTTGGCGGGGGTTACCTGTGCCGCTAGCTGGCGAATGTGCCGAACAGCCGGGATGCAGCGTATACCGCATCGCTTCTGTGCGCGCAAGGGTCCCCCCTTGGAGGCAGCTCGACGTCGCTGGGCTGTCTCTTGTCAGCGTTCTGTTCTCCCTCCAATCTCCCTCCGCCAAGATCCAGGGCCGGGGCGTCGGGGACCCGGGGGCTGCGCAAAGCCCAGGAACAATCCGGAGTTCTTGACTGATAGCACCCTCCTTATTCGCCCGCCCACTTACGCCCATCTGTCGTCTGACCTGCGTCTGACTTGCGTTGGTTGTGCGTTGGAATTCAATTCGAGCTCCTTTCCGAGGCGCAGCGTGAGCCAAATGTGGTGACTTCGGAAGCTTGCAAGCAGGACTGAACCCTCAGCTACCAACGACTCACCTTGAAGTGGGGGACCGGCATTGCTGATCTCTGAGCAAACGGACATGGCCATCGCCGGTTAGAGGCATATTTTCATGGATGCCGGGGTCTCCGGGCTTCATATGGGCAGCTTCGAGCTGGGAGAGATGATCCAAGATGACAAGACCAAATCAAAGGTCAGCAAGGCATAGTTTGCCACCAAGGGCATTGGGAGACACACGAGGATGAAGGGACTCACGGTGATACAAAGTCGAGTACGGAATATAGCTCGGGTGACAATCTCCCATTCTCCCGTGGTATGAGAGAAGTGCTTTGCAAAGTATAACGGAAAGGATCATGTAGATTCCTGCCTGGACGGAGCAATACTCAGCTTGCAGTACTAGATTGACCGTCTGGGGATGCGCCAGGAAGAAGAGTGTAACAGGTAAGATGCTATGCCTATACGCGTACTTTTCGCGGATGTCTTGTACTTTAGTCTTTGCCCCCATAGCTTGATTGCTCGTACATTCCCCTCACTCTCAGTTGGGAGACAGATCTCCGATACCTTCTCGAAATGGTAATTAACTCCATCTTTTGAAGGATGTAAGAGCTCCAAGCCTCGCTCACAGCGGTTGGTGCACATCGCTGGAATAGGTCGCCATTTGACCAAAGTAACGAACCAAACTCCCGAACCTCCACCTCCCACGTCCGCGTCGACCCCACATCCTGCCACCATCTGGCTATAACATCCATCCGCCTACCTCCGTGGCCGAGCTACTCGGTGCTTACTAAGGCTTTGCGGGCGAGAACAGATATACGCGGAGATAGAGAGGTCAGACCCATTCCACCATCTTTGAGGACATTATTTCGCCACCAGGTTCGCCGATGTAGTTGGCTCTAGAGGTTTCGAACGGAGGATACGATGAGTCAGCAGACTTGAGGTGCAAGGGTATATAAGGACGTGTCTCCATAACAGTAGATACTTCGTCGATCCACCATTGTTGTCTTCTTTAGTACACACACACACACACTCTCTCTCGCTCACCACAATCCACAAACGCTATCTTCCCCCGGCATTGGTCTGGCCACTCACTTCGAGTGCTCAGATCATTTCGTCTCTACACTTCGGCGACCTCTGAAGGCATAGCCTAAGGAAGGTAGCCCCCTTGACAGTATAGTGGATCGGCCTCACTTCTTGAGGTCGCCACCACTTTTTCAACTCTACACCAACCAACAACCCACTCTTCCCCCTGTCACAATGTCCGCCAACAATCAAGAACCTCCTGCCCTGAGGACACGTCGACGAAGTGCCCTACCTACTCCATCCCAGGAGGAAGAAGACATTTCCGGTCCAATTGATGATCCCGGTGTTGCTTCTACTGGTGATGCTCCTCAGTCTTCTGGGCCAGGCGAGAATGAGCGGACATCTGCCTTACCTACCGACATTCCTCTCCCTCCTTCACCTCCCATGCCGGAAGCTCCTAACGATGAAGGGGGCAACCACAACCCCAACTCTAGCAACACCCAAGCCCCTGGCCCAAACCACGACGATGATGACTATGACGAGCCTTCAGGTTCTGACCTTCCATCCAATAATGGGCAGCCAAACAATCATGCCCCAACTGTCCTCTTTCCTACAAATGCTGGGGCAACTACTGCGGAGCTGACTCAGCTTCGTACTCTTGAAGTTCTCGAGCGTCTCGCTGTTACTGCTTGTGCCTCCACCACTCTTCCTACCCCTACGGCTTACTCCTCAATCCCCACACGGGCTCTCGAGCCAGAGACCATCACTCGGGACCGAGTCAAAGTAGCCAATGCGCCCGAACCTCTCAGCGGAAATCGCTCAAAGCTCGAATACTTCATCGCAAACAACCGTATCTACTTCGACACATATCCGAGTTCTCTTATCTCGGACAAACAGAAGATCACCTAAAGGCTCACGAATATCCGTGGTCCTGTGTGGGCATCCTTACAGCCTTACGTCAACTAGGAACCACGACCGTTTCATCCTCCAAGACTTGTCGGTATTTATCTCCCACCTTCGCCAACACTGGGGCACATCCAACGAGAAGGGTAATGCCAATTGTAGCTTGCGAATGTTACGGGTGATCTCTTCTCTTTGTCCGAGATAAGAGAACTCGGATATGTGTCGAAGTAGATGCGGTTGTTTGCGATGAAGTATTCGAGCTTTGAGCGATTTCCGCCGAAAGGTTCGGGCGCATGGGCTAGAGGCGAGAGCGAAAGTGTGGGAGCAGCTCAGATAATGTTGTCTCTCCAGCACGAACACAAGCGTCCATGTCCTCCGGCATTGGCTTGGCTACCTCTCATGGTCCTCAAGTCATTTCGGATCACCTTTATTGCTACAAGGGCTTCGCTAGAGGTCATGGACCCGTGTGACAAATTTCAATGAACAGCAAGAGACTTGGGATGTGGCGACGAGCGAGAGAATAGGGTCCGAATGGTGTTCAGCTCGGTGGCGACCAAATTTTGTAAGAAGAGGCTGTCGTAGGTTACGCAGAATAGTATTTGGGGTATATAAACAGAAGTAGTGAACCTCGTGTACGAGAGGCGTTCTGCAAAGACAAAGACGTGGGAAAGCGACGACTCAACCCGGGTCTCTAAACGCTTGTCGACAGAGTGTATGACTTTCCTCGTTCTCGTTCGCCTTTATCATTCTTTCCAGATAGGTGATCATATGTCCAAACAGCGCAGCCTCGACAGCCTTCTGTGCAATATCAGGCGGGGCAAAGTTCACGACCCTAGTAGCGTAAAGTAGTGCATAATAAAGAATTCTTCTCATCCATTCCCTTCGTGGACAGCGCCTAATTAATACAAGTATGCTCTTTTCAAATCACCATGTTGGTATAAGATTATCACCCTTATATGCACCGCGTCCAAAGATATTAATAATACACTCCCCCTTCGAGAAAACAGACGTCGACCTTTACACCAAGTCGTTGTGCTCGACCTTCTCCTTGTGCTGCACCTCGTTCGCAACCTTGTCCAAACCAATCTGCGCGGCAATCCTCTCTCGCCTCTCCCTGTCCTCGGCACCAGAAGTGTCCTTGAAGATCCTGTCGACCTCTTCGAGCGTGAGACCCTTGAGTTCGGGGAGGATAAAGACAGAGTAGATGAAGCCGACAATGCAGAAGCACATGAAGACAATGTAGGTCTTGTAGCCGATAGAGGAGATCATGTGGGGGGTGACCATGGCGACGGTAAAGTTCATCTGTAACGAAGATCAGTGGCTGTTCGAAGAGGAGGAAGGGGGGACGTACGAGCCAGTTGACACCGGAAGAGATACCCATACCCTTGGCCCTCATATCAAGAGGGAAGACCTCGGCGGAAACAACCCAGGCGAGGGGACCCCAGGTGACGGCAAAGTTGGCAATGTACCAGTAGATCATGAAGACGGCGGCGTTACCGGCGGCCTTGTGGGTAGGGAAAGAGTCGCCGTAGACAGCAATGATGGCGGCGACGACGGCGTGGGAGATGGCCATCTGGGCTTCACCCCAGGCGAGAAGAGGCTTTCGACCAAACTGCAAGGCGTCAGATGGAGTCGAGAAAAGGTAGAAGAGGACTCACGTTGTCGACAAAGAGGACGGCGGGAATGGTAAAGACAAAGTTGACGATACCGACGACACCAGTAGCCAAAAGACCGATGGTACCGCCAGTCAAACCGATCTGCTCAAAGATGGTAGGTGCGTAGTAGATGATGGCGTTGATACTGCAGCGACGTTAGCCAAATCCCAATACCCGTTCCAAGTACTTACCCAGTCCACTGTTGCAAAGCCTGGGCACCCGCACCGAGCATGAGACGACGGAGAAGAGGCTTGGTGGTAAGAAGCCTCTTGTACTCGGCCATGGTGACCTTGAAGTTGACGTCGTCCTGACCATATCGCTCCTTGGCAGCCTCACGCTCGACGAGACGCTCGGCCTGGAGGGCGCGGAATTCGTATTGCACAGCGGGGGCCTCGGGGGTAGAGTCTCGAAGCTTGGCGAGGGTGACGAGGCATTCGTCTTCGCGGCCTCGGAGCATGAGCCATCGGGGAGAGAAGGGGAGGAAGCAGGCGCCAACACAGAGGACCAAAGCGGGCACCAACTGAAGGGCGAGAGGGATACGCCAGGCAGCAGTTGATTGACCTTCCCCGGTACCGCCAATGTCTAGAAAAGCGTCAGCGAGACCTCAGGCGCAGTCAAAGATACACTTACAGTTGGTTCCGTATCCGATCCAGTAAGAGACCAAGATACCAAAGGTGATGGCGAGTTGCTGGAGGGCAACGAGGGAACCACGGATACCGGGAGGCGCGAGCTCGGCGTTGAACATGGGGACCAACATTGACAAGGCACCAACACCCATACCGGCAAACCATCGACCAGCTTTGGACCCGTCAGCGAAACACTCAAACACGAGACGAAAAGAACTGACCATAGATGCACGCAATGTCTCTGCTAGCAGCCGCCTGAATAACGACACCCATGATGAAGACGACACACCATCCAGAAATGGAATACTGAACGAACGCGTCAGCCGATGCTCGAATAAGGTTGCCAATGCGGGGGTGGATTGCGGCGCGGAATCGACGGGATCGCCACTCACCTTTCGAGAGAATCGGTCAGAGAGAGGACCGGCCATCATGGCACCAACAAAGGCAGCCAGTTCGAGGATAGAGGTCAAGAGAGCCCTGATATCTTCACTGGTTCCCTGCGTATCTTGTTAGCGAACCGTGCGCCGAGTGGAGCAGAATGAACCCACCGATGGGAGGTATCTCTGCTTGAAATCATACATGACTTGGACTTGACCAAAGACACCCTGGGGTGATGTCAGCTTGGCTCGCGTGAGATGGAAGAAAGGAACTTGCCTGGTTGTATCCGTAGAGGACACCACCGAGGGAGGCAAAACAGGCGAGGAAGAGGGCGCGTCTGTTCTTATACAGACCCCTCCATCCAGCCTGTTCGGGAGGAGTGAGAAGAGCGTCAAAGCCGCCGCCAGCATCAGCACCGCCGGCCATGTTTGTTGATTGTTGTTGGTAGTAGGTAGTAGAAGAGTGGGAGGGTAGAAGATGGAAAGGTGGATGAGAAAGGAGTTGTGAATTGGTTGTGGGTTGAAAAGCGGAAAGTGCGGAAGGATGTGTGTGGAAAGAAGGAGGGGGGGTGTTTCTTTCCGCCATATATAGGGAGGGGATGTCAACAGGGCAGCCCCGCCTCTCAGGGCTGGTGCTCCAGGAGGGGCAACCTGGGCAACCGAACCCCCACCCCCCAGGCACAACAGGGCCCCGGCACTCCCCGATACGCGAGAGTCATTTCCCAATCCGGTTATTTTCCCTCCCATCATCCAGGGTTCCTAGCAAAAACCCTCAGGGCCGTTCTCAATACCGGCGGCAGTCGGACCGGCGGCAAGTGCTTTTTCAGCCAATCAAACACCCCTTGGCGTCAATTTCCATCCACGTCGTTCGTCTTTGCCCTTCCAGATCTCTTGGATCTGACGTCTTGGGCGGCGAGTAGAGGGGAAATTACTCAGGGAAGACTACCTGGCCGCAAGCGGTGTTTATTTGTGGCATCGCGTTCATTGCGATTACATACTTCGGGAATGGGGCATACATGTTCGGGTGCTCCAGATGCCCCAGAGGGGAAAAGTGGGGTCATCCTATGCTTACATGTGCTCCCTGCCCAGCGCTCGATTGCCGTACACATCGCCGTCGGTCTGTGATCTGTGAAGGCCAGGCTGCCAAAGCAAGAAAGCCCACGTATACAGCTCTCCTTTGTACGTACGTGCTGGACGGATCAAGCAGCAGTCCTCGTCATTCACAGCATCCGGTGTATACACGGCATATTCGCGCAGAACATCATACACGGAGACTAACGGCCGTTGTCTCAATCCAGAACACGGCTCAAACCGGCATATGTCCTACCCCTCGGCTTCATTACCACAGCCCATCACCATAACCAAATAAACCGACTCACCCATTAGTATTCGATTTGTTATTTGTCCATAGTCTCCATACCGACGCGACCAAAGGGGCTGCGCGGTATCGGCAAGGGTCGGTAATGATCCGTATGAATTCGGCAAATAAGCATTTGGTATTCGGCTTGGTTACGATCCAGTCGCAGTCGGCTTGCTTTTTTCTCGCTTCCAAGTTTTTCTTTGCGTCTTGCCCCTTGCGGGGGATTTGTTCCCACATGCCAGCGATCAGGAGCCCCCAAATCCAGAGACACCCCGGATTCCTTCCAGCAATTGGTGCTGGGTATCCTCGCGTCATTCGACTGTGTCTTTTCATTTGCCAGCCACTAGGCTTTTCGCACAGATCTCAAGTAAAAAAAAAAAAGGAGATATACAGCCATGCCCCGGAACTCTCTTGTCATATCTGGCTATTTCTCTTGCCACAGGTCATACACAATGCCTACCCCACGATTCATACGGTACTAGACAAGCAGGGCATTATGGCAGTGACCTTTGCAGACTGCAGAGAGCGCTGTGGTGTGACCGTGTGAGAGATAAGGAGTTTGGCAGGGGAACCAAACAAAAGACTCGGCCGAGTTGTATTTTTCGGATGCTGCCCCAGGCACGCACCAGTTCAACTACACCGGGGAATGGGGATGGCGCCGCCACACTGACTACTACTGGCTCTGGCTTTGAAGACTGCTGTTTTGACGCTGTGGGCGGGTGACGCGACATGTCTGAAATCTTGAGATAAGAGAGACCCGTGTCATGTCGGTTTAGAGTACTCCAGAGCGGGCTTTGCACCTCCTGTCATAATCGTTTCTTTCCCTTGCGATGACACTAGCCTCCGAACCCAATGCTAACTCTCTGTCTCTCTTGAGACCGACCCCCTCGCCGACTGTCACGTGGCTGTCGCCACGCGACCCAGAAATACCCCGAAGCGTCTAGAATCACCTTTGTGACTCTGTTGGCCATTGTAGAAAACACTGGAAGGTCATGGAAAAGGGATACGTAGGCTTGAAGTTGGATATAAATACCTACACTCTTTCATAGCTTCTAGATACTCTGTCGATCAAATAGTTGTTGTCTCTCCAACACAAGCGGCCTTGGCTACCTCACATGGTTCTCAAGTCATTTCGACTCCCCACGACTGTCTACAAGGGCATCGCTAGAGGTCATGGACCCGTGTGACAGTATATTTGATCGATGGGGTGGAAGCGTCTGAGTACCCAAAGAGGGTCTGGAGAGGTCGAGATAGGACTGGTAGGCGGTTGGCAAGGCCGCGAGGAGCTCTTTGGTTTCTTTTTTCGAATCCTTCCGATGAACTCGGGAGTACCAGCGGCTACAGCGCGCATTTGGAACTGGAGTTCTGCCTGGGGGACGAGGGCGAGAGGTCTACTGGTCGACACAGTAGGCAAGGAGGAGGACTGAAGTGAGTTTGCAGTGGTACCATCTGGGGTGGTATAATCTGACGCAGCGCAATCAGAGCCGGAGGAGGGGTTGCCGGGAGGTGAAACTAAAGCAGCGCCAACGTCATGACTGGACTGAGGAATGGTGCCACAAGGAACTGCGTCGCTTGGGCACGAAGTACTATTAGAGGTTCCAGAGGTGCTAGAGGTCGAAGGTGGGTGTGGAACTGTAGCTGGAGGAGCTGCGCTGACGAAATGATTGCCAGAGCTTGTGGGAGGAAGAGACGATCCAGCACCTTTGGCCTTGATTCTTCGTTGATTGAGAATTGACGACGAGTGATTCACCCGATCACTCGTACGTACCTCGCAAGTCGTCTTCTTATCGCTCGATAGATCTCAACCACATGCATATCAAATTCCCCGAACAATCGAATCCAGTCAATCGGATCAACAGCACGCATACGTACCAGAGTCCAGATCTCTATCTATCTCGCCCCTCTATCGGTGCATGCTGCAGAAACTCAGAAAGAGTGGCAGCAAAAAGCGTTTAAGAAGGGGTTGAACAGTTTTACCGGGGACGACCGTTGGATGAAGACGCATTGGACATCAAAGCGGTTGTCGTTACTTTTGTGTCATCGCCGTGCTCGGCTCTACCAATGCGATAAGCAATGGCGTATGAGGACGTTTATAGGTGGACGGCAAATCTGGAAAAAGGGAGTTGGTATCTACAGAACATACTGATGGAGGGGCGGGGATGTTATATAATGACAATCCAGTCCCTTCCCCGTCCCTCACTCAAAACCAGTCAAACCACTTTCCACACGATGCCTTCCTACCACACCACACCTCGCGAAACCCGCGAATCCCGTGCAGCTCGTGCACCCCGCGCAGCTCGCGAAGCCGCAGAAGAAGAAGAACAAGATCCCTGCGAATACGTCCAATTCCACAAAGGCGCCAACGCCCGACCAGACCTGCCCCATCTTTTGTATGACGTCCCTGCTATTGGGGATGACCCGCCGCCTTACTTGCATGCTGTTTACGCCCCGGAGCTTTCGGTTGGACGGATAGAGGGAGGGGGGAGGAGAGGGGAGGGGAGGATGGGTGGGGTGATGAGGAGGGGGAAGGGAGGGAGGGGGGCGGCGGTGCTGAGGGGATTGGGGAGGGTGGTTTCCTTCTTGCCGTTCATATCTTTCAGACGGCGGTGTGTTCCGTGTTGTCAGTCGCTTTGTCGACCAGCATAAAAGATGGGCGGTGTGAGTTTACTCACTGTTACCGCTTTTAGGGTCTTGGTAATATTCCGCCAAGTAGCAGGCGGTATGTCCGTGCTGGTGATGTCCCTTGACCACGACTGACATGTGCTGCAGACGACTCGAACACACTATTCTATGTCTCAACTATGAATGTATATAAGGCATGAAGTAACTAGGACGCCTCTTTGATGCTCGTACTACTTTTCGGTACTATAGCACACAGTCCTCAGAGACCTGATCCCTGACCAGACGGCTGTCTACGAGCGCTGAGTTGTTATAGTGATGAAAAATGACATGCCATGCACACTGGTGGTGTGCTATCGCCAACCTGAAACATCTCAAGAGATTGGGCTCTTTGGGGCTCTCCGAGCGGGAACCTCACTCGACGTCTTCGAGCCTCTGCTCTCCTCACATCACCATACCAATGAGCCATGTACAACTGCTGCTTAGCCCTTTGAAGAACAGTCAACTGCCCTCCTCCAACGTCTTCTGTGCAGTTGCTGGGGATTATGCTGTCAGCAGTGTACGTAAGCAACCCTTGTTTCACGTGGATGAGTCTTTTTGTTCTTTAATTCTTTTCCCTGAGAGTCGGGCTTCCATCTCGGCAAGATAAGAGCGGAGGGGGCAGAAGGTACTTGAGAGGGGCCAGTGTCAGGCAGGAGGTCAGCAGGGGGTAGCGCAAGAGGGGGGCTGTGGAGCGAGCTCTGTACATGCATGCGTCCGCTAGGCAATAATCAAACGTACACACGGTCAGGGCCTAATCCAGGGCGATGATGGTCAGACAATAACGAAAGATTGTTGATTTCTTGTTGTTCTCTTGCAATCTAGATTACGCCCCTGCAGCCTCCCCGATCCAATGGCGCAGCGCTTGCCCCCCCTCGCCGCCCTCGACCCACGTTTCGAGTACCACCCAGGGCCTCCCATCCACCCGTGAGTCACCGCCAGCTCCTATTGTCCTGCTCCCTCGCCCTCCCTCTGCTCCTCTGCTCACACTACCCGCCTGTGCTCCACATCAACCCTATATATTCTCATCGCACGGCCACTCATTCCGTCCATCGTCGTCTGCGCAACCATCACACACACATAACATCCCGTCCCATCCACATCTCTTTTGCTTTTGTCTTTCCATGTCCACCGCCATCGCCACCTCAATGCCACCCCGCGTCCCCCTCCTCCCCCCCATGGCAACGCCCACCACCCCCAACACCCACCACTACCCGCCCCGCCCCACCTCCCTCACCCACGCCCACTCGTATCCCAAACCGCTGGGCCCTCCACCCGTCCCGTCGCCCTCACGCTCGCACACTTTTCTGCAACACAGGACGTCGAGTCTGCGTGATCCACCAAAGGGCGCGACGGGTTCGCCGGACGTTGGAGAGCGGGAAGGGGAGAATCAGCGGCAACTGTCGCATCAACCGCCGACGCCGGTGACCGCCAATTCGACTGTTGGTAAACCCGCCCAGCCTGTCAAGGTCGCCAGGGGGAGAAGAAAGAAGGACGCGTGAGTCTTGCTTCTTGGTTCTTGCTGTGGCTAGCTGCTACATTTTGCGCATGCTTCTCGACCCGAGCTGCTTTCGTGATATATCACTTTGAAACTCTCAAAGCTGATCTCCAAGGAGCGCTCGACGTGTCATCAGACACCTTTCTGTCTGCTATCTTCCCTGAAAGTGGTGTACCAGGTAGTCTCTCTCTACTCCTAGTCTTGCCGAGCATCTTTTCCCATGTCCTTTACAACATACCCCCCACTGGGCGCCTTCCTAATATCTGCCCCTATATCCCCTGCCTTTACTTGTCGACCTTTGTCTCTGTATTGTGCGCTAAGCGGAAAAGCTTGATCCATCCATTGTGGTGATCTCATACGGAGGCGCTGTCGGCAAACACAAGTTTCATCGGTGTTCAACCTCACGGCGGAGCGTCAGAAGGGCGGAGGTCGTCAAACGATCGACCAAGACCCATTCTGCAGATCCCTTACTTTCTCCTCTGGAAGGCGACAGGACTCTTTGCGCTTCATTTATCCTCTCTTTCTATTTCCCGGGCAGCGCCTCTATACCTTGCAAAAGCTGACTTACATGCTCCCCTCTCTCGCTCATGCGAAATTCACCCACCCCCGTCCCCGCCAACTACATCACCCCGCCCCCGACCGTCCCGTCCTCTCGCCGCGTATCCTTCTGCGCTTCACGACCGACTATAATCAACGACGCTATCCCTCGCTCTCGACGGCGTACGCGATCTCATGAGAGCAGTCAGGAGAATGCGGAGGAGGATGATGCACAAGGGGGCAAGAGACGGAAATTGACGAAACCGAAACCTTCGCCTTTGACTGTACAGCCGCCCGACTCGCATTCGCCTTCCAAAGACTCGGGTCCCAGCACGGGCGAGTCGTCTGTAAGTGTTGGGCGAAGCGTGGCTTCGGGAGGGTTGCAGCAGCAGCAGCAAGGGCTGCCGAAACCGATGGGGTTTGCTGCTGCGAGAGAAGCGAGGAGAGAAGAGGGGTATGATGTGTATGGGATGGTACCGAGCCCGGTAGTCATGGGGTTTGATTTCAAGTCGGTCGAGGGGGAGCAGCTGAAGACTGTGAGTTCCTTCTTTTGGACCGTCTCTGGCCCAGCTGACGGGAATAGGTGCGAGAGAGTCTGTCAATCAAGGAGCAGCAACAGGCTCTGATAGCTGCTCGTCGTAGAGAAGCAGAAGTTGCTGCCAACAGCAACCCTTCGACCCCCCGTGATCCGTCCATGGTGCCCGCCCATCCGCAAAAGACTGGTCCAGACCCGTCGATGACTTTGGCGGTGCCGACAAGTGGAAGTGTGGGGAAGAGAAGGGAGAAGGTAAAGGACAAGGTGGACAAGATGACAATCGTGACGGGGACGGCGGGAAAGGATGCAGTCCCAGGTTCTCGAGTATGTTCATCTCTCCCACATCATCAAAGCAGCGGCTGACAGAAAGCAGAGCGCACCACTGAACCAAAACCTTGCCATCCAACAATCCGTCCCTCGCGACATTCCCTCCGGTTCCCGGACCGCCCTCCCGCCAAACGCACTCCCTTCATTCTCCTCTTCCTTCCAACACTTTTCCACCGACCCGCGTACCGCACCCATCTCGCATGCGAGAGGGAACGGAATGCAAGATAGGGGAGAAGGAGCAGAGTTTGCGAGACAGCAGGGATATTATTGGAGGTTGGATGGTGGGAGAGGGCCTGGTCATGCGAATGGGGCGAATGGGTCGGGGTCGAGACCGTCGGTGGTGCCGGATGAAGGGAGGCGCAATTTTACAGTGCCCAGTATCGCCCTGCCGAGGCTGGAGGGCCAGATGTCGCCTGTAAAGTCGCGCAACACCAGCGGCGCTCCGCATTCAGTCCCCATCTCCCGCAATCACTCGCACCAATCCATATCCCATTCCCAGAGCACCTCTCCCCGATCTCAACCCCCACCTCCAGCCGCGCCCATACCCTCGCGCGAAGCCTTCCTCAACCCATTCGCATCCCTCTACGATTCCTTATCCCAAACTACCCACTTGCAAAGTACTCTCAATTCTTTGCTGCACTCTTCCGAGAACCTCACGGCTCAACAGGCGAGGCAGATGGAAGAGTTCAAGAGTACAATGTCGATGGCCAACGGTTTATTGGGGAGCTTGCAGAGTAGTGCGGATTCGTTGAGAGAGATGGTGAGATATGAAGTGGAGAGGCGAGGGAGGGAGGATAGGAGAGAGATGGAGGAGATGAAGGAGAGGCTGAGAAGGTTGGAAGAGGAGAGACGATAGACGACAGGCGATGTTTAATCGACGATTGTTGACGATTCTCATGGGTGATCATTATGTGTACGACTGCCCCCCGCATCTTGTTAGAAAGTGTATCATATATTTATATGGATTAGTTGAGCTGAACAGGGTGGTCCTCGGTCTTCGGCCATCGTGGAGATAAGGCTGATATGATCCTCCTTTGAGAGTGCGGCATCGTGTCTCTTCGTGCACAGTATATACAAGGGAACGTTGGTCACATGTTGGCTCTTACTCGGAAGCGTCAAGGAAGCTCAACAATACCTACCTATGAATGGACCCGGTTATTGTAAGAGCAAGTGCGCAGATGGACGATGTGTAGAATCAGTAAGTAGTACATGGAGCCAAGAAGGCACTGCTTTGTATCAAGATCTATGCACCAATGCGGAATTACGAGCCGCCCTTACACCGACAGCTCCTCCAGACGCCTCTCTCTCCGTACCCAGTCCCTCAGTTGACTTCCGCCATCTCCGCGTTCCACGCGCCAACTGACAGAAGACAACGCCTCTCTCAAGCCTCCATCGTCCTTCGAGTCGGGTACACTGAAAGTGAGACCTATCTCGAAGAGGTTGGCGGTGATGACTTGAATTGCAGTTGATGGACCATCAAGAGATTCCAGCCTCTTGACCAATAGATGGAAGAGTCTGGTGGTGACTCCGTTATTGGGGATCTGCGCGATCTCAGAAGCGATGGATGACAAGGATTGAAGTCGCTCAAAGTCGGCGTCTGTAGTCGAGTCGAGTCAGCAGGTACCTTCAATGAACTGAAAGTTGACTTGCCCTTGATGATATTCTTCACGAGCTCCTCGGCTTGCAGAATCCAACCTCGGACGCTCTTCCCATCCTCCTTCAACCTCTGTTTCTCGACAGAGCTCATGACCTTGATCGCCGCCTCGGCCATTTGCACCAGCAAGTCTTTCTCTTCCTTTTCCCACGCTTGAGCCCTCTGGCCCTTGGCGCCTGATTTAGAAGACGCAGGAAGAGAGGCAAAGTGTGACGTGATGGTCGTCCATTGCATGTTGATCCACACGAGGAAACCATCTCGAAGGACGAGTGATGATGTGGCAGCGGGGATGAGGGCGATGTTGGACATTGTCTAACGATACAGTCAGTATGGGTACGATGGGGGTTAGAGGTGGCGTACCTGAAGGACACCGCGTCTAAATCCGGGATCGAGCGACTCTGCAAACATGGTTGCCAGAAGCGTCCAGACCTTTCGCCTTCTGATGACTCTCCAGTCCTGATGACGGTCAGCTGAAGGATTTCTGGGAATGATCGCAAACTTACAGCTTCACTCCTTATGCCCTCCTTCAAGAATCTGATCATCCATCCTCGCTCTCTCTTCCAGAACTCGCCACTGGCATAGAGCATCCCGTACAACATTGGAGTATCTTCAATATCAAAGACGGACCTTTGCAAAAGGAATCGGGTCGTGATAGGATAGAGGAAATGGGCAGGGTTGGCAATAGCTCGAATGGCGTAGGCGAAGAATAGTGTGGTGAGGGTTGGTAGACGGGAAGTTTGGGAGGGCAGCGCGTGACGGAGCAGTCGCATGGTGTAGATGAGTTGAGTTCTCTCGAGGAACGGCGTGATCTGATTTTGTCAGTATGGATTCAGACGCCACATGATCCACTCACTTCGATCAAGCTCATGACCTTGGCCAGAGTAAAGCTTGATACACTTCGGACATCCTTGTCTCGAGACGCAAGCCCGCATGTCACCAAACCAATAGCATTACCTCTCAACACCTCTACCCAATCGAGACCGTGCATCTTCTCCGACATTGAGGCCACGAAGAGGGCCATCACGAAAACAGGATCGTAGATGTCTTCACCGTCTTCCGCATTTGGAGACTTTTTGCCCCACGTCCTCAACGTCCGTCGCAGAGGATACGCTTGGCAAGTGGCAAAGACCTTCTGAGGGTCCAAACTCGTCAATGCGTCCAAAGACTTGCCTCCGATTCCCAAGACACCTGAAGCACTCCAGAATCTCATGACACTTGCCACAGAGATCTTCCTGTAGCCTTCGAACAGCTGCAGCATGTGCAGGATGCGCCTGTCGGCTTCAGACATGGTGCCTCGATAGAGCAGAACGAGAGGTTCGACGAAGGGAGGTTGACATGAAGTGTATGTTGAGGCGGCGAAGAGGGTGTGGAGGAGTCGGACAAAGTTGAGTCGGACAGTAGGAGGGCAGGAAGTAGTGGTGCTGCGAGTGTACGCCTTGGTGCTGTAGAGGGCTTGCAGCTGTTGTCGAATGAAACTTGCCTACGATACAGTTAGCGTGGGTCTGTTTCACAGGTTTTTACCGTATTCACCTTGAGCTCTACATGGCCTGCAAGCACGACCGCCAGGTTCGCAGCCTCATCAACATCCAGACGATCTTGGACGACAGCAGTGATGACAGGCTCTACGAGGGCTTGTTGAATAGTAAAGTAATCTCGATCCGTCGCAGAGACAGCATCAGCTGCAAGAGGATAAGCACACGTTTTCTTATCTGGATTACCATCACTTACCGATATCCACGAGGGCAGTCAGGGTACCTGCAGGGATTTCGCCCAGCTCGGAGCACACTCTGACCGCATACTGCAACCCCAAACCGATCAAATGGCTCACAGCCGGCTTTAGCTCTGCTGTACTTGCCAGCTCGATCGCAAGTTGCTTTGTCAAGCTAGCGATGGCCGACGTGTACGCGAAGAGCTCAACTTGACCAATGGCGTTGTTGATTTCGTTGCTGTTGGTGCTGGACAGAAGTACGAGTACTTGGGTAGCGGATGCAGCCAATGATTTGGTTTCCCCAGCAAGACTCTGCAAAGCCAACTGCGCGATTGTCTCGACACCCTCGACTTGCAGATCCAAGTCCAGCAGAGCCTCGACGACGAGCAACAACCTCTTGTCTTTCAGCTCTCCACTCAAGACAGGCTGGACTGCCTGGGCGGCAGACGGAACAGTCTTGACAAGCTCGGCGAGGAGCGACAGCGTTTCCTCTGTGCTTTCAGACATGAGGTATTCCACAGTCTCGGAAGAGATTTCAAGACCAAGCAGCTCGGCATATCCGGTCTTGCTCTTCTCGGCACCCTTCAATAGTCTCTCCACAGCACTGACGACACCGAGCTTGCCAAGCTCATGCAGATGCTTGATGGCAAACGTGGGCGATTGCGTACCGGTGATGATATCGGACAGGATGGGAGTGATAGAGGGTGAAGGGGCGAGGGGTTTCTTGAAGGCAAACACAGTCTCGGTAGCTTGAATAGCCTGTGAGGGAGAGAGGAAGGCAGTCCAAGGTCGGAGCAAGCTAAGGATTTCGGGAGCTTTCTTGCCCTTCTTGTCGTCCTTCAACATGCCCAAGCATTCTTCCACAAAGCTCTGTGCAATCTCCTCGTCGGTAGATTTGCCAAGCTTCAGATGCTCGGTCAAAGCCTTGATAGCTGGTACAGGTCAGTACAAGAGTAAAGATAGTAAAGATAGACGTACCAGCCCTATACTCATCGCCCTTATCGCTCAACACCAACTTTCGCAAAGCTTTATCACCAAACACTGCCTTCTTCATATCCACCTCCTCCTTCCCTCCCACTTTCTCAAATAGCCTCACAAACACTTCCAAAGCCGCTGGGACATTGCCTTTGCTGCTTCTAAAGACGTTGAGATGAAGCAAAAAAGTAGCGTGCCTCTGGGCGGACGCATTGTCGGAAGTGGCGATGAGAGGAAGAAGAGTCTCTGTAGAAAAGGTTTCCAGGCTTTGGGTTTCGAAAGATTTTGATGCCCAAGCGGGCTCGTCCATCAGTCGAGGGACATCCCCCGGCACTTCACTGCCCTTCTTACCTTGAGTAACATCCACGTTCCTCCTGATGACTTGTACAACCTCGGCCAACCCGATTCTCCCTTGTCCCGCCTCCCTCGCCTTCTCGACAATCTCTTCCAACCTGGCCACTACCCTGTCCAAGAAGGACAGATTGCCCTGCTTTCCAGCGAGACCGAGGATCACACGGCGCAGGTAGTTGACGACGATGCAAGCCGCTTCAGTGGCAATCAGCTGCCCCATGATCTTGGCTGACAGTTGCTCCAATATCGCCATCACAAGCGGGCTGACCATCTCTCTATTGCCCGACTGCCAGCCTGATGTTTCAATCAACTTGGACGCTTCCTCGATGTATCGATACGGCGTTTTGAGACATCGTCGGAAACAGTCGTCGAGGAAGGACAAGAGATGGATCTGTTGGACAAGAAGCATGGGACCGTAGTTCTCCCTAGACCCTCGAGGCATCGCAGAGAGCCAGATGGAAAGTTCTGACGGGTCGTGTTCAAACAATAGTGTGGGCAAGAGGAGGTGCGAAAGGAGAGATGTCGTCTTGGACAGAGTGACGGGCTGAGGGGTGGAGAGATGGAGCAAGAGGATGTGGTAGAGGTAGGTAAACTGCGAGCCTGCGGCCTTGTTTGTCCAGTTCCAATCTCGCACTTCGCCCAAGAGCTCCAAGACGTGGACTTGACTCAGTGCTTCAAAACCTCTCACGTCCCCTCGTCCTGTACCGAAACCTCCTCCCATACCGGCGGTACCGACAGTACCAGCAGACTTGATACTTCCAGTGTCACTGATCACACTTCCCTCTCTCGCCTCTCGCGCATCCCTCTTTTCCTGCTTTGTGCTGGAAGACGAGACGAGCAGTCGTCCGACGTCAAATTTGAGTTCGGAGGACATACTGGGGAGGGCGCGGTTGCAGAGGGAGAAGATACGGAGGGCAGACTCGGTGAGCATGGTGGATTTCGTAGCCAAAGCAAGCTCCTCGTCGGTTTCAGGCTCGGCAGGCGCCATGGTAGCAGATTTTTGCGCAAAGGCAATGATCACGCTAAGCTCTGGGATTCGTTTCCTCGCTTCCATCTCCAGCTCTCTCTTACCTCTTGCCCAAGCATTGACGGGAGAAGGGTGGGCGCCGAACAACTCAGTCTCGATAGTCGAGAAGAGCTGAAGCACTTGATAAAGTTTGGAGAGGGCGCGGGAGAGGGTGACGGCAGTGGTATACTGGACGATGCCTTCGGTATGTTGAAGACCCTTCATCAAGTGCGTTCGGGTCAAGGGAGAGGGGACGATACTTTCAATGACGGTAGAGATCTGGGGAGGTTCGGGTCGGAAAGGAGACAAAGACGGGTCGGTACCTGCGGGTGCTGGGACCCGGAAGGTCTGAAGGGGCGGAGAAGGCAGAGAGATGAGTCGCCCGACGTAGGCCATGGTAGCTGTCCACCTGGGGTTCAGTCGAGGGTCGAGCGCGAGCGCAGAGTGGGGCCAGTAACCCGACACCAACTCGGGACACGCTTCAAACACTCTGATCATCCAGTCTCCCACAATCCCGTCTTCATCGACGACTTGTGTGCCGACTTTTCTGACGACGTTGCCCAAGATCCTGTTATGGAGACCTTTTCGCCAGGCGTCGTTGGACGACTCTTTCCTCTCGTCATCTTTCTTGTCTCCTTCGGCTCGACGGGGGTACCACCCCTCATCGACAAAGCAGACACCCTTCCCGGGGGTCGCGGTGATACCAATCAAGAAGGAGTACACCAACTCTCCCACCGTCTTTCCCGACGTCTTTTCTACGTTCTCATTTCCCAGCAGATTCCACAAAGCCTCGATGCTCCTCTCCTGGAACAAGATCAAGCTCACGCGCCTGTTGAAACCCCCAGACTGGGAGGTCATGGCCGCCCAGAGGGAAGAGAGGACGCGGAAGATGGTGATGGGAGGATCGGAGGCGAGATTGGAGTAGAGGGGTGGCAAGAGGGAACGGGCGTGGGGCTGGAATGCCGAAGTGGAGAAGAGGGGAGAGATCAAGCGGAGGATGAGGTGTCGGATATCGGGTTTGTCGAGGGGATCTTTCTCGCCATAGGCGACCATGCCATCCTTGTTTCGTCTCCTCATGCCCATCTGCTTGCCCAAGTTTCTCACAGATCCGCCTTCCACCAGAGTGCTCCAGAGCTTCATACCAATGCGACCAGAGGAAGAGGAGGAAGAAGGAAGGACGGTGGGAGGGTCGACAGTCATGGCGGCTGAGGCGAGAAGGAGACCGTGGTAGACGTCGTCTTTCTTGGCCGAGAGGATGAGGTGGTTGATCTAGAGACGAGTCAATAAAGGTCCGGGGATAGGAACGTGGGCCTTACGTAGTCATGGTAAGGGTCAGACTGTGAGATGATCTTGTTGACAAGACCAAGAACAGACGACCGGAAGAAGGGTATAGGCGTCAAGATTTGGATGATTTCAGACAAGAGTTCCACAGCAGCGTGGACTTGCTGTTCGCTTTTCGTCTGCACACATTATTAGCCCCTCTCCAGTGCATATTTGGAATTTATATATACCTGATCTCCAATCTGCCAAGCTCTAAAGATCTCATCACAAGTCGGCGACACATCCAAGTAATGTTGCAAGATGATGACCGTAGGGTGCATGATGGCGAGGGGAAGAGTGGAATGGGGAGTCACGATCTGTTGCCTGAAAGACACAAAAGCTGTCACAGTGTCAGCGAAGCCAGTGGTATAGGGCAAAGACATACCTTGCGGTGAACCAGTGTCAAGGCCATCCTTGACACCTTTGCCCGACGCAAAGGCCTTGGTGCCGGGTTTCGGCCTGATGATAGCAGGGATACCAGTCTCCTGGAGGTCTGCCCTCTTTCTCTTGACTCCAGACATCCCAAATTGAGGTGTCCAGTGGATTGCGTGGTGTTCGAGATTTGGTCAACAACTTGATGCTCTGATTTCAGAAATTCGCGACAAGTTCCTGTTACGTAAAGTGGGCCTCCACTTCTGACGTCCGCCGCCGCTGCTATGGACTCAGTGGAGTCGTCTCTTTTCTCCTCAGCTATCACTTTACTGTCTACCATCTCACTATGTCCATCAAGTACATCAGCCAGAAGCTTGCTCAACAGGCGAGTCGAATCTTGGCCTCTGTCTTCGCGCACAAGCTGACCACGATTTCACGAGTAGATTGACGAGGAGCTCATGGGTCCTCACGGCGCCTTCTCCATTGACCAAGTGAGCGAACCAATCTTCAAGTGGATACTCGTACTGATTATTATGCAGCTGATGGAACTCGCCGGCCTGTCTTGTGCCCAAGCACTAGCAAAGAGCTATCCCGCCAAATCACATCGCCGAGTCATGGTAGCCTGTGGACCCGGCAACCAGGTACCCCTTCATCCCATGAGTCTCAAGCCCAAGCTGACTGAAGCTTTCAGGGAGGAGATGGTCTCGTAGCAGCCCGTCACTTGCACCACTTTGCCTACAGACCCACCGTCTACCTCCCCAAACCTTCTTCCAAAGACCTCCTCCAGCGCCTCGTCACGCAATGCGAGAACCTAAAGATCCCAATCATCAAAGATGTCGAAGGGTTCCAGAAGGAATTGAAGGAGAGTGATGTGGTTCTGGACGCCATTTTCGGGTTTTCCTTCCACTCTCCCCTGAGAAAGCCGTTCGACCAAGTGCTCAAGGCAATTACCAGTGCAAAACTGCCTATCGTCTCTGTAGACATCCCTTCGGGATGGAGTGTTACCGACGGGCCTCAGCCGCTGTATACGCAAGAGGATGAGGATGGAAAGACGGAGACGGTGGAGACGTTTGAACCGGAGGTGTTGATTAGCTTGACGGCGCCCAAGGAAGGGGTGAAGGGGTTCAAGGGGAGGCATTGGCTTGGGGGGAGGTTCATCCCTGAGTGAGTACTCAGAATGTGCTGAAGACGAGTAGCTAATGAGTGTACGATAGTGAATTGTCCGAAAAGTATGGACTCAATTTGCCCGAGTATGACGGCGTGGATCAGGTGGTCGAGCTTCCTCGAGCTTGACTACAAAGTCGTTTGTAAAATGGAGGTATTTTCCGTAATCAACGACAAAAGAAAGAAGCATGTAAAGTATCTTCTGTACAATGACAGGTCCCCGAAAACAGTTCCAGCTTTGCGATCCTTGGATGCAACCTGTCGCCAATTCGAACTTTTTTGCATTTCTATCCTTCTGATATGTACAGAGCCAGCTCTCAGGGACACTAGGGGCATTAATCTGTTTCCCCATGATCTTCAGTCGATCTTTACTACTGCACAGGTCAACTTAGATCTTGGCCTTGCCCCTCTGCTTCTCCTCCTCCTCCGCCTGTCTCTTCAAAGCCCTCTGCGCCGCAGGCCTCGCGAGCACAGTCTCGTGCCACTTTTTGAGGTTGGGGCCAACGGTAAAGCCTGCGTCTTTACGGGTACCTTGGAGAAGAGAGTCGATGGCAAAGAACATCAAGAACTGCAAATGATAGTCAGCTCAGGAGGTGGGTTCAGGGAGGAATGGGACGAACGTCGCCTTCCCCGGGCTTGTCAGTGCCGGAGAAGAAGGGGGCGTCTTGTTTGGCAAGAGCATTCTCGGCCTGAGATATACGTCAGTGTAGGAAGGCTATGGGTGCAGGGGCAAGCTTACAAAGTCAATGGTAGACTGGATGTTGGGTTTGAGATATGCTTCCTGCGATCACCATCAGTCATCCACCCCCCCTTCAGGCAAGATAGTCACCGCACCTGAAGCCATCCGGTGTACTGCTGGATACCCTTCTTGGCCTCCTCGCTCAGCTCGGGAACACCAGGCGCTCCCTTAAGCCACCCAGCCGAAGTAGCTCCAACAGTAGCCGACGCCTGGAACAAATTCATCTGACTCCCCTCTGCGAAATGACTCCAAAACACATCGCCTTCCGTCTCTTCCACCTGCACCTGCAGTTCTCCATTCTTCGCCCGGGCTCGGACGTCAGGCAGAGCGAGGAGAGAGTGGACGATGAAGGATGATTCGGTGTAGAGCTTGCCGTCGATAGTGAGGGCAGGGGCGCGACCGAGGGGGGAGACCTCTTTGAGGGAAGGAGGGGCGGAGCGGGTGGGGAGGCGGTAGTGGACTTGGACGTTGTAGGGGAGCTCGAGCTCTTCGAGGGCCCAGACTGGTCAAGGAGGTTAGAGGTGATCGGGGGACGGGATGCGAGGCGTACAGATCCTGTTTGAGCGAGAGACGTTGAGGTGGTGAAGAATGATGGAGGCGGACATGGTGAGTATTCTAGGGAACTCCTGGATGTCTGTGGAGATGCAATACAATTTAGAGTCCCAAAAGAAATATCGATGCCTGTACTCTCAGCTGAAGTCTGATGACGCAACAGGGTCGGCGATGCCCGACGGCGGGTTCGTTCGTTGACAACTGTTGGAACCAGGTTGGAACCGTGCCCTTCTGTGCCACATTCTGCGTGCTGCTCCAATTGTATCTCTATGTGCTGGCAACAAGTCTTCGTAAACCAGGCATCTACCCCCTCAAACATAAATTAAGCATCGTCAATCCCGTCCTCCGACGAGCCAATGGTCATTCTGTCGCCTCACAGTTCCCGCGTTCGGGCTTTGCATCGCTATACGCATCAAGAACCAGGCGTACCAGGCGTTTTATCAGTTCTCGGGAGTCCCCTTCTACTGCCTGATGGAGGAGCAACATGTTCCCTTCGTATTCAAGGCGCTTCTTGGCAAAGGGACAAAGGAGACGAAGCGCCTTCCCAAGGGGATGAAGTGGTATGTTATAATGCCTTTCTGGCCTGATCGTGGTATGTTCTGTCTATCTGTAAAGAGGAAGGGGAAGCGCAGCTATTGTTCGCGGTGAAGGAGTCATATAGGGGAAGGGGTGTGCTGGACGAGAATTTCGAGGATAGCTGCATGCCAAAAAATAATCCTACTCTTCCTTCTCTTCGTTTTTTTTGTCTGCATACTTGAGAAGCGCTTCTCTCGGCTAAAGAAGCATCAGCACAGCCCACAAATTATCACCAACAAGAAAGCCACTCACATCCTCAAACTTGAGCGTCTCCGGGTACATGCTATGCACGAAACTCTGCTGTTCACTCTGCCCCAACCTTCCTCCCCTCCCGACCCCCTTCACACCTTCCTCTGGCTTCATCTTCTTCGCCCTCTTCTCCTTCTGATGCAAAGACTCGCGGTAGCCTTGGTCTTGATACATTGGCAGAGCATCGGGGGTGAAGATGACGGGTTTGAGGTCGGCGGAAGAGTAGGATGGGTCGCGCGGTGCGGTTTTGGGCATTTTGGCGAGGGGGAGGAGGGCGCCGTGGATAGAGGAGTGAGGGGAGTAGAGGACGTAGACTGCACCGGTGGAGGTGGTTGCAAATATCTATGCTTCTGTCAGCTTTTGAGATTTAATATTGGGGGGATACGCACTTGGTTGATTCTGGAATGCCACAATACCCGAACCACACTTCCTTCTCCAATCACCACTCTGCGCTCCTCCTTCAGCGTCTGGCTGTTCAAAAACACCACACTACCCTTCTGACCTTTTGGTACAGACACACCGGTGAGGATCTGTTGTCCATCGGGAGAGAAAGCGAGGTTTGTCTCGGGATAGAGATTTGTCAGTCCTTCCGCTACGGCGAGCGGCTTTTTGAGCGAACGGATATCCCACACTGTACCCTGTCAGCTCCTGTGCTCCAGCAAGCAGGCCATGTCACTCACATTTGACAGTATCGTCGCCTCCGCGGGTGATCACCCTCATCCCGTCTCTCGTAAATGCCACATCGGTCGTTTCCGTATTCTTTGGGTGCGCATGCTCCGTAGAGTACTTTGGTCGGGCATAGTTGGATTTGGTATCCCAGATATGGAGGGTGCCGTCCAAACATACTACAGACCATGGTCAGTCTCCTGTCGGGAAGGGAATGAGAAAGACTTACCTCCAGCGATCCACTTGCCATCCGGGCTCCAAGCGCATGCAGTGACCTTTGTACGCGCACCTCGTTCTTTGGATTTGACGACGATGACTTGTTTTTGTTTACGAAGTACTGAGGTATCCCATATTCTGCTTTACCTTAGCATACAAAGTAGGTGATGTCACATGATGCTTACCTCAGGGTAGAGTCGTTGGAGCAGGTAAGGAAGATGGACTTTTCTGTCGGATGCCATGCTCCTCGATTGATCTCGGCGACATGACCACTGTTCATCCATTAGCCCGGCTTCACTGCGAGTCACTATCCACGCACTTGGTATTCTTCATATCTCTCAGATACACATCACCCTTATTATATTCTTTCTCCTCTTCTCCATTTCTGTTGAAGACTTTAGGGACGACAGTTCCGGAAATGACGAGCAACTGCTGTCCATCTGACGAGTATGACAGGTCGTGCACCTACACCCTCGTCAGTGGGAATCCAAGTTCAAACAGAAAAACGTACATAGTAATTCCCATTGGCCTCAAAGCTCTTGAAAGGCTTTAGTCGATGATCCATACCTCCAAAATCCCAAATCTTGGTATCGTAATCATGCGACCCTGTTGCCACTCTCGCGCCTGACGGGTCCACCGCCAATGCAGAGACTACCTTGGTATGGTCTTTCAAAACGATTTCGTGGGTGACTGGGGTGCGGTCTTCGTCGTCTTCGGGGCCAAAGTCGTCGTCTGAAGAATCGTCGTCTTCTGCCTTACGCTTTCCTGTCGTAGGCGGCGCTGGGCCGATTTCGTCGTCGCTTTCCTGATCTTCCGCTGCCTTTTCAGAGTCTTTTTGGATAGATTGTTCTGGCTCTTGCTTCTTTGTTACTTCAGGGACAGGCTGTACGAAGATGGTCAGTATATACAGCAGAAGAGACGCAAGACGCACCTCTGCACGCTTTGTAGTCTCGACCTTGGCCTTGAGATTAGGCCCGCCCGCCTTGGACTTTTTGCCAAAGCTCATAGGGAGATCCCAGCCGTCCATGTTG